TGGAGATCAGCCCTCTGTCAGATGTAGGGTTGATGAATATCTTTTCCCATTATTTGAGCTGCCAATTTTGTTTGTTGACAGTGTTCTTTGCCTTATAGAAGCTTCTTAGTTTCAGGAAGTCCCATTTATTAATGATCTTGGTGTCTGTGCTACTGGTGTTATGTTCAGGAAGCAGTCTCCTGAACCAGTTTGTTCAATGGTATCTCCCACTTTCTCTTTAAGAGCTTCAGTGTGGTTGGATTTATGTTGAGGTCTTTGATCCATTTGAACTTAAGTTTTGTGCATGGTGATAGATACGGATCTATCTGCAGTATTCACGCCAGCATCTAGTTTTGCCAGCACCATTTGTTGAAGATGCTTTCTTTTTTCCATTGTATATTTTAGTTTCTTCCTCAAAAGTCAGGTGTTCATAGGTGTGTGAGTTAATATCAGGGTTTTCAATTCGATTCCATTGGTCTACCTGTCTTTGTGTGTCAATACTAAGCTGTTTTCAGGACCATAGCTCTATAATAGCGCTTGAAGTCAGGGATGGTGATGACTCCAGAAGTTCCTTTATTATACAGGATTGTTTTGTCTATCCTGGGCCTTTTTTTTTTTTTTCCCATGTAGTAAAGTTGAATATTATTGGACAGACATTCTTTAAGCTAATGTTTTTTTTAACCCTTCTAATGCTTTGCCCCTTCAACAGTGTCCTGTGTTGTGACTTCCAACCATAACACCATTCATTCTCTTGGCTATTTCACAATGCAATTTTCTACTCTTATGAATCACAGTGCAAGCACCTGACATGTAGTCAGTCTTAGGCTACTCCTGTGAAAGGGTCTTTTGATGTGACACATAGATTAAGAACCATTGCTCCACAGACAGTCTGACCAGTTTAAGGAGACTGGCTGAATCTCTTTCCAAACAATCTGTGGATGGAAAAGTACCACTTGCTACTGGAGAGGATGATGATAATGAAGTTCCCAGTCTGGTAGAGATTTTTGATGAGGCTTCTAAGAACGAGGCAAACTGAATTGAGGCGACTTCTGAAGAAGGTGACACTTGCAGAAGTCACAGGAGCTACTATTTTATATCATGACTGCTTTTTAAAATTCTTTTGTTTATGGCTCTGATAAAATCTAGATCTCAAATATTTTTAAGTCCCTGGACACTGCAGCTCTTTTCAGTCTTTGCTTAAACACAGTTCATTCTTTGTAGCAAATTAAGCTGAAGAAGCCTGGGAGTAAAGTTTGGAAAGGGGTTAATAAAATTCTTTGCTTAGTTAAAAAAAAAAAAAAAAATTGCTCCAAGCTCTTTCTCAGACTACTTAGGTCATTGTCTTACTGCATCATAAGATAGGACTATCCCAGTGTTTGGTATTTAGTGTCTTGTACTCATAGTTGTGGCTGTTACTATTTATTTTCAAGATCACATATTAATAATATAAAACATTTTATAAACTTAAATTGTCCCATAGCCTTATAAATTTAATATTTCTAAAAAGTGTTCCTTTAAAAAAAAAATCTAGTTTTTGAAACTTTCTGTAACTCCAAACTTTCCTCTTAAAAAGGTTTAAGAACTCTCAACTGTGGGCTCCTGAAATATCAAAACTGTGCCAATGTCTGGAATTCACTCACAATACTCTGGTTCACCACTCTGGCCTCACCTTCAATAGCCTGTCTTACTAGAACCCAGCTGGCTCTTTTTCATTGTGGATGGTTTTTCTGATGACTATCTCATACATGGCTGTAGTGAGATATTCACTTTGTCTGCACCCATGGCACTAACCACACCCATTAGGGGTAGGGGCCCTGGAGCACTCTCTTGCAGCACAGGGATAGAAGAGCATCTGAAAGCATCCTTGGGACCAGGAACCTGCTGGTGTTCATCTGTCTCTGTTGTAAGTTATCTATTCAGCCTATTTGTTTTTCCTGATCCTTATTAAACCATGATACATGGCATGGTCATTCCCAAACTGCTAGGGTCCTTACATAGTGGCAAATCTCAGCTGGTGTCCATGACTTCTTCATATCTTTAAAACCAATACCACTTGAGTAACACATGCTGCTTATAACCCAAATTAGAGTCATGCCACATGGTTCCTTTAAGATTACCTGTGCATAGATTTTAACTGTCCACCCTGGCTTATGCATTTTCATTTTAAGTTAACTTTTATCACAGTCTCTACAGATTTTTAACCATACCCAATAAATAAACTTACAAATATTGAGAAACAGAACAGAAACTTTGCATAATAATTTTTTTAAGCGTCTGCTTACTCTTTTTTCCCTGTCCCAGAATTAGGTGACACAGGACATGGAAGAAACTTTTAAATATGTTTGGTCTAGGGAAGGGAGAGCCATAACCCAACTCTAGAGCCAGCTTTAACAACTCTAATGTTTTCCACACCCAAAAGACATTTGAATGCCTTCTAACCTGAATCCAGTGACCAGAAAGTTCATAGATATATCCTGAGGCCTGGCCATCAGAACAGCCATGGCAGATGGTGTTAGCTGTGGTGGTTGGTGGCTTGCAATGGCAACACAAAACACAGAAAGTTCATACACCCAAAGGGATCAGTCATTATCAAAGCATATGCACCATAAATACTGGCCAAGATGAAGGACTTTGCCAGGTTCATTCAGGGGTTCCCAGAAAATGGCCATGAGCTTTGTTGGCCATGTACTTATAAAGGCAAACCCATAAGGCTATGTATTTCCTGCCCTCATCCAATTGGGGGCAAACATATGTATGCTGACATACTTCCTACCTATGTACCTCCTATCTTCATTTGATCAAGCACATCTGGTACAGTTGGGTCAACCAAAACTTGTTTAGGGAAGTGTAAATGTGTGATTTATGTTAATCCCAAAGATGGGAGGAGAATGACCACTGACCAAAATCATCATGACCAAATTAATTAAAGCAAGATTTTTTTATTTGTGTTTGAAGGCTGCCTCCCCCAAGGTGGAATTTGAGAGTTCAGCACTAGATATGAGGAAGACAAGGGTTCTACATATAGCTCAGGGGTAGAGGTTTCCAAATGGAGGGTTTGGGGGGTAAAATAGGCAAGGTTACAGTAGCAGACCATAAGCATAAGTAGACCCTCCTGAAACAAAGATATAGTTGCAAGGTAGTTATAACAAGATAGCCATAACATACCTTTTGAAACAAATGTAGGGTTGCAAGATGGTTATAAACAACTTTTTGAAACAGTGGCATGATTGCTGTTCCTAGGACAGGTAGTACAGAACAATTTGTGGTTAAGGTTACAAGTGGGGCATAGCACAATCCTTGAGAAATAGGTTTAGTCATAAGCAGGAATTAACCTAGTTTGTCTTTACCATAAGATGGCTTGAAGATTGAAGGGGAGGTATCTGTCCTTAGGCAAGGGGCTTACATGTTAGAGGCATTTTTGTTTTGTGGCTCTTATGCACAGTAATTAAACTTTGATTCTCACTGAGTTTGAGACAACCATGATCTACATTGCTGAGTTTCAGGCCAGCTAAGTCTCTTTATAATGATAACCTCCCTACAAGAGATCGAGACGTGAAGACTCTTTTTACTCTTATGCTTGCTTATTGCCAGAGCTTTTGATAATATGGCTTCCTCCCTCCCTCCGTCCCTCCCTCCGTCCCTCCCTTCCTTCCTTCCTATTTATTGTGTATACTGTGTTCTGCCTGCATGTATGCCTGAAGGCCAGAAAGGGCACCAGATCTTATTACAGATGGGTGTGAGCCTTCTGTGGTTGCTGGGAATTGAACTCAGGACCCCTGGAAGAGCAGCCAATGCTCTTAACCGCTAAGCCATCTCTCTAGCCCTAATAATATGGGTTTTCTAAGCAAAATATTGAGTTTATTTTTTTATTGTTTTTATTTAGTTAGTTTTGGAGAGTTTGTGTCACTATGCAGCTTTTGCTGGTTTGGGACTCATTGTGCTAACTGGTCTGGCTGTGAACCTTTGATACTGTTTCTGCCTTTTACTGCTAGAATTATGGGAGTACCACAAATGATAGGAAATTGGAGGTATAGCTCAGTGGTAGAATATGTTAGTCCTTAAATTCAGACCTAGTATTGGGGATGTGATGCTATAAAACAATAATGTTTAATTTGGCTTTATTATTAAATACTTGATAATGTGTTGACTAAAGTATGGAATAATTCTTTGTGTAAATATAAATGCATAGTAGTGTTCAGAGTCCATTACATTCATGGTTGGCTTTTTTCTGACCATGCACTGTAAGTTTACTCTCTTAACTCTTTGTGGGCAGAATCTTTTGTGGCAGTGTCTTTCATGTAGTCCAGACTGGCTTTGAATTTCTGATCCTCCTTTATCACTTCCCAAGATATGCACCACATGCCTGACTCCTTTTGATTATTAATATTTAAGTGAAGGTGTGTTAACTACTTGTATGTTGTAATAGGTCTCTGTAATGTTTTCATCTTGCTTGTCTCAAACTCTGTACCAGTTAAGTAACAAACCCATATCCTCTATTTCTAACAGTTTTCAGCTGCCTTTCTAGCTTCTTTCAGTTTTGAGATTGATTGCTTTGAATGGAACTGTGATTCTTTTGGCATTTCTGTGACTGGCTTATCTCAGGCAATTCATTCATGTTGTAGCATATTATAGGATTTCCTTTTTAATTTCTGAGGGTTTTGTTTGTTTGTTTGGGTTTTTTGTTTTTGTGGTTTTTTGAGCAGGATTTCTCTGTGTAGTTTTGGAGCCTTTGCTGGAGCTTATCCTATACACCGGGCTGATCTCAAACACATAGAGATCTGCCTGTGTCTGCCTCCTAAGTGCTGGGATTAAAGGCGTGCATCAGCCCTTTTCATTTTTTACACTTATTTATTTTGCTATTTTTGTAGGCCAAGCAGTACACTCATTGTATATACTATGTCTTCTTCCATTTATCACTCTATGAAGCATCAGCTTTTTCCATAGCTCAGTTAGTGTAGATAATGTAGTAATAAACATGAGTGACTGGACCTGTTTTTAAAGGGTTTCTTTCCCTTTTGTAGGTATATCCGACTTTATGGGAGAAAATTTAGCAAAGAAGATCATGTTCTTTTTATTAAGTTATTGTATGAGCTGGTATCAATTCCAAAACTCGAAATCAGCATGATGCAGGGATTTGCTCGTCTCTTGATCAACTTATTAAAGTAAGTCTACTTTCTGTTATACTTGGTGAGATTTTTCATTTTCTTTTATTTTAAGGTTTAAAGGCTAAGACTCAATTTTGGGAAATGAATAGAACAGTTATCCAAAGTTTAATTGGTGTTGATTTAAACATTTATTTTCTCTGTGAAGCGTTTAATTGTAAGTGCTCAATTATAATTGGTTAGATTGTTTTATTTATGATAATTATTTGCTACACAGGGTATAAACTATCCATGTCCTCAGCAAAGGTTAGAAACATTAAGTACCACACACATGACATAGCAAAACATGAAATTTGGGAGCTGGAGAGGTACAATGTAATAGATAAGAACATTTGCTGCTCTTGCAAAGGACCCGGGTTTGCTTCCCAGTACCCACATGACATCTTAGAGCCACCTGTAACTCCAGTTCCAGGGGATCCCATGTCTTCTTCACTCTTGAGGGTGCCAGGTATGCATGTGGTACACATACACACATGCAGCCAAAATAGTCATGCACAATAAAATCTTTTTAAAAACATTTTAAAGTATGGAATTAATCTACAGCAATGATGGCACAAGTTTAAATTTTTCTTAATTAGACACTGCTTGGTGTTGAGGAGTGCCAAGTTCTTCCTTCATGCTCATTGTTACAGCGACTGGCTGTGGACAGAGACAGGCAAACACTGTCATTAGCTTTTCTGAACAAATGGTTCCATATATTTTAATTTCCTTTTTTTTTTTTTTTCTTTTCTTTCTTCCTTCCTTTTTCTCCCCCCCCCCCTTTTCTTTCTTCTTCTTCTTTTTTTAGGAAAAAGGAACTTCTCTCAAGAGATGATTTAGAGTTACCGTGGAGACCACTTTATGACATGGTGGAAAAAATACTCTATTCCAAGACAGAGCACCTGGGATTAAATTCATTTCCTAAGTAAGTTTTTCTGTTACAGTACTTCTTTGGGGCCACCTATGGCTTTTAGGGGATTAAATACAATGGAAGAAAATGTGTTATTTTAAATAAGCAAAATACTTTTTTTGTTGTATTGGGTTTTTTTTTTTTTTTTTTTTGTGGTTTTTGAGATGAGATTTCTCTGCTTAGCTCTGGTTGTTGTGGAACCCACTATGTATGTAGAACAGGTTGGCTTTGGGCTCACCAAGATCCACCTGCCTCTGCCTCCCAAGTCTTGGGATTAAAGGTGTGCACCACTGTGCCTGGTTACAAATACACATATAATGTACTCATTTCTATATAACTTGACTTTGTCTTTTTGAAACAATTTGAATCAGTATTTCTTCTCAAAGCTTTTCCACCAAGATGTCTGTGTAGTTGACATCACCATACTTCTGATCATTTTGTTGTTGTTGTTACATGTGATGGCTATCTGCTGTTCTGCTTTTTGTTTTTTTTTTTCCTTACAAAGTTACTTATTTTTATACTTCATGTTTATGTGTGATTATATAAATTCATGAGCACTGCATGTGTTCTTCAGCCTTTGGAAGCCAGAAAAGGGCACTGAATCTCTTGGAACTGGAGCTGCAGGCCAATGTAAGACACCATGTTGGCTCTAGGAATTGAACTAGGTCCTCTGCAAGTGCTGCAGGTGCTCTTAACTACTTAGCTATCTCTCAACAGATCCTCCCCCCCAACTGACCTTTTATGTATTTTAATTCATTAAAGTAAATGCTTTAAGATGAGGAGACTTGCATATCCAACAGGGCATTCACTATAAAAGAAATACTAGGTCTTGCCACCTTCACTACAAAACAAACTTTCATGCATGGCCCTCTTGGTCAGCCTCCCAAGTTCTGGGTTTGCTAGCTTGTTCTACATAGTAGACAGTATCAGTTTTACTAATTGACTACATTTAAGATATAAACTATTCATGTCAGTCCTTAGTTTTTGTCATTTCCTAGTAATGCTTAGAACCATAGCTGTATTGCTGATTACTAGTTCCTTGCATATATACCATGACTCTTCACGGCCTAGTTTTTATAAATTTTGTATTTATTTTAAATGTGCAAAGTATGCTAAAGATCTCAGATTGACTATTCAGTATCATTTATATTGACAGGGTTTTATCTAGTTGTGATCTCTTTTCTTCCTAACTTTAATATTCATGGGCTTTGCCAGTTTGTGTTAAACTGTTTTAAATAATTTTAGTAATTATTATCATTTATTATTATTTAGTATAATTATCATTTATTATTATTATTGTTATTATTTTGGGTGTTTGAGACAAGGTTTCTTTGTAGCCTTGGCTGTCCTAGAACTAGCAATGTAGACTGGGCTAAGTTTGAACACCCAGAGATTTGTCTGCCTCCCGAATGCTGGGATTAAAGGGGAATGTGTCCCCATTGCCTGACCTAAAAATTAATATATATTTTTACAAATAATACTTTTTTCCCTAGAGTTATTTATTTATTATTTATACAATATTATATCTGTATGCATGCTTGTAGGTCAGAAGAGGCCACCAGACTCATTATAGGTGGTTGTGAACCACCATGTGGTTGCTCGCAATTGAACTCAGGACCTCTGAAGAGTGGTCAGTGTCCTTACCCTCTGAGCCATCTTTTCAGCCCCTAAAAATTAACTTTTAAAGGCAGACTCTTGTTAGGTAGCTAGTTTGGCTTCAGATTCTTGGTAGCCCAGGCTGGCCTTGGCCTTGTAATTCTCTTACCTCAGCTTCCAAGTACTGAAATTGTAGGGATAAGTACACCCCCCCCACTCCTAACCTGGCTTATTCTTCAGACTTTTTAGCTGTTTCCTGTTCAAATTATTGTGATTTGTCATACTATATATTGATTTCCTGAAGAACACTGTGTCTTACTAACTTTTTTCTTTCATTAATTAAAATTTTAAAGACTTGTGATTTCTTTCACTGTCTTTTAGTTAGATAGTTAAATTGCCTCGAATCTAAGGCTTCTCTTAGGTCAACAGTCTGAACTTCTTATCTGTAATTGCAAATGGCAGATCTCTTAGAAACTTTTTACATTATAGATTTAGTGGTAAAGAAGAGTTAAAAATGACTACAGGCAATGGTGAATTTAAGCCTTAGTTGGATTTTGTGCAGGTAAAGAGTCAGGAATCATTCTGTCCTTGAGGTTTTATGTGTTAAAATAAGGAAAATTTCATCATGAGAATGAATGGTGCTGCATACAAATAGGCTTTTAAAAGTTCTTGTTAGGACAATTTTCTGTGAAAGCATTGTAAAGATGCCTGTGAAGTGTTACTCCTGTGGAAAGTATGGTGTGGATTGAATGGACTGAGTCTTCATGGAGTAACTTCAGGAATTTTTTTTTTACTGGCATCACAGTTTGATAGATTTCTGTGACCTATTATTTGTGTTCAGTTATCTTTCTGAAATTTTCTGCCCTGAAGGTTGTTGGTAGATTAATGGTGGGGGAAAGTCAAGTTTTGTTTTTTGGGGGGGGTTGTTTGTTTTTTGTTTTTGTTTTTGATTTCTTGTTTCTCATTGTGTCATTTCTTGGTGCTTTATAAACAGACATCTTAGGCATCTTGCTTCCTGCCTGACAGGTATATCTGGGTAAAGAAAGGCACTTCTTTTGAAACAAACAAACAAAAAATGTTGAGAGTTGCATCTATGTATGTTTGCCTGATGTCCTACTACTCAGAAGAGGGTGTCAGATTACTGGAATTATGGATGATTGTGAGGCTACCACGTGAGTGCTACAAATCCAGTCTGGATCCTCTGGAAGAGCAAAAACTGCTCCAAGCCTCTGAGCCACCTCTTTGGCCCAGCCAAAGGCTATTTATTGTTTTAAAGAGATACTGTTACTCTATACTCTTTGCTCAGTGTTGGAGAACATGCCTAACCAGCATGCTGGAGACAGAGGCTTATAGCAGTGTCTCTAAATTATAATTGGCTGAGCATTCTCTGCTGGGTTTATAATTAACTATACTAAAATTATATTTACCAATAATATTAAGGATGAAAGTATAATTTAGTGTTGAATGTGTGCTTAGCACTTGCAAGCCCCAGGCTTAATCTCTATTGCTTAGCACCATATTCATTCTCTGTCCTCATTGACAAAAATAAATATAAACAGAACTTCTGAGCAGACCAGCTGGCTCAGTGGATAAAAGTGCTTGGTGACCTATGCTAGCCCAATGACTGGAGTTTGATTTCTAGAACCTTGTCTAAAGATGGAAGGAGTGAACTGACTCTACAGATTCTCCTACCTACCTCATCATCATGCACATGTCCACAATAATAACTTTTAAAAAATAGTAAAGAGAAGCTGGAGCAATGGCTCAGTGGTTAAGAACACTAACTGGTCTTCTAGAGATCTTAAGTTCAATTCCCAGCAACCACTGGCTCACAGCCATCTGAAATGAGATCTGGTGCCCTCTTCTGGCCTGCAGGGACACATGCGGACAGAAGACTGTTCATAATAAATAAAATCATTAAGAAAATAATTAAGATATAAATAGCACTTTAACCGCAAAAGAGAAATAATTATTATAAAATGAGTTTCAAACATTCAGGGGTCATTACAACAAAATACACGATGCTTAGATTTTACATGTATTTGATATGAGTTTGTTTGGATTTTAAAAAGAAAAGATCAAATATTTTATGCAAGAAATGTAAGGACCAGAAAGGTAGCACAATAGTTGAGGTCATTGGCTGCTCTTACAGAAGGCAAACTTTGATTCCCAGCACCCACATGGCAGCTCACAATCTCTTATAACTGGCTCCAGGGGATATGACTCCCTTTTCCAGCCTCTTTGGACACTGAACATACATGTACTTACATGCACGCAGGCAAAACACTCATAAAACAAAAATAAGTAAGTCTGTAAAACCGGGCTTGGTGGTATATACTCTTAATCCCAGTGCTTGGGAGGCAGAGGCAGGTGGGTCAGCCTGTGCTACAGAGTGAGTTAGTTACAGGAAAGCTGAGCTATATAGTGAGACTCTATTAAAAATAAATAAATAAAATAGAAATAAGTGTAAAGAAAGGAACCTTGACATTGAAATAAATATTGGGGCTTAGATAAAGAATACCATATCAGATTTTACACAGGTGACTAGGGAAAAGAGATATAAAGTCATAGAGAATGTTTAGGAGGCTTCTGGGGAGAGTATCTGTAAAATTGAAGTCTAGCACTCAGTGTTCAAAGCAATAAATGCCTAGTTGGGTGTGCCAGGCAGAGATCTGTGAGTTCTAGCCAGCCAGGGCTACATAGTGAAATCCTGTATCAACAATAGCAAAACAAACAAGCAAACAAAAAGTCATTCATGTCTTGTCTAATGTTGTCTTTTCAAGATAGGATCTAGGATCTCAGATTCACTCTGGAACTAAGACTATTAGCCTTGAGCTCTAGATCATTTGTCTCCCTCCCTCCCTTCCTCCCTCCCTCCCCTCTCCTCCCTCCCTCCTTCCATCTTCCCTCCCTCCATCCATCTGTCAGTGTTTTTCTGTTAGTGTGTGTTGGGGGGGGGGGGATTGGGTGTGTGTAGACAGAGATTTGCCTGCCTCCTGAGTACTGGGATTAAAGGTGTGTGCCACCACCTCCTGACTGCTTTAAACTTTTATGGCCAAGAAATAAAGTTGTTACTTTTTGTAAGCATTTTATTTCTTAACAGCCTTAAACTTAGAAGGAGCCATTTTATTGACTTGCTTTCTTAGAATTGTTTCCAGTGTTTCTATCTTACATGTATTTCAACACATTTAAAACAGCATTGGTATTTGACAGCCTGTGCTCATACTATTTTTAGATGACTTTTTATAGTCAGAAGTGCTTCATTTGTCAACTGTCTTTCAGCTCTTAAACTGTGTGCCTTATGTGTTTGTCCTTAGGGAAGCCACTACTTAGAGGGCTATGTGCCTTGTTCCTATTTAGACCAAAGATAATCAACATTTTCTCCCCTCCTTCTCCTTCCTCCCCTTCCGTCTTAGATTTCTAAGTACTGAGATTGTTGGTAATTGGTGTAGACTTTTTGTTGTTGTTTTGATTTTATTGTTGTTGTTGTTTGTTTGTTTAAGACGCAATCTCTGTGTTGCCCTATCTGTTGTGGTCTACCACACTGGCTTTGAACTCAGATCTGCTTGCCTCTGCCTCTGGGGTACTGGCACTAAAGGAGTGTACCACCAAAAGAGCGTGTCAGATTCCCTGGGACTGCAGTTACATGGTTGTGAACCTCCTTTCATCAAGAATAGTTTTGGGAAGGAGTGGGTATGTAGTTCAGTGATAGAGCTCTTGTCTCATAGGCTTATGGTTTTGGGTTTAATCTTAAAAATAACTAGCTTGGGCCTAGAAAACTTAATTATTTAAGCTTTGTGTTTTTATATAGTATTTTTTTTTTTTACTAATTGGTAATTTTATATTTGTACACAACATTTTGGGTTTTTTTTTAATGTAGACTTTATTTTTATTTTGTGTTCATTGATGTTTTGCCTGCATGAATGTCTGGGTGAAGGTGTCAAAAAAACTCTGGAGCTGCCATGTGGGTGCTGGGAATTAAACTCATGTTCTCTAGAAACATAGCCAGTGCTCTTTAACTGCTAAACCATCTCTCCAGCTCCTGATTTTTGTGTTTTTTGTTGTTGAGACAGGGTCTTATTATATATAGCCTTGGCTGACTTGGAGCTCATTGTGTAGACTAGGTTGGCCTCTTAACTCACACAGGTTTACCTTCTTCTGCTTCCTAAGTACTGGAATTAAAGGCCTGTACCATCATACTGGGCTCTGTACACAAAGTTTGTTGATCAAATTCACCCTCACTTCTCCTTTCTAACTCCCAACTTTCTCACCATGCTGCCTTTTAACGTTATGCCTTTTTAAAATCAATTTTAAGTATTTTTCCCTTTATATATTTTATTTTAAGGCTATCATACAGCAGCATACTCTATTTTTCATAGTACCATACTTCTTGGAAAAAGTTGTTGTTTTCTTTTAGGGGGATGGGGGAATGGGGGTAGGATCTTGCTGTGTAGCCCAGGCAGGACTGTAACTTCCGGTAGTCCTGCCACCACCCCTAGCATGGTACTTGTTCGATTTTGTGGGTGTTAGTGATATATTCCCTAGCCTGGCTTTCTGTATTGATCATCAAAGAATTGTTTGTTTTTGTTGTCTTTGTTTTTTGCTTTTGAGACAGATCTTGCTGTATAGCCCAGGTTGACCTCAAACTCACTTCCTCTGCTTCCCCAGGGCTGGGATGACAGGTGTGTGTCACCACACTTGGCGTACAGAGGGTTATCTGGGTTATTTGAATTAGTACCTTCATAGTTAAAATCAGTTAAATCTTCTATTCTTCCCTTTCCACATTCACTACATAAAAATAACATATTCTAGACTCCGGAGTCCCTTATTCATGGATGTTCTGGATCCAAAATTTGATAGATAATGAAATGATGAAAGTAATTTCTCCAATGGCCTGTCACTGAAGTAATTTTCACCAGTTATGATTAATAAACACTGATTATTAATGTGATATTTTCAGGAAGATCGTATTTACTTTTAAAATATTCTACCTTTATTTAAGAATTAGACGATAAGTAACTGAATTTTGTTAATGTTCTTGATAGTATTTCTGCCAAAAGTTGTGTTTTTGCTACAGGGATTTTTCAAAAAACAAATATAACTGATCTTTATAGAGCAATTACAAAAATTCACATCCTGGAGAAGATGGCTTAACAGCGAAGTATGAATTAATAATTGATTTCTTTTCTGTGGTACCTAATAAATAATTCTGGACTACCTAACAGCTTTTGATATATTATCTCAGATAATTCTTGTAGTAGCTTTATGAGAGGATAGGTATTATTTGTCACAATAAAAAGTACTAAGCTGTAATAGTACACTCCTAGGAAATGGTGGAATTGGTATTCTGATTCAGATTTGTCTGATTCTTAGGCTCAAACTGAAGTACTGTTTGACCTTATTTTTTAAGTGAACATACCGTTTCTGAGAGAAAATGGCATGAGAGACCCTATCCAAAGCTTAGCCCTTCTTTACATCCTCTTTTAAAAATTAGCAGTTTGAGTTATCTATCAGTTTAGTATTGTAAATTTCCAACAATTAGAAAATATGTAGTGATTGATTAGTCACGCCCTCTAAATACGATCTAGAAGCATCTAGTCTTAACCTTTTATTTTATTTTTAAACAGAAACATTGTTCCCTTCATCTTGAGAGATTACAAGAATCACAAAAGGTCACTATACAGATATCACAGGTTAGAGAGATTGTACCCTTTTCTAAATAAAGAGCATACATTCCATGGTGCAGACCTTATGTGGAAGAAGGGCTTGGAATTGACTTTATGTGAATGAAATCACACTCTACAGTCCTTGACTCTGTAACAAGTTAAAGAAGTAGGTGTTATTGTTAACTTCCTGTGCTTGTTTCTAGAATGAGGGCAACATTTATCTATACAGTCTTTAATGACTTGCTTTTTGGAATAGTTTCTGATGTTAGGATAGTTTCTTGTAGTAGGAAGTTACTTAGGAGAAGCAGGTTTTCTGTAACATTTAAATCTGAAACAGTTGCTACTTAACTAGTGAAATCAATAGAGAGTAAATGGGGGCACAGACATTAGGAAGTGACAGGTTCATGTATTTTTTCCTTAAAGTTTGAGGTTAAATTTACCAATCAGTTTTCTTCTAAACCTACATGTTGATTCTCTAACTTGTTACTAACTGGTTCTTCAATCCAAACTGAAAGGAGATCTAAGATCCATGCTGTTTGTTCCCCTGATAAAAAGCATGTATGGAGTATATTGTAAGCAAACATTAAGAAGCTTAGTATCCCTGCAAATTTGAATAGCCTCATTAGAAGCACTTAGATATTCTGGCTTAGAGAAAAGTTTTATCCCCATTTCCCCCTGTTTTTCAGTAGACAAATTTAGATGCCCAGCAAACTGTTTAATTGTCTGGCTTTTTGTGTGAGAGACAACAGAGCTGTTCTCTGGGGGATAAGAACAATGCTTCCTGATGTGGACTGTGTTTTCTCATGTAAAAGTAACTCTGAGTATTACTTTGTTTCTCTCTCCAGCTAGGAGTTTGAAAGTGAAGGATGATGCTTATGTAGTTAGTTAAAATTAAGATTGCAGTTTTCTTTCTAGGTTGAAGTTAACATAATATATTGGGTGCTTAGACTGAGCTTGTTTTATTCTGTTCCTTGGTATTTCCTTGTAACTTCAGTTCTTAAGCTTTCAGAGAAATTGGTCAGACTCCTAGATTTGAAGAATTGCAAAGGAGTTAATGATAAAATGTCTGAAACCCTAATGCCCCTGTCCTGCCCTTAAATTTTTTAGCATTTTTTGTGTTTTCTGTTTATATTTGTCATACTGTAAGTAGTCACAGATTTTTTTTAAATTTTAGTTCATGATACCATTTTGTTTTGTTTGCTTTTTACCAGCTTTAATGGTGATCTACTTGATATCTTAAACATTCCGTTTTGGTCATGTATTTAAATTAGTATCCATGGCCTTTTCATTAAAATTCATGTGAATTTTTCATTTTGCTCACCTAATTTTGTGAGTGGCTGTTTTGGTATTTGCTTTTGTTGTTTTGGTAATTGTTACTAGCAATAAAATGCATTGGCGGGTTAAGAAACACTTTTAAGTTGACTGACAAGACTTATTCCAGTTGTTGGTAGAAGCACACCACATTTCATTATATCCCAGTTTATATTTTAATGCAAAAGCACTATAATAAATATTACTATTTAGAATTTTCAGCTGTTGGGACTTACTGTGTGCTAAATATGTCCATTATTACCCACTTTGTAAAGACTGAAAGGGATTTATCCTTTCTCCAGTGTAATGGTTTTTTCCATTTTACCTATCATAAAAAATGAGAACAGAGGGAAAAAGCTGATTAAAAAGTCTAGGTAGATTATCCTTGTAATTATGTCTAGCAAAGAGAAAGTTTAGTTATTACATATAAACAGATATATGAATGTATGTATGTGTCTTTGAGGTATGGGTTATAGAATTAGCTGTGTTCATTAAATGCCCCAGTGTAATTTAATGAAATGGCTTTTTCTCCTCCAGTTCTGTAGAAAATGTTCTCAAAACACTCGTGAAAAGCTGTCGACCGTAAGTAGCTCTCAATTTATAAAGCCCCTTTGTTTACTTGTGGGCATTCCCCCATCTTTACTGTACTTTGAAGAGGAAACTAAAGGTATAAATAGTTTCTGATATTGTAGTGCTTGTCATTGAGAACAACACAGCGTTCCTAGCTCCTGATTGAATTTTTATCTCTTTTATATAAAATTAATTTATTACGTGTGTGTGTGTGTGTGTGTGTGTGTGTGTGTGTGTGTGTGTGTGTGTGTGTGTGAGATGCACCATGACTCCATGTGTAGAGGCCAGAGGACAATGTTATGGAATCTGTTCCATCTTTACCTGATGCCAACGATTGAATTCAGGTGGTCAGGTTTGTATGGCAAATACTTGCTTAGCCATTCCATTGACCTTTAAATTTTTAATTGGTATTACTTTGTTAAGAACTGACTGAAAAATTAGGAAGGGAAATTTGATGTATAAGGTCCTTGAAAATAAAACATAGTTCAGTGGTGGAAGTTTTGTTTTAAATTGCAATTTTCTGCATTAGTACCTGGAACAGATTGTTTGGTGAACTCAATAGAAATGTTATTAGTAATGTACCTTTATTTTTAATATTTTTAAGTTAACAAAGGTTTAACAAAAATATGATAAGTTAATATGCTGTATATGTCAAACCTATAAATTGATTTCTTTGGGACAAATTATAAATTTCTCAGATCCAGTACTTTATACTTCAGATTGATTAATTGATTGATAATTTGAAACAGGGTCTCAAGTTGCCATGTTGACTTTGAAGTTCTTCCTCGTCATACTGCCTCCATCTCGCAGTGCTAGGATCACATGTACACACACACACACATACACACACACCTACCTGTTTCTTTCTGTTTCTTTATACCTTTCCCGATGCATTTAGCAATTTACAAGTGGCCTCCTTAAATCATGTACCTTCCTTCATATTTGTGTGTGTGTGTGTAAAGAGAGAGAGACAGAGAGAGAGGAGAGAGATTGACTTCAGGTTAGGTTTTTAAGTAGCTAAATCACAAGGATGCTCCTGGCCTTTTTACAGAATTGCAGAATATCAGCCTGTAGAACCACGTCTTCCTACTCCCTTCTGGTATGAGGAGGACCTATGATCCTACAAGGGTGTACGGTACCCATCGACTCATCTGAAATGTCCCAAAGGTTCCTGGGCTGATGCTTCTGTATTATTGTTACTGATTATTTCTGAAAGAGGCTAGAATTTTATAGTTGCTATTACTTAACACAAAGAAATCAAACCACAGCCCTGTTGAATTTTGTAGGCAACTTTGTGGGGGTCTGCTAGATGAAAAGAATTTACTTCCTCTTAAATGTGGTAGAGCATTTATTCTGTCTTTGCAAACATGTTCTTATGCGATACATTGACATTTCTAGTGTAATGTCTTTTGAAGAATATTCTCCCACGAGAAACTCTTCTCTTTTGCTGATAGGAATATATCAAAGAACTCATGTGCTGGGCAAGTGGTGTTGATTCTCTAGGCCTTTTCTCTCCCTTCTGTCAATCATTTATATGTGTTGTAGAGTTTTAATCCAATGATCAGATACTGATACATTTTTTTTTTTGAAGATATTTTCCAGCAGATGCAACAGCAGAAATGTTAGAAGAATGGCGGCCTTTAATGTGTCCTTTTGATGTAACAATGCAAAAGGCCATCACTTATTTTGAATTATTTCTTCCTACCTCCCTTCCTCCAGAGCTGCATCATAAAGGTTTTAAGTAAGTGTGTGCATATTTGACATACTCTAGATTATAGCAATACCAAGAACTAGCAAAGAGCCAAGAAATGTGCAGCTCATTGATTCTGTTTAGTATATTCCAAGTATGAAGGCTAAAACAGTTGAACATATGATTGTAAAGAAAGTAATGTTTATATGACAAGCTCATGAAAATGATGATTTTAAGAAATCAGAAAAAAAAATAGAACACTGATGTGGAAATATGTCAGAAAAGGAGAAAGGCAAATGATATAAGGGAGAAAATTGTAACGGTTGCTAAATAAGAGTGGGAAATAACAACTCAGGACATTTAGTAGATAAGATAGCACAAATAAAAAGGACAAGGAATACTCAGATGAAAAGCATTCCTTTGTTCCATTAAGTTTGAAACTTTCAGTGTCATTTTTTTCTGGGTTGTATCACTATCAGTAAGAAAAATAAATTTATAAGTGCAAAGAATACCTGACTTTGAACCACTTTCCATAGTTACTTTCTATTCATAACACTGTTTTTCTTCTTCAGACTTTGGTTTGATGAATTAATTGGCCTTTGGGTTTCAGTGCAAAATCTTCCACAGTGGGAGGGGGTAAGTCATCTCTCCCCCCCCCCATAGTTTTAAAATTGGAGATAAATAGATCATATAGTAAATAACTTCTGTTTCTTAGAATTTCTATTAGTAATGTTACAGTTAATTCCTTTTCTTTCTTTTTTAAAAGCTGTGTGTCTGTCTGTCTGTGTGGATATAAGCATGTAAGTACATATGCTTGAGGAAGCCAAAACATTGCATACCCTAGAGCTGGAGCTCTTGAGATTATTAGTTTTGTTTTGTTCTTTATGGACAGCTCAGTGTATAGGCAGTGAGGTACAGGTTTCAGGAGCCTGTTTTTACTACCTCTGCCTAGCCACCAAAAACCATGTCTTTGTTGTTTAAGCACCAGACTGGGGATGAGACCTGGCTCCTTAAGCACCATGAAACACTTAGCCTAACTCTCAAAAATGATTACCTCCACAACACCCCCAGCTAGGATCACTTCGTGACATGTGCCTCGCAGCTCTGGCTCAATCTATAGATAGATCACAGTGGGCTCAGAAACATCAGGAGGCAGAAAAGGACTGGAGGAATACCCAGGCTGGTGACTAAACTGGTGCCACTTGAACTTAGACAGTCGAATAGCCTTGGTCATAGGTAGAACAGCAGCGGGGTCTTTCTTTACAGGTATTTTTTAGCCACCAAATATGGGTGCTAGAACCCAAGTTGGGTCCTCTTCAAAAACGTTGTGGTGTTCCTAATCATGGAGCCATCTCTCTCCAGGACCAGTTAGTTTTTTTCATCTTACTATTTTCTAACAGAAGTAGGCAAGCATGCATTATAAAGTGTGTGGCTGCTGTTTGCTTTCATTAGTACTTATTATAGGTGTTGTTGGCTATTTGCTGGAGTTATATGTATTTATTTTCCTTTCAATTTTCATTGTACATAATGCTTTGTGGTGTTTTCCTTGCAATTGATTTTAAGTGATTGGCATTAGTCAGATCTTAAATTTCAAGTTTTTAAAATCTGAGTCCCATCTCTCCATCACCCATGTGCTCATTTTTTAGTTGATTCTTCAGTTTGATGAATAAAGACAATTGTTTTCAACAACACAAAAAAAAGTATTGTGACTGCAATTGATAATAGTATGTGTGGCTTTTTAAAATTACATTTATTTGTTTGTTTTTGTGTGTACATGCAAACATGGCAGTTCAAGAGCACAGCTTGAGAATGGAAGACGTTCTTTCCTTCCACAACATGGGTCTTGGGAATCAAACACATTATCAGGCTTGGTAGCAAATGCCTTTTGCTGGCTGAGCCATCTTGACAAACTATGAATGGCATCTATACTGATAAATTTTCTTCAGTAGGATCACTCACTGAGAGATAGGTGGGCACATTTAGTGTTTACTTAGATTTACTTAGATTGACTAAAGTAATCCATGTAATTAAAAGTGAATTATAACAATGTGAGTGAAAGGACTAAGGTGATAGCTTCTTGGGTGCTTTTTTGCATTAGCGTAAAAAATCTTAGTTCAAATCCTTAGCACCCAGGTAAAAATCTAGATGTGGTTGGGTTTTCCTCTGCAATCCTAGCAGTGGATATAGGGAGAGATGGATTATTGTAGCTAAGTGGCAACCAGCCTAGCTCCACATTCAGTGAAAAATCATGTCTCAAGGAAATAAAACAGAAGGTGATAGAGCAGGATACCTGAGGTCCTCCTCTGGTTCTCATGGCAACACATGTGCACATATATCACACACACACAATGTAAGGTAGAAATGAAATTATTATTTATAAGTTTAGTATACATAATCACAATTTTCAAAATGATTTCTAAACCAGGTACTATCTAAGTTATTACATGTTTTTCCAATTATGTGTAAAATAATACAGTCAAGGATATGTCTTTATTGATAGAGAAATAGTCAATTAAATAAGAGTTGCAGGCAAGTATCTGGAGAATGTGAAGTTCTATGGGCATATGCCAAGTAGTAGAGCTTGCTCATATGGTAGGTGTATTGGTTGTTCAATGACAAATGATTACTCCTGAAAGCATACATCTAAGTAGCATAAAGGCTAAGCAGCTTTTACTTAGGAATATGTACATATATACAGTCATATAAACATCTGTATATAGTGAAAAAGAGGCCACATATTTGAAAGAGAGCAAGGAAGGATATATGGAGGGAGAAAAAGAGGGAAATGATGTAATTATAATCTCAAACAATAAATAATTTAGCCAGCAGTGGTGGTGCATGCTTCTAATCCCAGCACTGAAGAGGCAGAGGCAGGCAGATCTCTGATTTCGACACTAGCCCAGTCTACAGACACGAGGAGAGCCAGAGCTGCTATACAGAGAAAACCCGTCCCAAAATGAATAAGTAAGCAGATAGATAGATAGATAGATAGATAGATAGATAGATAGATAGATAGATAGATGATAGGCAGGCAGGCAGGCATTTAAGAGACAGGGTTTCTGTACATAGCCCTGACTATCCTGAAACTCACTGTGTACATCAGGCTGACCTTGAACTCAGTGATTCACCTGCCTGTGTTTCAGGAGTGCTGGGATCAAAGGTGTGCACCACCACTGCCCAGCTGAAAAAATAAACCTTAAAAAAAAAGAAGAGTTGGAAGGCACTGAAGGTATGGCCCAAATAGGTGAGCTTCAGGTTTAGTGAGACATTGACCTCTTCTGGCCTCTAAACTCCTAGCATGCATGCATTCATATAAACATACACAGACAACATAGCAGAGAGAGAAAAAATAAGCAAACTTATGTTTGTAAAGCATATCCAACTATGTTATCAAAGTATTAATAAATGATTTTAAACATTAAAAAAATCTGAGTCATTTTTCAGCTGATTGGAGAATAAAACAAATGAGGAGTCAGGCATAGTTGCACACACCTGTAACCCCAGCGCTTAAGAGGCTGAGGCAGCAGTGTCATAAGTTCAAGACCATTTTGGTACATGGTAAGAATCATCTCAAGAAAATATGCAAATAAATATAAAAGAACAAGGATTATAACTGACATTTAAAAATAACAAAATATATCAAATTAACATCTTGTTTTTGTTTACTTTTAGCAATTAGTAAATCTTTTTGCTCGATTGGCTACAGATAATATAGGATACATAGATTGGGATCCATATGTACCAAAGGTAATTAGAACATTTGAATATTTGTATCATAGTCCTCGTACTAATATTATATGTAAAGGGGAATTTCTTTTAAAGATTTATGTACTTTATGTTTGTTTTGTCTGTATGTACAATTGCACATCAGAAGAAGGCATCTGATCCCATGGGACTACAGTTATAGATGGTTGTGAACCACCATGTAGGTTCTGGGAATTGAACTCAGGACCTCTGCAAGAGTGGCCAGTGCTCTTATCTTAGCTGCTGAGTCATCCCTCCAGGCCAGAATTTTTTTTTAAACCCTAATGTCAGGTACTGTATATGCCTGACAATGAAGGATATGAACTATAACTTTCAGAATGAATAATTTAGAAAGTAGTAATTATTAGGAATACCCTGAATATTAAAATTACTAGGCACATTATGAATTTATTCCTTCCAAAGAATTTTCTGTGTTAAATTAGATTGCATTCTAGAGTGTTACCTACTGTCCCGCCTTTAGTAATTAAAGCTAGACTATCTCTAGAGATGTATTATTATTTCAGTTTCAGTAGAATCTCTTGCAAAGCCTTGTAGGAGTTGGGAGCAGGACTAGGACTCAGCAGAAAGGCCTTGGCTGCCTTTGCTTGTGTTCTACACTGTCGTTACCTTATAAAAACTGAGGGACAGAGGCGGGCCCCACCTCCTCTCATTTGGACCCCTATCAGTAGTAATAGCTTTAAAATATAAACTTACATCTCTGTGAATTCGAGACCAGCCTACTCTGCAAGAACTAGTTACAGGACAGCCTCCAAAGCCACAGAGAAACCCTGTCTTGAAAAACCAAAAAAAGAAAATATAAACTTAATTTCATTAAAATGTAGTTATTACCTGCTGCCTAACATAGTCTTTGGAAGGACTTGAAGAACTCTCTAAGGTTTGAAGAGTGAAAGGGCCTGCCAGACACTTTTCATTAGGGCTACTGCTGTCACATATCTTTGGCATAGAATGGGAACATGGGAAAGTATTGTGTATGTATGCAGAAAGTGGAAGGTTTCATGTTTAACTGCAGTATCTGCGTTTTTCTCTTTTGTGTTTAACTATAAATATTCCATTGTTTGAGTATATGAACTCAGCTGCTTTGTATCTTTGGCCTGTGCCCTCAGAGTATTATGTAATAAATGTTATATTTCCTAAAGAATAAAGGAAATTAATAGACATTCATAATTTTGCTTAGAGTCCCATGGTGGGGGGGGAATGAGGGTGTATTTAAGTCTAATACATAATACTCACTTAGCTGCTTAAGGACTTATGAGTAAACTTTTTATTCAATGTATTTATTTTGTTTTGCTTTAAAAGATATTTACAAGGATTCTGAGAAGCCTGAACCTCCCAGTGGGAAGCAGTCAAGTGTTAGTCCCCAGATTTTTAACAAATGCTTATGATATAGGACATGCTGTAATCTGGATCACTGCAATGATGGTTTGTAGTAAACTATGTGTCTTGTAAAATCCACTTGTATTTTCCTTAACCTTCTGACTCAAGCCTGTGTTAATAACTTGGTTAGTCACTTGATTGTTGAATAATTTTCTTTCTTCTCTTCCTCTTTCTACTGTTTTCCCTTTCCCTTCTCCCCTCACTTTTCCTTTCCCCTTCCCCTTTCTTCCCCCTTCCACCTTTTTTCCTCCCCTCCCTTCCCTCCATTTTTGCTGGGGATTGAATCCAGGAACTTGTAAATGACAAGATTCATCTATTTCCTGATGTGGTGTATCTATCCATAGTTCTCAGATCTATAATGTGGTTATGATCCATCATTTATAAATCTCCATATGGATTTCAGTATTATCTTTCAAATATAAATACACATTTAGAGCAGCTCCTTGAATTTTTATTCTGTATTTGATAATGTTTCTGTGGAAAATACAGTGTTCATATAAATTTATAGTGAGAAATTAAAATTCCCCCATTGTTACATAGAAAGAACTTTAGTTTTTTTTTTTTTTTCTTAGTATTCAAAGGAGAAAAGAATGTTTGATGTTTATTGTGGAGGTTTCACTGACTTGGGATTTGTCAACTTTGAGTTAATTTTGTTGTTTTTCTACACACTTCTCACTAGCAATTTATTTTGTAATGTGAAAATATAATAAAAAGCAAGTTGTGCTGAAATTTGAAAATTGTGATACCATGTTGCTGTGGAATCCTTTTGGTTTATTGAGTAGTTGGCCTTTTCTGGTTTCTGTATTGAGAAACATAGACATAGGTAGGCTTTGTTTGAGTTGGAGAAGCATGGTCTTAATGCAGTTTATTGTTGTTATTATTTTGTTTGAGACTTGAGAAGGTTAAGACAGGGTCTAGCTACATAGCCTTGACTAACCTAGAGCTTACTGTGTAGATCAGGCTAGCCTTGAACTTGTGATTTTCTTGCCCCTGTCTGGGATTGGAAGTATGAATCAGTATACCTTTCTTGAATATAATTTGATGGTTTGTCTCCTGTGCTATTGTGGAAAGATCATTATGAGACAAACTAAAGGGTGTAAGCCCATGCTATATGGCCTATTAGATGAATACTAATTTTTTTCTTCTATTTTCCCCCATTCATTTGTTTTGTGTTTGTTAATAACAAATTAATAAAAATATATTTTTCTTTTGAATTAAAATTTTATGTATAAATCTTTTTCATGCAATGAGAAATTTACCAAGTGTCTAATTTTAAGGAGTGTTTTATATGCCTTATGTTGCCATTCCTTTTTCCTTTTTAAACTGTGTACTTGTACATGGGAGTCAACAGTATCCATGTGAACATTAGAGAACAGTATTGGTGGGAGGGGGGCGCTCTGTTCTGTCTATCATGTGTGTCCTGGGTCAAACATTTTCAGGTTTGAGGCAGTCACTTTTCCTTGATAAGCCTTTTCACCAAGCCCCTATTATTATCATTATTGATTATATCAAGATGATAGTCTTCGTGTTAAATTATAGTATCCTTGTTTTTTACTTAAGAATAGTAAAGTCTACTGTTACCTAAGCTGAAAGGTGGCACTTTTTCAGTTCTATAATTAGATTTAAATTAGTATTTATTTTTTATTGGAATGCCAACTTCATTGGGGAGTTGCTTTTGACTTGTTTAAAGATGTAACTGTTAGGTTGATGGGAACCCACATTCGAGCTTTGTATATAGGGTTTGACTTACTGATCAGTTGATATACAGTATTGTATAGGTACTAATGTTTTTACTCTCTCTTCTTGTTTTTTGCTCTGGACAGGGTGGACCAAGTAAATTAGTACAAAAACACTTAGCTGGTTTGTTTAATAGCATCACATCTTTTTATCATCCTTCAAATAATGGGCGTTGGCTGGTAAGTATGCTCAGTTAGTATTGTATTATTTGAAGATTTAAGAATATATTCATATTTGAGTATTGCTTATGTTAGAATTATAATATTTCCTGTCTTTGATATAAGCTTTGGCTATATGTAAGTGGCTAGACTCGAATCAGTGTGTTTGAAAGACATAGAAATTAAATGCATCACTAATAACATGTTGCTTCATGGCTTAGTGACAAAATGCTAAATATTGGCAAGAAAATGATAATAAATAATACCACAAAAGCATGGGTACATTGTTTCAATTTTGTCAGCTATGTTAACTTTGTTTTCTTTTAAATTGCATGATTAAACTGACCTTTTTAAAATGTTATTTGATGGCAAGATACTTTCTCACTTCTCCATCTCTCCTCTTTTAAGACAGGGTGAGAGTCTGTAGCCCTAACTTTCAGAACTCACTATATAGATGAGGTTGACCTCAAATTATCAGAGATCCCTGAGATTAGTGTGTGCCAACACACTTGGCTAATAAATCCTTTTAAAATGTGAATTTAAGATAAGGCAGGGAGGCACATGACTGTAGTCTTAACATCTACGAGACTACAGTAGGAAGAGCTAGGCTGTGCTATACAGTGTGACCCTGTCTAAAGGAAAATAAAACAACAGTATAAATCCTTGAATTTAGAGGTCACTGTTTGATAATTGGTATAGTATGTTTTTTTTGTTTTGTTTTTGTTTTGTGTGTGTGTGTGTGTGTGTGTGTGTGTGTGTGTGTGTGTGTGTAGTTAGAACAGACAGTTCTTTATATGAAACTTCAGAGAGTTTTTTTCTTGAATGAGAGGAACCTTAAATATCTGTGTAGGAAAGTTGAGCCTGCCACAACCTATTGTTTCTGTTTCCCCAGAACAAATTAATGAAACTCCTTCAGCGATTGCCAAACAGTATTGTTAGGAGATTACATCGTGAAAGATATAAGAAGCCCTCTTGGTTAACTCCTGTGCCTGAGAGCCACAAGCTTACTGATCAAGATGTTACCGACTTTGTACAATGCATTATTCAGCCTGTCCTCTTGGCTATGTTTAGCAAAACTGGTAGTCTAGAAGCAGCCCAGGCTCTGCAGAACCTTGCACTCATGAGACCCGAGTTAGTAATACCCCCTGTGCTTGAAAGGTAAGTTCAGCTTTGTATGTTTGATAGATGCCTTAGACATTTGTTTACCTATTTCTTCTTACATTCGCTTTTTCTGCCTGTGGCATGTGTTTTGTGTTTTTGATATTTATATCCAACTGTTCTTAGAAAAGAAGCAAGTTTTTTTTTTTTTTTTTTTTTAAGCTTGAATTGGTAATTTAAAGGCCAGAAAAAGTTAAAATGAAACTGATAGCTTATTTTAGATTATTTGTCTATTTCATTTACCCAGCCTTTTACTCATAAATGAAGACTTTTTTTGTTTGTGTCAACATGTCAATAAATATCGAATGGAACAGAGAATCAATGAAAGAAAATTACATTTTCTTTTCATGTCATTACATGAAATTCATGTGATACATGAATATTAAATTGATTTCTTTTTATGTTGAAACTACTTTCTAAAATAACATTCTACTGGTTGACCTAGTAGGTTCTAAGTAAGCCAGAGCTATGTAATATGAAACCTATGTCAAAACAAGCAAAGGACAAAACCCCAATACTATTTGATGTAAGGAGTAATGTTTTTCCGCCCACTGCTGGTCTTGTACAGCCCCAATTAACGCACAGAGACTCTGCATTTGATATAATTCTGTTGGCCCGTTACTTGTTTCTTATCAGTTACCTCTGTCTTAAGTATCAACCCATTTCTATTAATCTAGTATTTCCATTTGGTCTTACCGGGCAGTGAGGCCAGCGTCTGGTATCCCCAGTTTCTCCATCTTGGCTCGTCCTTACTACTTCATCTGTCTTAATTATTAACCCATTTCTGTTAATCTAATATTTCCACTTGCTTTCATCTTATCAGGGAATGGGACAGGCGTCTCGCCTCCCCAGCCTCTCCATGTTGACTCCTCCTTATTCCTTCCTCTCTCCTCCTTGTCACCTATTCCCTCCTATCTTCCTTTCCTATTGGCCAACAGTGCTTTATTCATTAACCAGTATGAGAAACATATTTACAGAATGACATCTCCCATCATCTCCTCTTTTATGTCTAAAATAAAAAGAAGGGTTTTAACCTTAACATAGCAGAATATATCACACAGCAGTTATTAAGTAAGAATCACAGTTAACAATATTTAGTCCATTAACATTTAGCAAGATTTGAAGAAAATATTCCATCATCTATTCTATCTTTGTGTGTCTAAAGTCTTTGTAACTTATCTTTAATCCTAACTAAGGAAAACTATAACCATAACTATCTGTCTTTAACTCCTTCAAAGACCACAGAAGTATAGTATATAAACTCTAAAATGACAAAGACTGGACACTGCCTGGACAGTCACCCGAAGTTCTTCTGTAATCTTTCATTTTCAGCCCATAGGCCATAGTGTGTCTGGCAGACTCTTCAGCTAAGCAATAAACTTTAAACTGTTTTCTTGTATTGGCAGCTTGTCAGTCACTTTTCTCTGTGTCCTGCAGACTGTCTGGCAGACTCTTCGATGAAGCAGGAACTCTGTAGCAATGTCCATCTTGAATCAGCAGTCACTTTTCCTGGGTCCTGCATGTCCAGTTTATACAGTATAAAGTCAAATAGTCCAGACAAGAGCAGTATCTTGTCCAAATGGCTAGTCTTGCCAAATTGAAAGTAAACTTTATAACGAGTTCTCATGAAGCATATTAGATCCAACCTTCCATGCCTCCCCAGACCACCATGCCCAGGCCCAGGGGCTTCCTCTGGCCTCCTTGAAGCAGGGAGAGATGCCCCAGTTGCCGAGGTTCATGTTCCCTCAGTCAGCCTTGTGCCTCTGTAGTGGCTCCCATCCTTCCCCCTCAGCCCTGCTAGCCAGCAGACACCCGGGCTCCCCCTCCAGTCCCTGCTGCGGCCCTGCTCTGTTGTTGTGTTTTTCAATTCCATACTGACCTCAGTGTTAGGTCTCTTCAACATTTCTTTCTCCCTATTGAATTCAGCCTTCAAACCCGAGTTTTTCTTCAAAACAAAAATAAAATTTCTGTTTATTTGTGGTTTTTTTCATTATTCTAGCATTTATTGCTACTCTCGAAGTTCTTTAAACTGTTTGTGCCTTACATTACTTGAATTCTTTGATGTTCACAACTGTTGGTTGAAGTTTATGAATAGGATAAGTGGCCACCCTGTGAGATAATTGCCATATAGTTGGACAGGTAATTATTCCAGCAAGCTCCCATGCCAGGAATTTAATAGAGATGTGGTCTGTTGGTAAATGAATTCCATAAGTTCCTGCAAAACATCATGGGTTGTATTCCATCCTATTCAAGGTTTCTGTAAACAATTCATTTCTATTTAAAAATTGTCAGGTTTCTTTGCAAGATGATGCAAAAAAAAAAAAAAAAAAAATCTGAACATACTCTGATAGAGTGAGATAACTCTCAGAACTATCTCCAAAAGATTCTGTATACTTAAAAATGAGGTTTGTATGTATGGGGGGTGTCCTGATGGATAAAAAGTCTTGTGTGTATGGAGGATATGTCTTGATGGGTAAAATGTGGTATGGGGGATGTTTACAGATAGCTTAGACATTAATACAAAACCACCAGATTTAATGGATGTATACTGGACTCAGTTGATGTCTCTTAATAAACCTTATATTGCAGCTTCTACTTATTAGGTCCCCATGAAAGCCATTCCACACACAGGGACTGATATTTCTATTAATAGAAATCTTAAACTAGATCCTAAACCCGAAGCCCACCCCTAAACTCTTAATCCTAACCCTAATCCTAAAACCACCCTAACCCAGGTTTAATCTAAATCCTAACACTAACCCTAATCCTAATCTGATCCTAACCTAACTCTAATGCCCTAACCATCACATTGTAAAACCCAGACCCCTAGAGATTCTGGGTTAAGGCCCTATCTTAGTTGGGGATTTTATTGTTCCTGTGAAGAAACACTGGGACCATGGCAACTCTTATAAAGGGAAACATTGAATTGGGTTGGCTCATTTACAGTTTCAGAGGTTCCGTCCACTATCATAATAGGGAGAGCCTGACGACATGCAGACAGATATGGTGCTGGAACTGAGAGTGCTACACTTTGCAGGCAACAGGAAGTCAACTGTCTGTCAAACCAAGGGAAGCTTGAGAAAAAGACACTAAGCCTACCCCCACAGTGACATACTGCCTCTAAGGGGCCACACCTCCTAATAGTGACATTCCATTTGGGGGCCAATTTCTTTCAAATCACCACAGACCCTTAACCCCTAGCCCTCTAACTCCAATCCTCTAACCCTCTAACCTTCTAACCCTAACCTATGCTAATATTAACCTATCCTAGCCCTAACCATAACCTTAACCCCAACCCCAACCCTAACCCTAACTGAACCCTAACCCTCTAACTCTTATTCTGTACAAGAGCCAAGGGAAATAGAAAGTCTCAGCCTCAAGGTAGTCATTGCCCTTAGGAGGCTGATCACAAAAACTTAAACCTGCCAACTGTAATTTATGCCTTTATAAAGTGACAAGCTAATTGGCAGGTATGCGTCTGTCCAGAAAAATCCCACTTCCCTGCTGCATGGCCCCACCTTGTGGTTTTAGAGGCTAGAATGAAAATGAAAGGTAGACTCAGAAATAAAGCCTTCTAGGAGTTGTCCTGGCTTCAGTCTGCTGGTGACATTTCTCTTCCATTCTCATTAGTACTGTTTACAGTGCTGTTTACAGAGAGAGGCCAGCAACAGGGGAAAGTGGGTGCATTACTCTGATAGAGTTTGATGTCCATATTCCTTTCTGACGCAGGTGGTGTTGCCAGGAGCAATGTCTCATTGTCAAGAAAAACCCTAAACCATTTTAAATGCCATATTCTATAGGTCTTTGAAAGGTTTGAAGAATGCCTGTCTATCTCAAATACATCTCTGCATATCTAGAAAACCTAACTCACCTAACTATAAGTTTGACTATCATAGGTAATTATCTATAATCTGTACTACATTATACATTACATTCTAAATGAGCTATATAAACACAATACCTAAACAAGAAGAGAACTATGCATATTACAAAATTGACCTTAAATTTGTATCAATAAATGAAAATCCATTCCAAAACAAAGTATTCACATCTATACCCTTTTTACCTTTAAAATGATTGGTTGTGGTCATTAACCATTTATAACCAACCCCATTTAAATGAAAACAAACATTTATAAACAATATTTGGGAATTTGGGCGTCATTCTTTCCAAACTACTTCCTGCTGGTAGGGGGCGCTGTCATGGGGGATCCTAAGAAGACACAGAAATCCTGGCTGTAGTCTGCAAGGCTGCCTTGTTCAAGCTGTTTTGAATGTTGGATCACCAGGAACGTTGTTTTCGGGGGGCTGGCTTGATCAGACCACATTAGTCTGGAAGGAATCCACAGATTTTCATTTTCTGTAGAAACAAAATTAGAAATCCTTGTCCCTAGTAATTTGTCCTTAGACTTAAATTTTGAAGTCAAAGCATTTTTAAAATATATAATTGAATTAATCTAGCAGTATTTAACAGTTATTTCCTCAGTAGTCAAATGATACAAAGACAATATCCAGATTCTCTGTGTTTTTCATCTTTACGTGGCTTTATTATTACTCTCTTTTTATATTTTTTATTTTTTCATTTTTTGAGACAGGGTTTCTCTGTTTAGCTTTTATCTGTCCTGGAATTCACTCTGTATACCAGGTTTACTTTGCAGTGACAGAGATCTTCTTGCCTCGGTCTCCTGAGTGCTGGGATTAAAGGCATGTGTCACCACACCCAACTCCTCGCTGTATTTTCAAAACCATTTTATTCCTTTTCTCTCCTAAGCCTACATATATTTTAGAACATAGTGTAAACCTTTAGAGGTTTTCTTAATGTGAATCTGTGTTTACTGTAAATCTTTATCTTTTTCTGGCCACGAGTCTTTTATCTGGTAATCAACAACATTGCTAAAATGAAAGTCATAGTTGTTTCTGCTGCAATTTATCAAAGATGGTGGCAGCTATTTTACCCCCAGCATTGAGAGCTGTGCTCACTGCCTTGGTCTGTGCTGCCATTCGGCAGCTTGCTGCCGGCTTGGAGATGTGGTCACTGCCATTGCCAGCTCTGACACACAGTAATAAATTGTTAGCAGAGTTTCTTAAAAGCCTTGCAGTTTTTCACTGTTTATGCTGAGACAGGAGCCAGAGTCCAACTGAGAAAAATGTTGCTACCAAGAAACCTTGCTTGTCTCTGTTCTTTTGTTTATAAACCCTTTTTTAAGCTTTTGTTAAATTTTAAATGGAAGTTCTTATTAGTCATGTGGGCACCATATGTAAGGAGTAATGTTTTTCTGCCCACTGCTGGTCTTGTCCCGCCACCACGCCAGCCCCAATTAACACAGAGATACTCTGTATTTGATATAATTCTGTTGGCCAGTTAATTGTTTCTTATTGGCTAGCTCTGTCTTAATTATTAACCCATTTCTGTTAATCTAATATTTCCATGTGCTTTCGTCTTATCAGGGAATAGGGCAGGCGTCTCGCCTCCCCAGTCTCTCCATGTTGACTCCTCCTTACTCCTTCCTCTTTCCTCCTTGTCTCCTAGTCCCTCTTATCTTGCTTTCCTATTGGCCAACAGTGCTTTATTCATTAACCAGTATGAGAAACATATATACAGAATGACATCTCCCATCAATTTTACATATGTGTGTCAATGAGCATGGAATTGCAAGTACCTAAAGAGGCAAAAGAAGGTGTTGGATTCTTTGGAGTTACAAGTGGTATGGTGGGTTTCCTGGTGTGAGTGTTGGAAACTGAATTCTCGTTTTCTACAAGGGTAACAAAATCTCTTAACCACTGAGCCACTTCTCCAGCCTGAGAATTCTTTTTAAATGTAAGGGGTCAGTGGTATAACTTAAAAAGGCCCTTGTCACCAAGCTAGATGACTGAAGTTCCTGGAATGTACATTGTGGATGGAGACAATTGACTTCTATAATTTGTTTTTTGATGACACACACATACATACAGACCTCATAAATAATAAATGTATAAAAAGTTAAAAAGTAAGTGGTAATATTTGTGTGTAGTTGGTTTCAGCTACTCAGGAGGCTAAGAAACATGGATGGCTTGTTCAGGACTTTAAGGCTAACTTGAAAAAGTCAGTGACTGTCTCTGTCAGAAATTAAATAAGCGAGTAGAAATATAAAAATATTGTATTGTATTCTGAGAATAAGGTTAAGTATTGTTCCTGCATCTTTTTCAGTAAGGCTTTACTTTGGGGGTTTGTTTTTTCTCATCCAAGTACTAACCTGGCTCAACTCTGCTTAGCTTCTAAGATCAGACGATATTGTGTGTATTCAGGGTGGTATGACTGTAGACTTGGGGGTTTGTTTTTTATGCAGATGATTGAACCTGGGGTGTAGACAAATGTGTTCTAGGCAAGCATTCTACCATTAAGCTACAATCTAGCCATGTTTTCCTTTGTCTAAGAGGGTCTCATTTGATAGCCCAGGCTTACCCCAAACCTTGGAATTCCCAAGTGCTGGGAGTACAGGTGGGAACACAAAAACTATCTTGTTCTTTTTCTCTTTTTCGGATTGGACAGATGCTCACTTGCTGCTTATTCCCAGCACCCACTTGGCAGCTCACAACCATCATGACTCCAATTTCAGAGGGATTTAGTTCTTTTCTGGCCTCAATGGGCACCATGCATAAACATACTAAACAAACATACCTTTGAGCAAAACACCTGTATACATAAATAAAGATAATTAAATCTAAAAATATTTAATGACATTACTGTTATTTACCTTTTCTACATAAATATATATTAATATTCCTTTGCATTTCTCCCCTACAAAGTAGATTTTCAGAGGGAAATAATTGAAGTTCTGGGTAAAGTTCCTAGGAATCCACTTAAAAAGATAGGTATCTGTAACTCCAGCTCTGGAAAGGTGAGGATAAGGTACCTGTAACCCCAGCTCTGCAAAGGTGAGGACAGGAAGATTCTTGTGACTGGTGTTTGGCCATTGTAGCCAATCAGTGAGCTCCAGTTTCAGTGATACCCTATCTCAGAAGATTAAGGTGGAGAGATGTGGCTTGGTTGGTAGATTGCTTTGTTAGCACGAACAAAGTTATGAGTTCAGTTCAGTTCCCGAGCATTGCGTATAAAACCTGACATGGAGGCACAAGCTTGTAATTCCAATACTTTAGGACAAAGTGATGAGAGGATCAGAAACTCAACATCATCCTCAGTTGCTTAAGACCCTATCTCAAAAAAAAAAAAAGCTAAGCGTGTTTGTGTGTGTGTGTGGTGGTGGTGGTTGTTTTGGTTTTGGGTTTTTTGGTGAGGGGGGAATTAGTAAAATAGTTGAATTTTGTCATTCTTAGTTAAGTATGATGTGGATTAAATTGGCTGAAACAGTGAAGGTATCAGTTTATGCTTTTTCACTAGAGTCAAGAGAAAATGAGACAGGGTTGTAGACTGTTCCTTTATGTATATAAATCTGTTTATGTTAATAGGAAATCTCAACTCTAAGCATTCTGCTATCTATAATACTGTAAGTCAAAATGCAGTCTATGAACTTAGTATATTTAACATTTAAACTGTATTTTCTTTTAAACTATAGAACATATCCTGCTTTAGAGACATTAACAGAACCTCACCAGCTCACAGCCACTTTAAGTTGTGTAATTGGAGTAGCCCGAAGTTTGGTATCAGGCGGCAAATGGTTTCCTGAAGGTCCAACACACATGCTACCTTTGTTGATGAGAGCATTGCCTGGGGTGGATCCAAATGACTTTAGTAAATGCATGGTGAGCATATTGACTGTTATGTTTTATAGCAGTTATTGTTTAAATTGACATCTTTTTCTCTTTATTTAGAGGTCTTTAGATGATAATGTAGCTTAATATCAAATCTTATGGCACAGTAATAACATTTGTAAATGTTTATGTTGAGATTTTGTACTCAACTGATTTTTAATGCTTTGCTTTGTAAGTAATTTTCCTTAGCCTACATATATTTAATGCTGATATTTTAAAACTCATTACATATTTTTAGTGTGTTATCTTTGACATACTAAAAAATTACAGGAGGGTATCTCTTTCCCTTTTCTTTATTTACATGGGTAACATGATGAAAAGTTACAGAACGCAGAAGCTGTGTGGTGCTAGACACCCATAGTACAAGCACTTGGAAGACTTGAGTCAAGTTTGAGACTAGTCTGGGCTACATAGTGAGACTGTGTTTCAGAATTAAAAAATAAAATAAAAAATAAAAAAATCATCATCATCAACAAAATGCCTTCTTCCAAGAACAACAATTATAGGATATATAATTCTATCTTCTACTTCTACACATTTTCTCTCAACTTATTACTTTACTATTTTTTTTTTTTTTCCTGTTCTTTGACATTTTAGCATTTCCCTATAGTGTTACATTTTCAGGTGGAAGACAAAGTGACTTCTCAGTGACAAAAGATTAGAAAACTATGAATATAAAGTGGGAATAAATTGTACTCTGTAATTAAACTAACACCTAGTTAATTATTAGAAACCTTAAAATGTTAATTTTTAGAGTTAGGTATAATGGCTTACTCCTGTAGTCACAGCATTTGGGAGGCCAAGGTAGGAAGACCACCATGAATTTGAATTGATCCTTAGCTGCATCATGAGTTGCAGGTTTGTTTGAGTTAATCCTCACCCCCCTAACCCCCCCCCCCCGACAAAAATTAACTCCAAGTGAAAAATATCTAGAAAGATTAGTGTGGGGTCTTCCTTAAGATCATTTGAATATTTGTACTTAGCTTCTGCCATAACTTGTGCTAAATAAAATAGAATTATATAATGTTGAAAATTCTTTGTCTCTTCCCATAGATCACATTCCAATTTATAGGAACATTTTCTACTCTGGTGCCTTTAGTAGATTGTTCATCTGTACTGCAAGAAAGAAATGACCTCACAGAAGTAAGGATGCTTTCTGGCTATAAAAGGCTTAACGAAAATGTGTTATAATATTTGATTCTTCAAAACTGTTTTGGATAGGTTCTAGAGAGAACAGTTACTAAAGGATAGGGAAGCTGCGTGCAATGGTGCATACTAGCAATCCCAGTGCTCAGAAAGCCAAGAAACCTGTGTTATATTAATCAAGACCCTGTCTCAAAAATTGAATATGAAATCATAAATAAAAAGTGGTACAGTGTCTTCCTATTACACATGAGGAGCTGGGGTCAGTCTCCATCAGAAAGAATTGTGTTTTTGTTTGCTTTTTTTTAAAAACTGCGATTGCTATTCTGTGACTGGGGTGGTGTGTCTAGGAAGGAGTCATGCCGTCTCTGGTGATGAGATAGCTGTAGCACCCACCCTAGGAAGTATGTCAAGCAAGGCCATTCTCCTTGGGTCTGCTGGTATATTTCAATTTGTTGTCATTTTTACAGCATAGGTGGTGCTGCCTTATTTTTCCATCCATCACTGCATAAAGTAGTGTCTCCCAGGACCAGTTGCATTCAACACAGAGGTTTTCTTCATTGCTGTGGTTATTAAAGAACTGTTAAGAAGCATAGAATAATTGAAGTTTACTGAAAAGAAAATAATTTAGTCTATCTCTCATTACAAATCAGAAATGCCCAATAGTCTTAGGAATTATAGATAGGAACTGAGATACCTCAGCCGGATAAAGCATTTGCAAAGCAAGCCTAGTGACCTGAATTAGATCCTTTGAACCCATGCAAAGATGGAAGTTGAAAAGTGACTTTATAAAATTCTCCTCTGACCTCCACATGTATGTCAAATGCACATGTGTACACACAATTTCAAAAAAAATTGAATAGCACTGAAATTAATGTTAGAACCTTTAATTAGACACACACACACACACACACACACACACACACACACACACACACACACACACACACACACAAACCAACATGTCAATTAAATCTGGAAGATTGAAGAAGCCTAATTCCATGTTCCTACTGAAAGATCCTAGCAAAAATACTTCTCTATTGTTAGAACCTGTCTAGGTACAAATAAGTCTTATATATCATTACCTCAAGGAATCACTCTATATAGCTGATAGGCAGAAGCCAAGCTGGAAGCTGATAAGTCTAAGATTTAAGAGTTTCTTGTAATTCTTGGTTATGGTGGTGTCCTGCTCAACTAGACATTAGTAGCACCAGCTTACCCCACCCTCCATGATAAGAAATCTGGTTGCCTTGATTCAAATAACATAGTGAAGTGGCTTTGATTTAATATATCTAGTTATTATGTTTATCATAGTATCCAAAACAAAAAACTTACACAGGGATATTTTTTTTTTTTTAAATTAGGCCATAATTGAGTTTTATTAGTTCAGAGGGAAAAAAGTTAAACATATTTTTTTCCACATTGCAATGTTATAGATCGAAAAAGAACTTTGTTCGGCCACAGCTGAATTTGAAGATTTCGTCTTACAGTTTATGGACAGGTATGCTGTCTTTTCTCCGCTATATTTAAAAGAGGGTGGGATGTGTGTGGGTCTTTCCTGGAAGCTGGTTTCTTTTTGTGCTGCGATCTTTTATGTAGATTTTACCCAAAGCTGAAGCTGTTTGAGAGAGAGACTGTAAATCATAAAGAAAAACAAAGGTTTACCTGAGTGTTCCCAGTTTTTTGTTCCTAAAAAATGCTTTATTCGTTTTAGATGTTTTGGACTAATAGAAAGTAGCACGTTGGAGCAAACAAGGGAAGAAACAGAGACGGAGAAAATGACTCATTTGGAGAGTTTGGTTGAATTAGGTTTGTCTTCCACGTTTAGTACAATCCTCACACAATGTTCCAAAGAAATATTTATGGTAAGAGCATAACTCCAAAAAGTCACTCCAATCATTTTGTTTAATTGAAGGTTTTTCATTGAGTGTCAGTATATATGTTGCCAGTTCATCTTTTATTCTCAACTGAAGATTTTAAAAAATATTTTTGGGTTTCCACTCCAAAGTGTTTGCAGATATACTTGCTTACAGAAATCATTGTGTGTGTGAAGGGATAAAAACGATTCTATTAATTGCCATGCATTCCTCTCCACAGACCATGTGCAGCCACAAATGTTCTTTAAAGTGACCTACTTAGTTTGTATGCATTTTCAAACTTAGCTTTGGTGACTCTGCAGTTTAAAACTGAAATGTTATGCATGAGTTCTAATGTTTCTAGGCATAAAGAGTTGTACTAGCTGGACAAGTATGAGTTATTGTTGACTTGGAATCAATGTTAATGAGTACAATAAATAATGTCAATGTGATGTTACAATTTCCTGTAGGAGCAGTGGATATTTGCTGTGTAGCTCAAATTTGCCTTAAATTTGCCATCTTTCCATATCCCACAAGTGCTCACTTTATAGGAGAGTGTCACCTTGCCTGACACTGACTACATTTTTAAAACTTATAATTTAAAGTCATTATGAGAGAAGTTTTGAAAATTATACCACCACATAATAGGAATTTATCCTTAGTATAATAATCTTAAACTGGACTAGAAGTGATGTCCGTCTAAAGTATAAACATGCATTTGCCTGACAGTGGTTCATACAGAAAAATGACTATTTCTGTTTCTACTTCTTTCCTCCCTTCCTTTACTTGAGATTAATATTTAACATGACCATCCTGATTAGAAGCTTAACTATACTACACCCATGTATAACACTTACTAGGAATATATAAGTTAAGTATAGTAATACACACCTGTAATCCTAACATTTGGTTTGGTTCACTTTTTGAGATAGGTCGTCAATATGTAGCTCTGGTTCTCCTGGAACTCAATATATAGACCAGGCTGCCTTAGAACTCAACAGTCTGCCTGGGTCCGGCCCCCATCCCCATGCTGGAATCAAAGTCATGAGCTGGTACACCTAGCTTTAGTCCTAGCATTTGAAAGGAACATGTAAGAAATAGAAGACTTCAAGGTCATTGCAAGCCAGTGTGACCACATGAGACCCTCTTTCAAACAAAAACAAAACAACAAACAAAAAAAACAGCAACAAAATGAGACTATAAAGAATCTAAAGAATTGATCATAAACTATCTCTTGACAAGACTTGTTTCTAACTTTTGGTATTTGTTAATTTGTTTCTTTATGTAGGTTAAGATATTTTACATTGTAAAATTATTAAATAGACTGCTTTTTGGGTTTTTGTTTGTTTTTGTGATAGGTCTTGGTTCTGCACCCCAGGCTGGCTGTGTATCCCAGTCTGGTCTCAGTATACAATGATCCTCTTATCTCAGGTTCCCACTTGCTGGGATTATGAAACATGTCTTAAAAAGTAGAAAAATTTAAAGTTGATTCTTGTCAGAATGACAAATTTTAAGAAAATTACCCACAAAATTTTCTATTCTGTTGCATTTAATTATCAAGATGATTAAAATTGGTTCTGTCTGCTATAATGGTACATAGAATTACGATTTCAAACCAACTTTTGCTCTTCAAATGGTTTTTGTTTATTTATCTTTTAACTTTTTTCCTTCTTTACCTGCCTTCCTCCCTTCTCTGTGTGTGGGTATGTGTGCTACTGTGCATGTGGAGATCAAAGGACCACATTTGCCACTCTGTTATCTCTTTCTACAGTGTGGGTTGTAGGAATTAGACTCATGTAAAGATGACAATTACCTTTTAACTGCAGAGCTGTCTTGTCAACCTCAAGTGTTTTAAGTTAGAATCATCAACAGAGAGTATTTTTAGACCTGAATGTAATCAATGGTTAAATTTTTGCTTCTTAGTTATTGTTGGAATAGTTTGAGTATTATTTTCTTTAATGTTCTACAAGATGGTTAATTATACTGATTGGGTGTTTTTATAATTTCTGTATCAACAGGTGGCCCTTCAGAAGGTCTTTAACTTTTCTGTTTCACATATTTTTGAAACAAGAGTTGCAGGTCGCATGGTAGCAGATATGTGCCGTGCTGCCGTAAAGGTAAATTGCATTGTATTTTGCTTTTTGTTTTGATACTGTGTCTTACTTTGTTGCCCAGGTTGGCCTCAAACATGTGTGATGGGCATGGGGTTAATTATTTCATCAGTACTTGTTAGTAAGACACATTTCTCTTGCCAGTGAAAATAACACTGCTTCATATTGTGTGATTGTTGAGTATTTACTTTACCAAAGGAAAAAAATGACACCTTATTTATCCAAAACATTTTCAGTGCTGCCCGGAAGAGTCCCTGAAGCTCTTCGTTCCCCACTGCTACGGTGTTATCACTCAGCTTACAATGAGTAAGTCAGGAAAAGGGAAACCTCATTGTTCTGTCTGTGTGATTTTTTTAGATACAGTTTTTCTTCACTCGTAGAAGTCAGTTAATATCCACAGATTCTTTATGTAGTATTTATATTTTTATTATTTGTTTGTTTGTTTTGAGAGAATGTCACTCTGTGTAGCCCTGGCTGTCCTGGAACTCAGAGAGAACCATCTTAAAAATTGATTTCCATTCCCTTTGTAGTGACTACAAAGAGTTAAGTCTCCCTGAAAAGTTTTCTGAAGTATTAGGAATGTAAAATAGAAATGTTTTAACATAAAATATCCAGTGTGCTCATGATTCTTTTCTTTTGCTGCTTTGCCACTTTAGATGACGATGTATTGGATGAGGAAGAGCTAGATAAGGAGTTGTTATGGAATCTTCAGCTTCTGTCTGAGGTATAGTAATCCTCTGGAAGAAAGGGTTGGCTTGCTTCTAGAGGTTAGTCTTTTTTGTTGTTAAAGCATGTGAAAAGCCAGACATTTGGGGACTTGTGGTTATTTTGATAAGATTATATTTCCTATACCAGTCTGGGAGTTACAGTTATCTTTGTTTCTCACACTCTTGAGTGCTGGGTTTACATATAGGCATGTATCATCAGCAGGCCCAGGCTCTAGAATCATTGTGAAATGAGATGGAAATGTTCCCACTCCACTTTGATGTTTATTAGTTAGGAGTTTATCGGATTTGGAATTTTTATTTGTGTTCATTTTATTTTTATGGATTTTTGTTACTTTGTGTTTGGTTTTCGTTTTTCAAGACACGGTTTCTCTGTGTAGCTCTGTCTGTCCTGGAACTGAATCTATAGATCAGACTGGCAAACTCACAGAAATCCTCCTGTCTCTTTCTGGCTGAATGCTGTGATTAAAGTTTTGAGCCACCATGCCCATATTTGTTTGCGTGGAGGGCACTGGTTGCCTCAGACTCACAAAAATCTGCCTGGCTGCCTGGCTTTCCCTCTGGAATGCTAGGTGTGTGTGTACCACCATGCCTTACTTGGAAATCTTTTACATTAAAATTTTGATTGCCAGTCAAACTTGAATTTTCATTATGAGATAGTTTAGAAATTTAAATACTTCTTTTAAAAAGATACATGGATTTTATTATTTTTTTTTTTTTTGAAAGGGATGTTATCTTGGCATGTGGAAGCATAAAGTTAGAAGATGTGCTTTGATTTTAAAAAGTTAATTATTAAGGTATAGTTAAAAATGACATTTCTAAAATGATTTAAAGTCATTTACAGAAACATTTTTTTTTTTTTTTTTTAAGCTACTGTAATGTCCAATACCAAACCTTGAATTGATTATTGACCCTAGACTTAAAACCAAGTGCCTTCAACGTTTGTTTTGTTTTTTGTTTGTTTGGTCTTTGATTGGTTGGTTTTTGTTTTTTTGGGGGGTGGGGGGAACTATTTTTGACACAGGGTTTCTCTGCATACCCCGGCTGTCCTGGATGGAACTTGATCTATAGACCAGGCTGGCCTGGAACTCACAAATACCTGCCTCCTGAGTGCTGGGATTAAAGGTATGCACCACCACTGTCTAGCTGCCTTTTGAGTATTTTATCTGTCTTTTCAGATTACTCGTGTGGATGGGAAGAAGTTGCTTCTGTATAGGGAGCAGCTTGTGAAGATTCTGCATCGAACCCTGCACCTGACCTGTAAGCAAGGCTACACACTGTCTTGCAACCTTCTGCATCATCTTCTTCGCTCTACCACACTAATCTACCCCACAGAGTACTGCAGTGTGCCAGGTGGCTTTAACAAGCTACCTTCTGAATACTTCCCTATCAAGGCAAGCATTTTCAATTATTTAGGATTAAAAAATAAATACATTGGGTTCTTTTCCTAAGTAATTCAGAAATATTATTTTTCCTTTTTGTGTATGAAAATACCAGGTCTTTTAAAGAAGTTTTATTTATTTATTGAGTGCGGGTATTTTGTCTGTGTGTATGTCTGTAAACCATATGTGTTCCTGATGCATACAGATGCTAGAAGATGTTATCAGCTCACCTGGAACTGGAGTGGCAGAGAGTTGTGAGCGACCACATGGGTGCTGGAATCAAACCCCTGTCCTCTGCAAGAAAATTCAGTGCCCCAGTTCTTGTATTAAAATACATTGTTTATAACTGTTATTGGCAGGCTGGAGAGATGGCTCAAACGTTAAGAGCACTGACTACTCTTCCTGAGGTCCTGAGTTCAGTTCACAGCAACCACATGGTGGCTCACAATCATTTATAGTGGGACTGATGCCCCCTTTTCCTGCATGCAGGCAGAACACTGGAGACATAGAAATGAATAAAAAGCAAAACAAAAAAACCCTTTTATTGGAATGTGTTCGACTCATGCATTTTAACTTGTTGTGGAGCTAAAACTATCTTCTTCCTGCTATAAATAGCCTAGGCTGGCCTAGAAGTTGTGATCTTCCTGTGTCATCTCCTCCTGTGCTGTGATAGATAGCTGCTCTGTGCTACCATGCCTATATAGTTTTCTACCTTTCTGCAGTGGCTGGGGCATACCTAACCCCAATAATTACACATAATTTCAGTCCTAAATTAGCTTAGTATAAACTTACTTTCTCTCCTGCAGGAAATGTAGATTAAATTTCCTATAAAGAGACATTTTTCAGGAGTAATAGTAAAGGAGTAATATTTTCATGAATCTTTTTTTTGCATGTATTGACATGTTACTTCTGCTTTTTAAAACTTTAGAAATATTGTGTATATATGTATTTCTCAAACTTTACAACTTAATGAAAAGCTTCTCTTTTCTAGGACTGGGGTAAGCCTGGAGATTTGTGGAACCTAGGGATCCAGTGGCATGTTCCTTCTTCAGAAGAAGTCTCTTTTGCCTTCTATTTGTTAGACTCCTTTCTTCAGCCTGAACTCATGAAACTCCAGTGTTGTGGGGATGGAGAACTTGAAATGTCTAGGTTAGTTTTCTTCAATAGTATCTTTCAAACTTCAATGCCTTCTCCAACTTCTATATCTAATACAGATGTTTACTTTTTTAAAATCTTTTTTAAAGTATGTATTTTATTTTGTGTGTATAGTATTTTGCCTGCATGTGCATGCCGGGTAGCCACCGAAATCACAAAGTTTTGGATCCCCTGGAACAGGAGTTGATTGTCATCAGCCACAATGTGGGTGCTGGTAACTGAACCCAGGTTCTCTGCAAGAGAAGAAACAAGTACTCTTAAGCCATTTCTCTGAGTTCAAGCTGGTTTTTTTTTTTTTTTTTTTTTTTTTTTTTTGATTGTATGAGGTTTGTTTTTGGATTTTGAGACAGGACCTCTTATAGTCAAAACTGGCCAATGATGATCTGAACCTCTGATCCTGCTGCCTCCACTTCCAAAGTGTGTCCCACCATGCCCAGATTATGCAATGTTGGGGATCATCAAACCCAGAATATTATGCTAGACAGTCCTGTGCTAACCATCTGAGCCCCATATAAACATTTAGGTTTTTGATATTGGCTTGTTTGTATTTTCTTTTTTTATTTTCTTGTTTTATTTTGAGACAGGATCTCACCATGTAGACCATGCTAGAAATCGACGATAACTACCTGCCCCTGCCTCCCAAGGGCTGGGAGTAAAGGCATGCAACCATCACACTAAACCCACCTAACCATTTTAAATAGAAAAACTAATTCCCATCTTAACCTCCCAGGTTTTTGGCAGTAACACTAGCACTTACTGATTTCAGTTGTCTATTTTGGAAAGTATAGGTAATGTGTACCCCTTCAAAGGAAAGGCCTTTATCTCGCTACTGAACATTGGATTTATTGCTTTTTTTTAAGTAGCTTTCATTGTTGACATTGAGCTTACTTAACTGAGGTTTTCTTTCTTTTCCATAGGAATTTAACACGAAATGATTATTTTTGAATCTGTTAGGCTTTTATAGTTTAAAGTTTTGAAGATTCCTAAAATAATAGCAAGAAATGCAGCATGTGTCAAATGCTAGAAATCTTTAGTAGACACAAATAAGGGCAGATTTGGAGGAAGAAATTTGACTAACAGTGACTTATGCAATATCCTAAACTCCTTTTTGAAAGCAAACCTGTAGCTAGATTTTTGTTGTTTTCCTTTTTCCTTTTTTTCCCCCCAATTCCATGTTTAAAATTGAAATAAGGTAGACATTTTTGGCCATTGTTTCTTGTTAGTCATCTTTGTATTTAGTTAATTAAATTAAAGTTTGCTTCTCAGAGTGCAGTTTGTTTCTTGTGACTAATTATTAAAGTCTGTTTAAGTGTACAAAAGCCTGGTATTAGTACTAAGTATGTTTGTGTTGTTTCACTAAGTGATAAACTGATATTTGTTATGTCCATGACTATTAGATAAAGTTTTTGTTCTCTAGATTTTTGTTAAAAATTAGGAATCTTCTAAAATATGACAATATCTTTTGTGTTGTCTAGAGATGATATTCTGCAGAGTCTGACTATAGTACACAACTGCTTGATTGGCTCAGGGAACCTCCTACCTCCATTGAAAGGAGAGCCAGTTACTAACTTGTAAGTAAAAAACAAGCCTACCTGTTTTGCTCTTCTGCCATTTGACATATTTTAAGTTGATCTACTTCATGGGCTACTGCTTTGCTCTTGATGTTTTGGAATTATTTTAATATTTCTTTTTTTTTTTTTTTTAAGCTCTTAGGGAAAAAATACCTGTTATAATTTAGGTAATTCTTAAAGGCTTTATAAAGATTTTTATATGGTAGCAAGATAGAATATCTTTAGGTATCAATACATTTAAAAACAATAGTTAGGAGGTAATAATTTAGGGTTAATATTCTTCTTTTTAAACAAGCAGGCTAACAAAACCATCCCTATTTTGCCAGCAATGAGCATTGACTTAGAATCCTTTAGATGAGTGTTTTTAGTACCAGTTTCTTCAGTGTTGCTCTTTGGTACATCATGTAGAATGTTTAACTCTTTGCTGGTACTGCCATCTGGGCAGCACAAAGTAGACATGACACTGTGCATGCGCTTGGCTTGAAGGGTCAGCAGCTGGATCTTAGCTCAGTGTTCTGAATCTCCAGCATCTGTCTCACAGAAGACCACATAAGAATGAGTAGTTAGCTTCCCTTAAAGTTGTGGATGGAAGAGATTACTTGCTGGTTTTTGTTTTTTGTTTAAACAGGAGATGACCATATTTTGTATAGTCATTTGGATTTGTACTTTTCAAATAATTGTCTATTATGTCACCCAAAAAACATTTATTACTGAACTTTCAAGTATTAAGTTTAAAAATAGTAGTGTCATGTTAGGACGGAAATTCTGCTTTAAATTTTTATTTTACCCATTTATTTTATAGTTGGATACAAGAACAATTCTGCTAATATTCGTTTTTGTTAAGAAAAATTGATTTCAAATATATTTTAAAGTGAGAGCCCTTTGAGTCTTTTCTCTTCAGTGATCTTAACCCTGTACCATATTGTAAAAACATCGTTGTATAGCACACACAAACTATTTCATGCTTACCACATTGGGTATCATTAGAATTCTACAGAAACTGTCAATAAGGAGAATTGTGACCATTTAAAGTAATTGTGTTAAAAGCTCAAGCGTGTTTTATGATGGTTGAGATGTAGTGGTAAATGGCCAGTTGAACAGGCTCACCTGCTTGCCTTGCAGTTTATCTCGGCATCTCTGCCATGTATGCTCTCATAATGATGTGAGGGCAAGTCTTCACCTTTCTGGGATTTTCTGTTTGTTTAGTTGTTTTTGTTTAAGATTGAGGTCTCTGTAGCCCTAGCTAAGCCCTCATTCACACCAGTGCTTCTATCTTAAGTCTCCAATGTATTGGAATTACAGGTGTGAGCCACCAAGCCTAACTAAGTTTTCTCTTTTGAAGTAAAATTTGATCATGTCAAAAGTTTCTAATAACCCAGATTCAATGGCTCACACATGTATCTGAGAAGCTGAAGAAGGAGAATTGCAAGTTTAAGGCCAGCTTGGGCTGTATTGCCAGATTTTGTTTGAACCTTTCTTCTCTTCCCCATCCCCCCCCCCAAGAAAAATTACTATACTTGTTTATTAGAATTACTGATTTGATTTCTATATAATGACATTCCTTTTACTAATAAAATTATTATTAATATTAATAAATATGTGGTAATAGCACTGTTTAAGTTCTAAAATTGACACTTGAGTTCTACTCATGGGGTTTCCATCAGAAATATTTTAGACTAAAAAGTTTTATGCTTCAGATTTTTCAGATTTAGCCAGGAATGGTGACTCATGCCTTTAACTATAGCACTCTAGAGGCTGAGGTAGGAGGTTGGAAAATTTGAGGCTGGCATAGTAAGTAAGACTTTGTTCAGAAAAAGAAAAAAGTGGGTAGATAGAGGCAGAAACCTTTACTTTTGAAGTAAAAATTTAATACAAAATGTAATGAAATCATATAAAACACATTGAATATGTTTTAAAAATCACTAAATTTACATTTTAAAACATGGACTCTATCTATGCAGACTAATAACTAGATTATTAGGGTTAGAAACAGATTATCATCTCTTTGGTTTAAATTACAAAGCAAGAATTTAAACTGTATGGGTATCAGATTTCCACAGGACTGGAGTTATAGAAAGTCTTGACCCATCGCATATGTGGGTGCTGGAATTTAAACCCATGTCCTCTGGAAAAACAACCAGTTCACTTATCTACCAAGTGGGAATAATTTAAAAAAAAAAAATAATAAAGAACTTTCTGTTGGCCTTTAAGTAGTTCTTAACAGAATTTTTCCAGTGATAACTTACATTGTCTTTACCCAAAAATGTGAAGAATTGCTTGTATGTCCTATGTGCATCATTTTCACTTTCATTGCAGAAAGTGAATGTGAATGAATATGAAACTAATAAAATAGCCATTCTAAAGTGCTTATTGTTCTATGGTAAAATGGGTGTTAAAAGTTTTCCAGATCTAAATTGAGTTGAAAAAAAGAAAATTTGTTACCGACTATATGTATCCTGTGACAAGAAGTGATATACTGAGTGTGAAGAGTGACCAAAGTGTAATTTTTAAGAGATTGTCAGCAGTCTAACACCAAGAGAGGAGAACTGAGGCATAGTCTTAGTCTGTAAGGACTGGAGGGAAATCCAGATATGGGGGAGAGAATGGAGTGGATTAGAGTAACGCCTCAGCTGTCTATAATGTCTTGTTAGCTTTACTAAGTTAGGTTTACTTGTAGAATTGTGAGGCCTTCATGTTCTAAAACACCAAATCAATTCTGGGAACTATTAGCAATTCAAGCATTATTATTCAGTTTGTACTTATAAATTTTTCATCCAAGTCTTACTTACATAAAATGTTTTATTCTGTTACACTCGGAGTCATATTCCTTAGTCCTTAGTATCAGGTTTGCTTTCTGTATTTGTTGGCAATATGTATTATTTGTCCTCTGGGGGGAAAAAAAAAACTGTGATGAAAAACCATAAACTTTACTTCTATGTAACTTTGTTTCTAATGAAGTTTATGTGATGATCTTAATTTCACTATTGGGGAAATGGCTATTAAATGCATTTTTTTTTCTTATGCTCTTCAATGAGTGACAGACATATATAGAAAGCTAAATCCAAAGCATAAAAGTAAATGATGCACCAGCATAGGACACTATATACTTGTAATTATCATAAGCCTTCAAGGGTCAAAATATAGATATGAAAAAAAGTCCTTGAAGGTAATAAAGTCTTAAAAAAAAAAAACTGTCACTTTAATACAACTTAAAACAATTTGAAGTTTTAGCAGTTATGCTCATTGCCATGCATTGTCGAATGAATCTTAGAATGGAATCTCTTCTTGCTTTGTTCCTGGAACTTTAAGAGAGGTCCTGCAGTAGTTAGGATGTATAGCTGTACCTGTGTACTGTGTCTTTTCATTGTCACACAGGAACTTTGGACATTTGCCTTTAATCCTGAAACCCTCAGTTTTCTCCTTTTTCAGTCCACTTTCTGTTGTGATCTTTTAGGTGTAACCAACTATTACAGGATGCAGAAACTAACATCTAAAAAACAGGGTTACTCAAGGTAGAGAAGTCACCATTTTCATCTCAAAATACTTCTTTTACTTCGTTTTCCTTTCCTCTGATCTGTTACATCATAGTTAAATCATTCTTTGAGATCTCAGCTTTTACTAAGTGTCCATTCAAAAAAAAAAAATCTTACTGTCTAAGCTTGAGACCATTTCATTGATGTGTGAAAGGATGTGTTGTGTATACAATGAGGGGCAGGGCTAGCTAACCTCTCTTGGCACCTCCAGGAAACTACCCAGCACTGCTGGGGAAGCTGCACACAGAACAGGAAACAGTTACTACTCCACGGTGAGTAACCCTGTTTTCTCCTTATTTCACCTTGTGATTATTTTCATTGATATTTTAAAAAACTTTGTGTGTCAGACATGAAAATGTATTCCCATTGTTACTTTTTAAGCCTCTAATGTGTAAAGTTTCTCTTAGCAACCCTCTGTTGGCATGGTAGCTTAGGGGAGTATTTTAGTTGTGTTATTTTCAGCTGTTATTGATACAGAGAGCTTGGTACACAGAAATGGCCAACTGTCTCTTGTGAAACACTTGTACATTAAGTGGGAAAGCCTGCCGGTGGCTTGACTTCTTTATTTTATTAAGGAATGGGAGGGATTCTTTTTACACACCTGTGTATAATATTGTTTGTGCCTATTTCATGACAGTTGCTGCAGTCTTTGTACATACTTGACTTTATATTTTGTTTTTATGTTTTTGTCATTTCTTTCCATTTCTAGCATTCTCTGTTTTCTACCAGTGAACCAGTGACTATTGTTCTAGTTCTACCTTAGGAAGATTGCTGTCTAATGGTACAGATAATGTGGTAGTGACCCAAAGTCCAAGATGTTTTGTTATGAATTGGGTGACCTGGTCTAGGAACAATGGAGCTGATTTTACTTCATTATTATATATGTAGAGCTGCTAACAGTGTGTTATGTTGGAATTATTTTTTAGAATTATGTTTCTTCCTCATATCTGAAACTTAAACTATACATTTTGCTGCTATTGCTTTTTGTTTATTATGTTTATGTAACCCAGGCTGGCCTCAAACTTGAGGTGATCCTCCTGCCTCAACTCAGCTAACTAAGTATGTAGGCACATACTACCTCATATGACTATATATACTTGTTAAGAAACATTTGCTGTAAAATGTCAAACCAAGTAGGGTTTATTTTGTGGTAGATAAAAAGATACTATTTAAGTTGATTCTTATATAAAAGGGAGGTCTGTGTAACAAAATTAAATTTTAATATAATTGAGTACGATATATCTGAATGACATGGAAGTTGTATGTTAATTTGTGTTTCAAAAATAGGAAAAGAATAGACCATTTTTAAGTTTTAATATTTTAAAATCTTATGTAAGGTAGGTCCATTCCCTTCCATTTGATATTAGCTTACACACCATGAAACAATTCAGGTTGCTTTATTTTTGTTTAATTAGGATAAGCGATAAAAAGGCAATTCAGAATTGACACAGATTTAAAAAGTTAGCTTCAAGTATTTCAGGTGGTATTTGTTTTTAAATATGATTGATGTTACAAGTGCTAGAAATATATGTAATATGAAACACTCTAGACTATTAAGTAAAAGCCTTTGTGTATATAATATATGCATTATATGTATCTGGTGGGGGTGGTACATATGTGGAAGCCAGAGGTTGTTATTGTATGTCTTCCCCTACTGTTCTCCACCTTAGCTTTTGAGACAAGCTTTCTCACTGTACCTGGGCTTGCTGCTTTTTCTACAACAGACTAAGAGAGTCTTGTTCATTCCCTTTTCCAGCACTGTGCCATCACATTCAGCCTTTTACTTAGATGCTGGGGTCTCAACTCATAGCCTGGGGCTTGTGCATCAAGAAGTCATTGATGGTGCTGTCTCTGCATCTCTTTGATAGTATTTTTTTTTGATACAGTAAAATTATGGAAAATAATTGGCTGCAGAAATGATTTTTAGTCTTAGTGTGACTGAAGCACTTAATATTATGTGTATGACTTGAGTAAAGTTATATTTTTACTTTAGACAACTAGTTAGATTTGTATCCTCATTGAAAAGATTTCTGTTCTCATAACTAGCCACAACAACTTTCCTGTTATTTATCAAGTAGGTGGTGATAACTCCATTTCACTTTAATATTAAGATCTAATTTTAGTAGAAATTTTAAGTTTATTGGTACGGCATCTTATTTTTTACTGACTTTGATTTTTGGATACATATTTATTTCTGATCATAAAAAGTTAACAAAATGCTGAAATTTGTAAGCTTTGCCACAGGTTGAAACTATATAGGAAGAAAGCTAACTTTTAGAAAATAATCAGAAAAGCATTAGTGATTTATGCTATAAAATGTTAACCTATCTTGTATAGTACATTAGTGAAAAAGAGCCATTCCTTGCTTATGTCCTTAAGGTTTGGTCCTGAGATTTGCTGTCTTAGGCACTGAATTATGGTGAGCATCATAGCTGAGAAACTGGCACTTAACCACTTTGAAATCATTAGCTATGATCAGGATTTTTTAAGTTGCATGTTGTGATGGGAATAATGCTTTGAATTGAGCTGCTTTCTGGGGTACCCATGGGAATATGTTGATTTAAAAGTGGTCTTCCTTGTTATACCTGCTGTAAGCTCATTAGTGTTAGGTAGTAACTGCAGTTTCCGTTTATTATAAAGTAGCCCTGTGTTGGATTTGTTCACTGTGTGGTTCTCTTGCATTTGTTCCTGTGTTCCACCTCTCAGAAGGTATCTTTTCTTTATTAAAATAGCCATTGAACTAGTCTTATAGTTTGAAAATTGAGGAAGACTTCCATTGAAGATACATATATACATGCATATGTATATATAAATTCAGATATATAAATTCTTATTCTCCAATGAAATGTGTTCTTGTAAATCTATAGGTAACTCTTAGCCATTTGTTGAATTTAACTACCTGGGTCTGGTTGTACTGACATATTTCTTTTGGGCAAGTTTTTGGTATTTTTAAAGATAGTTTTACTTTTTTAGTTTAGCCTGGGCTTAAGACCACTATGTAGTTCCAGCCAGGCCTTGAACTCATACTGATCCCTCAGCCTCCAGAATATTGGGATTATAGGCATGAGCCACTATTCCTGGCTTATGACTGATCTTTAGTTGAGATTTAGTATTTCTACATACATTTAGAAATGCCATCCCACTCTGGTATTAGGAAAGTCCATTTTGCAGATTTGCAGATTTAAAGAGAAAGAGTAAGTTCTTTAGAGAACCATGTGTGCTATTAGATGTTTCAGAAATAGAAGTTAACTGAGTTTTAAAGTATAATTATATAATTATGAAGCTGGATGTTCCTTGTGCAGGTGAATAAATGCTTACCAGCGAGTTTAAGCTTTCCCACTTGAACATTCAGTTATCAATATAATGTCCATTGAGAGATGATTTTTTTTTTCCCCCTTGAAGGTACTGAAGGAACATTTTCTTTAAGTTAGTTACTGTGCTTCCCACTGAGACAGCAGCTTTAATCTTCACAAGAGTAAAGAATTGAAGTACTGGCTGGAGAGTAGCAATCTGTTACAAGGGCATTATCCTGGTTTTTATTTCAGTGAAACTTTTTCCTTTGGCCTTTTGTGTTGATATTGTTAGTAAATGCATGTTCTCTTGTTTTTAAACAGGGTACCAAGTATGGTGTCCTTAGAGGAAACAAAATTGTATACTGGACTGGAACATGGTATGTGAGTATTAACTGAAGTAATCTGCAAAGGCCATTTAACTTCTTTTTAACAGTTAGAATAGAGGCATTTTGTACTTATTTTTCTTAGGTTCTTTGTAGTGTATAAAATGTACTCATTATGCAGCAATCATTTTCTTTCTCTCTCAGGAAACTAGGTATTTATTTGTTTGTTTGTTTGTTTGTTTTCTTTGTCTGAAACAGGATCTCATTATGTAGCCCAGGCTGGCCTCAGACTCATCGAGATCTGCCTGTCTCTACCTGTGGATTTAGAAATTATTAAAGGATTGCCAGTAAATAACAGAAATTGGCTCAGTAAATTAAATTGCTTATGTGTTCGGAGGTAAGCTTTTCTGTATAACATTCGTTTATGTATTTATATTTTAATTCTCTTTTTTAAGCTTAGAAGTACAGTTGTTTATTTTTTGTATGTATGTGTACATTCCATCGTCATGGGAGTTGATTCTCTTTCCTCTGTGTTGGTTCTGAGGCTCAAGCCCAGGCTACCACTTTCCATAAAAGACATTTATTAACTAAGCCATTTCACCAGCCATGCTTTCAATTCTTTTAGGATGATACATTAATGTGAATGGGAATATTGTAGTCTTTAGATTCTGATAGTGTTTGTAAATTTTCATCCAGCTAGTTTAATTCAATTTAGTTTTTTGAAGTAGTGCTGGGGGAATCATACCCAAGAGACACCCCAGCCCTTAAATTTTGTATTAGTATTTTGTGACACATCTGAGATCATCTTCAGTGCTGGAGCACATATATGCCTGATGCTCAGGGACAATTCCCAGCAACACCCCTAGTCACTCTGCCCCCACCCCCAACTATATCTTATTATACTAATGTAAACTTCAGTCTGCAATAGAAACTCAGTAAAATTTTCTTACTCGGGGTTAATAATAGAATTAATTTATACATTAATTTCTAATGTTAACTGCTGGGTTTGGATCACCTGTAACTTTAAAGAATCTCAAGCCTTTCTAATTAGCAGCTAGGAACTTTGAAATGTTCACAACAGTGTTTTCTCTCTCCCCTCCCCCACTTTATAAAGTTATGTATTTTTTTATTTTGTGTGTATGAGTGTTTTCTGTATATATGTGTGCAACATTCCCATGGAGGTCAGAAGGTCTCAGACCCCCTGGAGCTGGAGTTACAGCTGATTATGAGATACCATGTGGGTGTTGAGAACTGAACTCAGATCCTCTGTAAGAGCACCCAGTGCTTTTAACCCTGATCCATCTCTCCCCCACTTTCTTGACAACAGGTTTCATAAATAATCATTTTATTTTGGTTATTTGAGACCAATCTCATGTGGCCCCATCTTGCCTTTTGCTCCTTTATCTTGCCTCTTCTTCCCAAATGCTGGGATTACAGATATGTATCACCATGCCCCAATATGTTTGTTTATTTGTCTATAGAGTGATTGGAGACAGAGTCATGCTTTGTAGACCGGTCTAGTCTTGAGCCATGTGCCATCCCCCATCTTACTCTCTGGGGTGTTAATATTACAGGTGTGTGCCTCAATGTCTAACCTAGGTGCTTTAAACATTCCTCCTCAACTGCTAATTTAACTGTTAAGGCAAAGCCATTTGTCCTCCCCTTTACCTCTTAAGAAGCATCTTAGGGCAAGCCATTGTTAAAAACTGAAATAAAATGAGGATCTCTCTCTCTCTCTTTCTCTCTCTCTAGACCTATCCCGAGAGAACCACCGAGAAGCAATTGCTAGTGTCATACGGAAACTTCTTAGTGAGTATACATGCCTGCAACTTGCCTGTATTCCTAAGCTTTAGGATAGCAACTTGTGGCAAGGGTGCTTTTATTTAACACTTTTTAGAAATAGGAAGATTATCCACTTTTTTTTTTTTTTTTTAAATCTCTTTTAGAAGCAGTTTTGAGTTTATAATAATTTAAGATGTTGGCTAAAAAATTTTTTCTTCTCCTATTTTAGACCACATACTTAACAATTCAGAAGATGATACCAAATCATTGTTTCTCATCATAAAGGTAGAAGTTACTCCATAATTGTTAATGTGCTTGGGCTTGACTGGTGACTTCTGAATAAATGTTGAAATTCTTTGACACAGATAATTGGAGACCTTCTGCAATTCCAAGGATCTCATAAACATGAATTTGACTCCCGATGGAAAAGCTTTAACTTAGTAAAAAAATCAATGGAAAATCGGGTCAGTATTTTCACCTGAAATTCTGAACTATTGTTTTTGAAAAGGTGATTTGAGGATTATTGTTTATAGAGGAAATTTGCCCTGTAAGTAAAAGTAGTAGTTTAAGAATATTGCATGAGACAATCTTTGTTGGTACATGACTTTAATCCCAGCATTTGGGAGAACATGCAGGTGGATCTCTGAGTTTGAAGCTATCCTGGTCTACAAAGCAACACAGAGAAACCCTGTCTCAAAAAAAAAAAAAAAAAAAAAAAAAAGAATAATATATGAAACCAATGTTCTTCCTCCCCCCAATAGGATTAGACTTTTTGAGGGGGAAGAAAACAATATTGTATGTAGACTAAAAGCTTGACACAGATAAAACAGATCCTAAGCGAAGAAATATATTTACTTGCTAGGAGTATTGCTTAATCGTAGAACACTTACCTAGCATATGTAAGGCCCTAGTTAAAAGTATTTTATTTAGTGATAACATTCATTACTGTCCTTGATCATCTCTGTATCCATACAGGGATTTGCTTAGTAGCATTCAGGCTATCTTATAAAAACTTGAAAAAAAATTTTTTTTTCCCATAGTCATTTCGTATTGACTTCATTATCCGATATTAGAATCAGTATAAACCTCTTCAGGCAAATGGAAGGAAAAATACCCAAAGAACAGAGCTGTTCCCAGCAGTGTTCCCTAATAGATCTGTGCCGAAGTTGTTTCTAGATGCCTTTATGTTACTTGTACGAGATACTGGAGATAGAAGAGTATGTGAAAAGGAGATGGAACTATGGCAGGCTGTAGAAGAGTGTGGGGTGGGGGGGGGTAAATTAGGTCAATAGTGTTGTTGTAAGAAAGTTCTTTGGTTTTATATTCAGAAGTGGAGATCCACTAAAGAAATAATATGTATTGTAAGCATGAACCACCACCCCTGACTGAAAATTAGGACAGAGGAATATTAAAATGTTCTGACACAATTAGAATCTAGGTGAAAAGAGTCTGAATCAGAGCTTTTAAGATACAAGTTGGAAGGTTTGGACAAAAGGTAAAATTGGAGTACTTTACTAATGTAATAAAGAATAATCATTTGTAACAATTAAAAGTAATTTTTTTGTTATATATGTTTGTGTGTGGGGCCATGCATCTATGAAAGTAGAGTTAAAAAAACAACTTGCAGAAGTCAGTTTTCTCTTTCGTACGTGTAGGTCCCAGGAGTTGAACCTAAGTGGTCAGACATGTGTGGCAGTTGCATTTGCTCCTCACCCATTTTTTTCTGCCCCATGTCCATTTTCTTGGTTTAGGTTTGGGTTGACATTTTTGTTATTGTTTTTATTGGGTTTTTGCTTGTATGTTTGGTTAGTTGGTTGGTTTATTTTGTTTTGGATCTTGGTCAATCTATGTAGCCGTGGGTGACCTGGCACTCAGAGATCTACCTGCCTCTAAGATTAAAAGTATGCACTGCCTTACCTGGCTGTGTCCTTGTTTTGAGGTAAGTTTTTACTAGAGGATTTAGGAACTCATTGTTGAAGTCACTTAGTGAAAACACTAAGAAATTTGCTATTTTGTTTTCCAGCTCCATGGAAAAAAGCAACATATCAGAGCACTGCTAATTGACAGAGTGATGCTGCAGCATGAGGCAAGTGTCTAGATTATCACCTTTTGATTCAGCATGCTAAATGAATAATTTGCTGTAGTGCTTTTCATAATTAAGTGGACTTTCGAGACTTGATTTATATTATTTCTTTTTAAAGTTGCGAACACTAACTGTTGAGGGTTGTGAGTATAAAAGAATACATCAAGATATGATCAGAGATCTTCTTCGATTATCAACAAGTTCATACAGTCAGGTGAGGCTCTACTGTCTCCAACACTTTCATTTTTTTACATGCAATCTAAATATCCCTGTTTTCCCAGTAAAGTTTAAGAAATTCCTCATGTAAAATCATACAGCCAGAAAGCAAGAGAACCAGAGCTAAAATAGTGACCGCCCCTCCCAACCACCCAACCCCAATGCCATTGGAAATAGCTTTCAAATTTCAAATATATTCAAATTCTGCCATAATGTCCATTGGAAAACATTTGTTGGTAGTATAATTGCCCCACTTCCGTCTCTCTTTTTTTTCCAAGACAGGGTTTCTCTGTAGCCCTGATTGTCCTGAAACTTATTTTGTAGATCAGGCTGGCCTTCAACTCGAGGGATCCTCCTGCCTTTGCTGGGATTGAAGGAGTATGCTACTGTGCCTGGATAATTGCTTCTTCCAACAGGGTCTTGCTATTTATCCAGACAGACTGGCCTTGAACTTCAATTTACCTGCCTCTATCTCCAAAGTGCTGGGGTCACTGGCATAGGCACCACCATGTCCTTAAATTATTTCTCTGTTGTAAATTTTAGAGATTATGCTGGTAGAATGGTTCTCCTATTTAATTTATGAAATTTTGAGGGCTAGCCTAGGATGACTGTATTTAATGCTTGGGTTTCAGAGAGTTACTAGCATGTAACATGTAGTTTATCTCTTAATATAGTATAGGACCAAAGATTACATACTAGCACATAGAACAGAGAAATTACAAGATTTCTGTATACTAGTTCCTTCTATCTTGGTAATTTCCTATGAATGGACATAAAGAAACCTCTGCTCCTCAACAGTGACTTAGAGTGTCTGCTGTTTGCTTTCAGCAGTGTTATAAACTGATGCCCCTGAGGACCATGCAACTTCCTTTCATCAAAGAGAGGCATATGATAGTATTTTCCTTTAAATAATCATTTGCTTGCTTACTTTTTAGGGTATGTGTTTTCTGTTTTTTAGGAAACCATCTAAATTATCGTCCTTTGTTTTTTTATGCTTCATTAGACATCATATTAAATCATTGTCAATTTTCCTCAGGTCAGAAACAAGGCTCAGCAAACATTTTTTGCTGCTTTGGGAGCATATAACTTCTGTTGCAGAGATATCATCCCTTTGGTTTTGGAGTTTTTACAACCTGATAGACAGGATGTCACCCAGCAGCAGTTCAAGGTATAGGTTCTGTTTTAATATCTACAGTAAACACCCATATATGTGATATTCAGGTTCTGCATTTAATATTTTGTTATATTTGCTCTATCGAATATCTTAAAATGCATGTCAGTTTAAGATACTAGAACATTTTGTTCTGATTAATGATATGGAGACAATACAGGGTGTAGACCTTGTGGAAAATAGCTGAGTAATACAACCAGGGAAGGGAGGACCAGGGACAGAGAGAAATATAAAATCATTTTGAGCAACTGATCAGAGCAGAAAAAGGAAGAAGACAAAGACATTTTTACAGGTGAAGTAGGGTCTTTGTAAGTAAGTTGATTGAGAGATATTAAGGATAGAAAAGAGTTAGGGCTTGATGGCTAAATAAAAGGGGGCTAAAATATGGGAGTTTCCATCACTTAATTATGGATTGTTTAAGTAGTTATAGGGCATGTAGGAGATCCCCTTGACCCAAGAGTTTAAAGCAGGCCTGAACAAAATGAAAAATTAGAGGTCAAAAACAGCAAAGCTGACTAAGCTACCATGACAAGAGAGGAATAGTCACAGAAGGCAATAAAGACACCTTTTGGAAGAAGATACCAATGCCCACTTTCTGAAGAGGAGTAAGATAAGTACTAAGCATGTTCCTTGAAGTTAATTTGTAAGACACAGCTCAATAGGTTGTAAGCCAGTCTTAGTTATTTTTAAAGGTTTATTAAAACAAGATATTCTTTTATATTATATAGTTTGTACATCTTCACATCACAGTGTTGGAGATTAGTATTTGGGACTGATACCAAATGACCTGCCATTTCTTTTTTATTCTCTGGTGGCTGACTTCTTCCCCAGTGCCAGGTATTCTTTCTGGAAGTCCTGCCTCATCTGATCATATATTGGTCAATCTTGCTAGGAATGTTTTATATGGGCATCACTAGAGGGGTGAAAGTTAGCATTGACTATATATAGAGCCTGTAAAGAGGACTAGCTTATGCAGTGGGTAACAATCCAACTTCGGATCCAAATCTAAAATTGAGTGTTCTGGAAGTGCCAACACTTTTTGATAATAAGAGAAAATGTCCCTGCTTCATCAGAATTATCTGGTTGGAGATTTTGTAAGTAAAAAATATGTAGTATTAGATTTTCCTGAGCATATTGGGAGTAGGGGGGAGGGCAGTGAGTGGAAAGAGAGTTAGAAGAAAGAGAAGGGGAGGAGAACATGTGGGACTAGGAAGATTGAGTCGGGGGATGAATATATGGAGAGAGAGAGAGAGAGAGGGAGAGAGAGAGAGAGCCATTATAGATTTGAAGAGAAAACTGACTCTAGAGAAATGTCCAAAGACCTACAAGGATGACCCCAACTAACAATCTGAGCAACAGTGGACAGGCTACCTTAAATGCCCTTCCCTGATAATGAGATTAATAACTAACTTATATGCTATCATAGAGCCCTCATCTAGTAGCTGATGGAAACAGAAGCAGATACCCACAGCCAAACACTGAGCCAAACTCCTGGAATCCAATTGCAGAGAGGGAGGAGTGATAAGAAAATGGGGTCAAGATCAGGCTACAGAAACCCACAGAGACACCTGACCTGAGCAAGGGGGAGCTCTTGGACCCCCAGACTGATAGCTGGGAAACCACCATTGGACCGACTCATACCCCCTGAATGTGGTTCTCAGTTAGAAGGACTGGGCAGTCTGAGGGACTTCTGACAATGAAACCAGGATGTATCCCTGGTGCAGGAAAAGAGTACATTCCCCATGGAGGGATACTCCCTTAACCTAGAGGCAGGAGGGAGGCCTAGTCCCTACTCCAAAAGACTTGACAGATTTTGATGATCCCTCCTGGAAGGCATCACCCTCCCTGTGGAATGGGAGTGGGGGGGGGTTGAATGGGAGGGGGGGTCAGGGAGCCAGAGAGGGAGGGAGAGGGAACTGGGATTGATATGTAAAATGAGAAAAAATAAGAAGTGTGTGTATATATATATATATATATACATGATAAAAAAAAAGATATTTTAAATTTGACAATTTCATACCTGTGTATAATGTATCTCATCATATCCATCCTCCAGCCCTTCTTTCCACCTCTTCTGAGTAACTGAGCTTTCACATGTTTAGTAACACATTTAGCAACTTGGTCTTAGCTGTTATTTGATAAATTATTTCAAACTGTAGGCCCTAAAAGTACTTCTTAGTACATTCCAAGGTCATTATTATACTTGAGGAAAATAAGAGTAGAATCTGTATTCTTACAAAAATTCTTAGCTTTTTATATTGCCTAGTAGCAAATCCTCTATTAAATGACTTAGGAAAAAAATGATAATGAATGCCACTTGGTTAAATTTCATGTTCAAGTTTTTAAAAACAATGAAGGATATGAATGATTTGAAAATCAACTGTGTGTATATAATCAATGTAAAAATTCAAACACATGTTGGGCTCCATCATGCCTCTTAATTTTCCATGTAAATTGTTGTTCTCATAGGGTGCCTTATATTGTCTGCTTGGAAATCATAGTGGCGTGTGTCTGGCAAACCTTCACGATTGGGACTGTATTGTGCAGACTTGGCCAGCACTTGTTTTTTCAGGGCTTAGCCAAGCAATGTCACTGGAAAAGCCATCAATAGTGAGACTATTTGATGACCTTGCAGAAAAGATTCATAGACAATATGAAACAATTGGCTTGGACTTCACAGTAAGCAAACCATTTATTTGTTCATGCATATTTTACTGGAAATTCTGACTTTATTTTCCATGTCTTTCCCTTTTTTCTTTACTAATATTTTGGCTTGTTAAAATTTTTTAAAAAACATTACTTTCTCTTATAATCTAATGCTTTGTAGTGATAATTATTGTAGATAACAGGGTTGGAACACCAAATTGAAGTGATGTGGGAAAGAGTCATTTCTCCCAAGAGGCTACAACAGTTAACATTGCTGTGTTTTCCATTGTTCCATATATGCCTCCATTGCATTTTCCTCCCTTACCTCCCCTCACTTTCCCTTCTCTCTTTTCCCTCTCCTCTGACTGTCCTGGCACCTGCTTTGTAGAGCAGGCAGGTCTTGAACTCACTATGTTAAGTATTCTTTATCAATAAAAACTTAGGAGTCAGATACTGGGGCAAGAAATCTATTGATCAGAGAAACGGTGGAGAAGTGACCAGTGGCTTCTTCTCTGGCCTTCATCCATCCAAAAAGGCCAAAAATCTTTATAAACCCTTTTCCTACCACATCCTGTATCTTTCTATATGTCCTCATTACTCCAAAGCCTGTATGGCTAATTTTGGTCAGCTAATAGCTAGTTCTGCTCTCTGATTCAAAGTAAACTTGTCTCAGGAGTATTAGAGTGAATTCAAAATATCCCACAATACTATGCTTCTTTTATGCTGGAATTCAGACATGACCTACCATGCTCAGTCATGGTGGTTTTGTTTTTGTATTTTTTTTGTTTTGGTTTGTTTTTTGTTTGTTTGTTTAGATTTGCCATTAGCTATATTCATAACTTATCGTGCAGAATATTAAAATTAGATGTTTTTTGATGAATGAGAAGGAAATTTCACTGGTTCTCAAATAGAGATAGGGCATCATTTAAATAAAAAAGTTAGTGACTCTCTCTGTATTCTATGCTAACCTCAAACTTGTAGCAGTCCTGCTTTAACCTCCCACATGCTGGGATTACATGCATGAGTCACCTTTTTTGACCATCTGAGAAGCTGGTGCATCCTTACTTCCATAGTGCAACATGATGGACAGAAAGGTGATGATAGCTTAGTTCTTTCTTTGCTGGAATTGATTGATTTGCATCCTAATGACCAGGATTATAACTATGGCTATAAATGCATCCCTTGCTCTTTGAGACTGTCCTTGGATTAGGATTGGTTCCCCCCACTCCTACCCCCAAGTATATTGGTGTTCTGTAGTCCAGGCTGGCCTTGAATTCTTGACCCTCCTGCCTTCATCTCCTGAATGCTCTGATTACAGGCTTGCACTGCCAGACCCAGGTAGATTATTCTTTAAAAATTAATAATCATAGTAACTCAAGATGAAATTCCCAAACCACTGGTACGGAAAATGGAAAAGGTGCTTTTCACCAAACCTGATCACCTGAGTTCAGTCCGTGGACTGAAAGCATTATCATTACATTTATTTTTGTGTAGATGTGTTTGCACACACCAGTGCAATGTAGAGATCAGGGAACAAATTATGGGAATCAGTTCTCTGCATCTACCCATATAGTGTTCCAAGACTTGAACTCAGGTCATCAGGCTTGGTAGCAAGTGGCCTTGTTTATTTTAATTAAATAGTCCACATTATAGTATATGTCACGACTCTATTTTTTTTTTCTTTTTTAATAAGATTCCAAAGCCATGTGCTGCAATAGCAGAATTACTTGAACAATCAAAGAATCCTTCTATTTGTCAGACACTGCTTAGCCCAGAAAAAATTAAAGAAGGACAGAAGCGCCAGCAGGAAAAGAATGCCGATGCCACAAGGTAATTGAATATGGATATCAACTACAACCCTCATATTTGTTTTAAAATCTCTTTCTGTGAATACTGATCTCCCATAACCTGCTTAATTGATTACAGATAGTCAGCATACACCATACAGACAGAGCACTGTTCACTCAGATTGCTACTTAATAATTTTTGTTTACTTTGGAACACTCAGGAAAAGTTTGCTGGTCATATTTGTAATACTAGTCCTTTTTGCACTGAAACAGGGGATTGGGAGTTTAAGGCTAACCTGGAGTTTGAGACTTTACCTCAAAAACCTAAGAGGATTAAGAGAAAAGAAACAATTTGGTGGTTCATTATATCTAGCATCTCCTCTTCTCCCTTACTTTTAGTTTGGTCAAATGAAGTGTAAGAGGAGGGTGAATTAAACCAGAATTTAAATTTATATTACATTATTTAATATTTGCCTTAGTAATATAATAAAATCATATCTTATCTGAATTTTTTTTAAAAGGAACTATGAAAGTTTGGTAAATACTTTACTAGATGGTGTGGAGCAAAGAAATTTGTGAGTATAAAGTTTTTTCTTAAAAAATGTTTTGTTATTTAAATAATGAAAACATTTGTCTTAACTACTTTAGGGATCATTTTTCATGGAAAAATGAATTATTGTAGTAATGGAATCTTTTTTTTTTGTGTTAGAAGACTAAGTGGGGGACATGGGGAGGTTTAGGGTATTGGTAGGGTCAGTGTTCTTCTGTAGGCCTGTTTTTATTCTTAAGAATCTTAAAATTACGTTTCAAAAATAGAGCAGAGCAGGATTTCACATACCTGTGATCCTAGCTTTCAGGAGGCTAAGGTTACAAAGCAAAGAAAAAGTTTCAAAACAGATCTTAATTGTAAGTGATTTTTAATGGTACTGTGATTTGTATGTATTCTCTCACTACCCACCTCCCTATCTCAACCTACAGGCCTTGGAAATTTGAGCATATAGGCATTGGGCTTCTGTCTCTACTCCTAAGGGATGACAGAGTGTTACCTCTTCGTGCCATACGTTTTTTTGTTGAAAATCTCAACCATGATGCAATCGTTGTTCGAAAGGTATACATTTTATTTTGGTTACTGTGCTGATTTTGAAAATATTTACCTCAATCTTCAAATTATTCTGTTTGCTTAGAGGCAATACTTTGTTCAATAAATACTCAGAGGCATAATCAAGCATTTTACATTTTAACAATGTATAACAAAGAATAAGCTTATAACAAGCTATAGCATAGAATAAGCTTATAAACTGAAAGGAAAGTTTGACTTTTAAAATTTTGAAAAGCTATGTTGCAAGGAAGGGGGTGAATCTAAGGAGTTCAACTCTTTTTTATTTTCCTCACTCTCTCTCTCTCTCTCTCTCTGAAAATATTAGAAATGAGCTGGCCTTGTCTATTTCTAGAAGAAAGCCAATTAAAAGACCCAGAGGCTGACACAAACACAATGGTATTGATCCAACAAAGGACAGTTCTTTCAACAGAGACTAGCATAAGGCTCAAGGGTTTAGGTGTGCTATTAAATCATTCCTAGTGGAATGATTATGCTTCTCCCATCAGTGCCGGCAGACGGACAGTATAATTTTTTATTACTTAAATTTTAATTTAAAACTTTTTAAATTTGTGTGTCTGTATACACAAACACCCACATGCTCCACTACAGGACACATGTAAAGGTCAGAGATGATTTTCTACTTCCACTGCAGGTTTTGAGGAGAGGATTGAACTCAGGTCATTAAGCTTGTGCAATAAGTACTTGTATTTGTCAAGCTATCTCAACAAATCCTAAACTTAATTTTCTTTAATAACATGCAAAGCAAGTGATTTTACCAGTAACTTTTGACTTGGTGTTCCCCTATCCACTTTCAAGTCTTCAGTATTCTCTCATTCTCTCCACTTCTTTATAGGCTTTTCTCCTCTCGTATGGCCTTTCTAGTTTCATGACCTCTATATACCCATACTCACTGTCAAAAAGCTTGTATGTGAAGTAGAAGCTGGGATCTGTGCGTGAGAGAAAGCATGTGATGTTTGTTTTTTCTACGTCTGGGATACTTCATTTTCTATAATTTCCATATCCATTTGCAAATGTTATTTTTCTGTTTATGGTTGAGTATGATTTCATTGTGTGTGTATATATGGCACATTTTCATTATCTGTCTGTTGATGGACATCTAGGCTCATCCATTTTCTTGCTCTGCTAGTAGATCACCATTGAACAGAGTTGTACAGGTATCTCTGAGGTAGAATTTGGAGTCCTTGTGTTGTTCTTTTGCTACAATTATTGCCTAAGAAACACAAACACGAGACTCGGCACCCATGTGGAGTTTATTGATAGAGGGGAGAGAAAAGGCAGTAGCTGGTAGCCTACTGAAAGCAGGGGAGAGAGAGAGAAGAGAAAGAGAACAAGGGAGAGAGAAAAAGAGCAAAAGGAAGGCGCACTTGGTGCGCTTGCTTTAAAAGGGAAACTTGCACATGAGTAAATGAGTCCCCTGCCAGCCAGGTAAGAAGACTTGGCCATGAGCATCTGCCCCCCCCCCCATCATCGGGGACGGGGTCAGAAGACTGCTGGTTCCCAACACTTTGGAAGTACTAGGAGAGTGCGGTCAGGTGAAAGTTCTATTTTTTAAGTCTTTGAGAAACTGCAACACTGATTTCCATAGAGTCTGTATGAGTTTACACTCCTATCAAGGACTCCTTTTGCGAGGAAGTATTTTTGAAAGAAGTAGAATCAGTTTCTATTGCAGTACAGCATGTTGTAAGAGATTTCAAAATATTGATGTAGATGTGTTAACCTGTTTGTAGATGGCTATCTCAGCTGTTGCTGGTATTCTCAAGCAGCTAAAGAGAACTCACAAAAAGCTGACCATCAACCCTTATGAAATCAGTAAGTAATACCCCAGATAAATAACAGAACTTTTCAATATTTCCTGGAATATTCACAGAGGCTAAGAGTAGTAGCACAGGGCTTTAATTCCAGAAGTTTGGAAGTAGATGTAGGAAAATCCGGAATTCAAAAGTCAGCCCAAGTTGTTGTAACGTAATCCATTCAATATTTCTCTTTGGGCAGGAAAATTAAAAGCAGGGTTGATTTTTCTACTTTTCTTACTATGTTCTCAGAAATATTTTTTTCTTTTGATTTATTTGTTTGCTTGGTTTGTTTTGAAGCTGTCCTGGAACTCACTCTGTAGACCAGGCTGGCCTCAAATTCAGACATCCACCTGCCTACCACTATCTGGCTTCTCAGAATTTTTCAAAAGGACACTTTTCCCATTAATAAATGATTGATCTAATATTAAAATATTGCATTTAGTTGTCACATCATTAGTCTCCTTTAATGTAATATTTTAATTGTGGATTACACTGTACTCCACAGATAAAAAGGACATGCATTTGGATAAGTGACAAATACTTCAGAACATTGTGTTGATAAAATTAATGACATAGAATCAATGTTAATTTTTTTTATTTCTGAGAAATTGTGTTTTGATATACAAAAGAACATTCTTAGGAAGTACTTCTGTACTCTGTACTATAGGATTGTGGAGACATTATGTGAACAATTTCTCATAAAACTCCAATAAATGTGTGTGTAGGGAGAGAGAATATATTAAAGTATGTACATGGTAATGTGTAAAATATGAGGTCTGTAAGTAAAGAATAATGTAAATTTGAAATTCCTTAAGCTCTGTAAGTCTGAAATTAATTCAGAACCAGGCTGGAGAGATGGCTCAAAGGTTAAGAGCACTGGCTTCTCTTCCAGAGGTTCTGAGTTCAATTCACAGCACCCATATGGTGGCTCACATCTATCTATAATGATATCTAGTGCCTTCTTCTGGCATGCAGGCATTTCTACAGAGCACTTTATATATAATTTTAAAAAACAAAACTAATTCAGAGTCAAAATGTTTAATAAAATCCTTTTAATTTTAGTACATCCTATTCTAACAGATATCAATTCTGAATCCATCCCATCTTTTCCTCAGTAGTTCAGAGTAAACCCCATGCTCTACTTCAGGCTCCCTCCCCACTTTCTTAGGGCTGAGGATTGGGTCCAGGACCTTCCATGCTCTGTCAACACTATAATTCCTAGCTAGTCCTTTTTTCCCTTGCTTATTTGCACATGTGGTTGCATATATACTATGGTATGTATGTGGAGAAAAGACAACTGGAGGAGTCAGTTTTCTCTCTTCAACGTGTGGATCAGGGCATTAGAACTCAGGCTTGGTGGCAAGTACCTCTACCTGCTGAGCCATCTACATAGTCCTTTGTGGGCTGAGATGATAGTAATAAGTGATTTCTTGTTAGGAGTTGGCAGGTCTAGAGAGATGGCTCGCTATTGGTTTTGCACAAGAACCAAGTTTTGTTCCTAGCACCCACCCTAGGCAGCCTACAACTGCTTGTGAGTCTTGCTGCACGGATGACCTCTAACCTCAGGCTCATGCGCATGCGTGTACACACACACACAAAATAAACATGTTTTTCTTTTTTAGTCAGGGCATGGTGTTCCATAACTTTCATACCAATACTTTGGAAGCAGAGGCAGGTGGATCTCTGAGTTGAAGGCCAGACCCTGCTTTAAAAGTAAATAAATAAAATAAAATAGTAACTTTGCTTATTCAAAGTCTAGAAGAGCTACTGAATTAATGTTTTCAAATTGATTGAATCTGAATTCCTTTTCTTTAGGTGGATGTCCTAAGCCCACCAAAATTCTTGCTGGTGATAGACCTGATAATCATTGGTTACATTATGATAGCAAAAACCTACCAAGAACAAAAAAAGAATGGGAATCAAGTTGCTTTGTTGAAAAAACTCATTGGGGATACTATAGTTGGCCAAAGTAAGTCACAGTTTACCCCCAACATCATCACTAAACATCCTTTTCATTTTGGTAAACTTTGTTTTGTTAGATTAGATTCTAGGTTCAGAGTTGCTTAAAGGTCTTCTCCTTTTTTCTTCCTGGCATTCTTTTGCTCCTGCCAATGCGGTGCTTTATTTCTTCCCACTTCTATAGTCTGAGTTTTTGCTAATGTTAAGAGAGTTCTTAACAGCTGTTCTAAATTGTGCTCCTAATGTTAACACACCTGTCTAATCCAGAAGCACTTGGCTTTCATTGTTGAGTCCAATTTATGTTACCAGGGCATGAGAATCTGTAGACTTTTAAAGCAGAGACTGTTATAATTTACTCATCTCCCTAAACTACATTTTAGTCAGAGTTCATTAAAAGTGCCTCTTAACATTTGCTCTAGAAGCTATATCATTTCCTTCCATGTTGTTAATATAAACTCTTACTGTATAGGAATATGGTTGTTTATGCTGGTGTAGAAGAGCAGCCTAAGCTTGGCAGAAGCAGGGAGGATATGACCGAGGTAAGCATTCATTTCATTGCGGTTTTAACTTTTAATTGCATCTTGGCTACTGATTTAGCTCCATTTTGTGTGTTTGTGTGTGTGTTTGTGTGTGTGTGTGTGTGTGTGTGTGTGTGTGTGTGTTTGTAGTCCCATTCTAGTGTTTCAGTATAGTACCACATAGCATAAATATAGGTGAAATGTATACTGTTGTCCCATCACTCAGATGCTAGTTGACACTGTTAGCAACATTTCCAGACTTGCCCTCATGTTAACTACTGTGCTCAGCACTCCATTGGGTACTGGTCCTTATAGCTGGTTTCTTGTGTTATTTCTGGATGATACAGGACTCTTGAGCAAAGATACTAAGTAACTTAGGTTTCCATTGTATATAAATCATGGCTTCTTGGGAAATAGATGTTTAGATTTTTTTTATTATTTTATATAACAAAGTCCAATTAAATGAAAACAAACATTTATACACAATATTTGGGAATTTGGGCGTTGTTCTTTCCAAACTACTCCCTGCTGGTAAGGGATGCTGTAAGGGATTTTAATGGTAAGGGATTTTAATGGGGATTGCATTGAATTTGTACATTGCTTTTGGCAAGATTGCCTACCTGTCCAAGAACATTGGAGATCTTTCCATTTTCTGGTATCTTCTTTAATTTCTTTCTTTAGAGTCACAAAGTTCTCATTATATAGGTCTTTTACTTGTTTGGTAAGTGTTACACCAAGATACTTTATGTTGCTTGTGGCTATTGTAAAGGGTGATGTTTCTCTGATTTCTTTCTCTGCCTCTTTGTCTAGGGCTACTGATTTTTTTGAGTTTATCTTATATCCTGCTAGTTTGCTGAATGTGTTTATCAGCTGTAGGAGTTCCCTGGTAGAGTTTATTGGGTCGCTTATGTAAACTATCATATCATCTGCAAATAGAGACAGTTTGACTTCTTCCTTTCCAATTTGGATCCCCTTGATCTCCTTCTGTTGTCTTATTGCATTAGCTAGAACTTCTAGTACGATATTGAAGAGATATGAAGAGAGAGGACAGCCTTGTCTTGTTCCTGATTTTAGAGGAATTGGCTTAAGTTTGTCTCCATTCAGTTTGATGTTGGGAGTTGGTTTGCTGTATATTGCTCTTATTATGTTTAGGTATGTTCCTGTTATCCCTGACCTCTCCAAGACTTTTAACATGAAAGGGTGTTGAATTTTGTCGAAGGCTTTTTCTGCATCTATGGAGATAATCATATGGTTTTTCTTTTTCTGTTTGTTTATATGGTGGATCACGTTGATAGATTTTCGTATGTTAAACCATCCCTGCATCCAGGTATGAAGCCTACTTGGTCATAGTGGATGATTTCTCTGATGTATTCTTGAATTCGGTTTGCCAGTATTTTTTATTGAGTATTTTTGCATCGATGTTCATCAGGTATATTGGTCTGTAGTTTTCTTTCTTAGTTGTGTCTTTGTGTGGTTTGGGTACCAAGGTTATTGTGGCCTCATAAAAAGAGTTTGGCAATGAACCTTCTGTTTCTATCTTGTGGAACAGTTTGAGGTGTAGTGGTATTAGTTCTTCCTTGAATGTCTGGTAGAATTCTGCACTGAATCCATCTGGCCCTGGACGTTTTTTGGTTGGAAGGCTTTCCATGACTGCTTCTATTTCATTGCGGGTTATAGGTCTATTTAAGTTGTTTGTTCTTGATTTAAATTTGGTAAGTGATAGTTATCCAGAAACTTGTCCATTTCCTTTGAATTTTCAATTTTTGTGGAATACAGATTTTCAAAGTATGACCTGAAAATTGTCTGGATTTCCTCTGTGTCTGTTGTTATGTTCCCCGTTTTGTTTCTGATTTTGTTAATTAATTTGCATGGTCTCTCTCTGTTTTTTCATTAATTTGGATAAAGGTTTGTCTATCTTGTTGATTTTCTCAAAAAAAAAAAAAAAAACAACTCTTCATTGCATTGATTTTTTTTTTTTTTTTTTTTTTTTTTTTTTTATTGTTTTCCTGGTTTCTATTTTGTTGATTTCAGCCCTCAAGTTGATTATTTCCTGGCGTCTACTCCTGCGGGGTGAATTCACTTCTCTCTGTTCTAAGGTTTTCAGTTGGGCTGTTAATTCTCTTATGTGACTATCCTCTGTTTTCTTCATATGGGCACTTAGTACAATGAACTTCCCTCTTAGCACTGCTTTCAAGGTGTCCCATAAGTTCGGGTATGTTGTATCCTCATTCTCGTTGAATATTAGAAAGTCCTTAATTTCTTTCTTTATTTCTTCTTTGACCCAGGAGTGGTGCAATTGCACATTGTTCAGTTTCCATGAGTTTGCAGGTTTTCTCCTATTTGTGTTGTTGTTGAATTCCACTTTTAAAGCATGGTGGTCCGATAAGATACAGGGGACTATTCCTATTCTCTTGTATCTATTGAGGTTTGTTATGCCACCTAATATGTGGTCGATTTTAGAGAAGGTTCCATGTGGAGCAGAGAAGAAGATATATTCTTTTGTCTTTGGATGGAATGTTCTATAGATGTCTGTTAACCCCAGTTGAGACATAACTTCTGTTAGTTCTTTTGTTTCTTTGTTGAGTTTCTGATTTGTGGTCCTGTCTAGTGTTGAGAGCCGTGTATTGAAGTCTCCCACTATAAGTGTGTGAGGTTTTATATGAGCTTTGAGTTTTAGTAGTGTTTCTTTTACGAATGTGGGTGACTTTGTATTAGGGGCATAGATGTTCAGAACTGAGACTTTGTATTGATCGATTTCTCCTGGGATGAATACGAAATGACCGTCTGCATCTCTTTTCATTAATTTTGGTTTGAAGTCTAACTTGTTAGATATTAGGATAGCCACGCCTGCTTGCTTCTTGGTTCCATTTGATTGGAAAATCTTTTCCCAACCCTTTACCATGAGGTAATGTCTATCTTTGAAACTTAGATTTATTTCTTGTATGCAGCAGAAAGATGGATTCTGTCTTCATATCCATTCTGTTATCCTGTGTCTTTTTAGAGGTGAGTTAAGACCATTAATGTTGAGGGTGAGTAAGGACCATTGATTGATGATGTTTGTTTGTCTTAGGTTTGTTGTTGGCAGTGGTATTGTGAAAATATTTTTTCTGCTTTACCCTTGGTTTCTGGTTTAGTTGGATTTTCTTTTGCCTACATTTTTGTGGGCATAGTTACCTTCCTTGGGTTGCAGTTTTCCTTCCAATACTTTCTATTTGTGGATTTGTGGATACTTATTGGGAAAATCTGGTTTTGTCATTAAATATCTTGTTTTCTTCATCTATAGTAATTCAGAGTTTTGCTAGATATAGTAGCCTAGGCTGGCATCTGTGTTCTCTTAATACTTGTAGAACATCTATCCAGGACCTTCTGGCCTTGAAGGTTTCCATGGAGAAGTCAGGTGTAATTTTGATAGGTCTGCCTTTATATGTTATCTGGCCATTTTCCTTCACCGCTCTTAATATTCGTTCTTTATTCTGTATGCTAGGTGTTTTGATTATTATATGTCGAGGGGTCTTTTTTCTTTGGTCCAGCCTATTTGGGGTTTGGTATGCTTCTTGTACTTTCATGGGCATGTCCTTCTTCAGATTTGGAAAGTTTTCCTCGATGATTTTGTTGAATATGTTTTCGGCACCTTTGAGCTGGGCTTCCTCACCTTCCTCTATGCCTATTATTCTTTGGTTTGGCCTTTTCATGGTGTCCCATATTTCCTGCATGTTTTGTGTTAAGGATTTGTTGGATTTATGATTTTCTTTGGTCGAGGAATCTATTTCTTCTAGTTTATTTTCTGTGCCTGAGATTCTCTCTTTGATCTCTTGAATTTTGTTGGTTATGCTTGTGTCCATAGTTGCCCATTTGCCCATCTTTTCAATTTCCAGCATTCCTTCAGTTTGTGTTGCCTTTATTTTCTCTATTTCAGTTTTCAAGCCTTGAACTGTTTCCTTCACCTGCTTAATTGTTTTGTCTTGGCTTTCTGTACTTTCCTTAAGGAATTTGTTCATTTCTTCTACTTTTTTGTGTGTTTTTTCTTCCATTTCTTTAAGGGATTTTCTCACATCTTCTTTGAGGGCCTCTCTCATTTTTATGATGGTAATTTTTAAGTCGTACCCTTCTGCTTCCTCTGCTTTGTTGTTGTGTTCCATTCTAGTTGGTGTAGATTCCCTAGATTCTGGTGGTGTCATGCTTGTCTTTCTGTTGTTAGGTGTTCTCTTGTATTGCCTTCTTCCCATAGCTTCTTCCAGTAGGTGTTGGTGGGGTCTCCCCCTCTCTCTATGGTACTTCTCCGATGTGCTTATGTGGGTCTGAGATTTAATATCTGTAGCTCTGTGTGGTCCAAGCTCTCTAAGAGGTTTCTCCGCAGACAGGGATCCAGGGATGGGGTCAAAAATGAGGATCCAGAAAAAGATGCCAGCAGGTGCTCACAGTGGTCCTCTGGCCAATAGCTGGCGAAGAGGGCAAGGGCTGAGCTGGAACTTGAGAAGGTTTTGCAGGATAGTCTGATCTCACTGGAAACTGAATCTCTCCAGCTGGGACCTCTTTCTTTGGCAGAGGCCCGGATTTGGGGGTCAAGGATCTTGCCTGCAGGATCTCAGAGTGGACCCGCAGAGATAGGCGGATCTCTGGGAGCGGCCCGGGACTCCAGCAGAGGAGTGGAGGCGGGGTCAGAGACCAAGCAGGTGGAAATTATGGGTGGTCCTGAGTGTATAGTCAGGTCTCCTTTGTTCAGAGTTGCTCCGAGAAGCCTCCGAAGTAGGGTGGATTGTTGGCTCTACCCTCTGTCCTAGTGCTCATCCAGAGCAGCAGGACCTTGGGTGGGGTAGGGCACAGGGTAGGGGGGAATAGGCTGGTGGTGGGGATGGGTGGGGGTGTATCAGTGCTCCAAGGGTGCTCTGGATGGGGACTGGAGACAGGAGCAGCAGGATCAGGGACCAACCCAGGGAGTTCGGGCACGGGATGGGGGAAAAGAGGTTGTAGGGGACAGGCAGCCCTGATTGGGCCCAGACTCACCTCTGGCCAATAGTTGGTGGAAGAGGACAAGGGCTGAGCTGGAACTTGAGAAGGTTTTGCAGGATAGTCGGATCTCACTGTAAACTCGGTATTTAGATTTTTTTAAGATTCATTTTTATTGTTTTTTAATTATGCATACCTATATATGAGTGTGTGCACCTGGCTATAAGTGTCCATGGGATAAGAGGAGTTAGATCCTCCTGGAACTATAGTTACATGGATGCTGAGAATAATGAAGGTTGTCAGGAAAAAAATAGTGCCGTTCTTACCACTTAGCCTTCTCTCCAGCCCAAACATCTAGATTTTCGTCTTTTAAAGATTTTTAAAGTCTTTTTAAAGATTTTAAACATTTTAGTTAAGCTAAGTGTGTGTGTGCAATGTCTGCACTCAGTGCTGTTACAAGAGGACTGCTGTGAGTTCAAGACCAGTCTGGACTATAGAACAAGACAGCCTATAGTCAACAAAAGGGAAGGGGAGGGAAGGGAAGGGAAGGGAGGGGAGAGGGAAAGGAAAGGAGAAAGGAAAGGAAAGGAAAGGAAAGGAAAGGAAAGGAAAGGAAAGGAAAGGGAGGGACAGAGGAAAGGAAGGAAGGAAGGAAGGAAGGAAGGGTGGGTCACAAAAATGAACCAAAATTTTATTCCTTATTGAACATACCTCATTATCATTTGAAATACAATTATCTTAAAAGCTAAGTTTTCTTCAAGTCACTGTTTTAAGTTTACTGATTCTGAACAGCCTTTCTTTGTGTTATACAAAGATGGAAACAGTTTGTTGGAATTTGGTATACATTTAGAAAGTTTTTATAATTGCACACAGCTGGCAATTATATAATTCCCAAGCTGAGCAAACATTTTTGTTTTTAATTGATAATATGAGAAATAACATCCACACCTGAGGAAGAGAACAAACTTAATATTCTTAGAGTTGCATTTTAGTTTTGCATCTAGTTCCATTTATTATTCTGGTTCTAGAAAGTACTGTAATTTCTTTGGTTATTGAAAATTGTTGAGAACAAGATTATAGCCATCTAGTTAATATAGTCTTAAAATGCTATTTTAGCTTTATCAGAATTGTGTGCTCTTAAGTTGGTTTTAAACCCTGAACATTGTTCTTTTTTTCAAATTCGTAGGCAGAGCAGATTGTGTATGATCGTTTTTCTGACCCCAAGTTTGTCGAGCAGTTAATTACTTTTCTATCTTTAGAAGACAGAAAAGGAAGAGATAAGTTTAGTCCCCGGCGTTTCTGCCTCTTTAAGGTAATTGTGTTTTACGTACCCTTTTCATAATTTTATGGGCTCCTAAGTTTCAAATATTTGATTAAAATTTGAATTTAACCTATTATCTAAAGTGGAACTGAAGTTAAATATGAAAATATTTACTGTGGCTTTTTAAGGTAACCTTTAAAATTATTAGCACTAGAAGCAAAAGTGTATTTTAATATAAAGTTGCAGTGTTCTTACTATTGTAACTGACATTAAAGAATTTAAATTCTAATGGGGAGAATAGTGTAGACAATAATTGCAAACTTATTTATCAAGATAATAGCCATTTCAATACTGAATTAAATTTTTCCTTGTTTTTATAGGGTGTATTTAGAAATTTTGATGATGCTTTTCTGCCTGTTCTGAAGCCCCATTTAGAACGTTTGGTTGCAGATTCTCATGAAAGTACCCAGAGATGTGTTGCAGAAATTATAGCAGGTTTAATCAGAGGTTCTAAGCATTGGACATTTGAGAAGGTGATGATGTGATCCATCTGTGGTGGGTTTTGTTTTGTTTCCTTTTGGGTTTTGTAGTTTATTTATTCACCACATACTAGAAGGCCAGCCTGGGCTACCTCACATTTATGATAATGCTTCCTGAAATATGACAAGTTCAACTCCATAAAATGTGCCAAAAATGGAGCCTGGAGATGTGTTTTATAAAGCACAAAGCCCTTTGTTGGATCCTAACACTTGATAATATGGGCCTAAAATCCAAGCATTCTGGAGGTGTTAAACAAAAAGATCAAAAATTCAAAGACATCCTCTGCTACATTGAAAGTTTGAGGCTAGCCAGGGATACATGAACATTGTGCTGGGACTAAAGGTGTGTACCACCACACCCAACTTAAATAAAATCTTAAGAGAAAACAGAACCCAGAAAACGGATTTCTTTCAAAAAAGGAGATTTATACACAACACAGATATCCTTGTCATTCTCTTATTGGAGCTACTCTCAAATTAGCCATTTTCCAAAACACATTTTTTACCAAAATCTGTGTCTGGTGCCTTTTATCCTCCCTATTTGTTGTTTTAAAACCAAAGTGAATGACTATGCAGTGTGTTCATTGCATGTGAGGTTGTTAGAAAAGGAAATTCTCAGTTGAGATTAATTATAGTCTGTCTTTTCAAGATGACAGTGTGATTTGTGTGCTCATTGGACTTTAGAAACCACAAATTCAGTCCTTGATCATCAACATTTGAATTGAAGATCTCACTTGTGAATTCTTGTGTCATTTTGTAACATCCATGCTTCCTACTCAGGTTTCCTTTTGCCCAGTGTGATAATTATGTTATTCAACAATTGTTTGCTTGCTTGTTTGTTTATAACAATTTTATAAGGAACTGTATAAAATTTTCCCTCTTTTCTGAATATTATGAGAAATTGAACTATATCCTATAGGTCATATGTAATTTATATACATATAATTTATATACACGAATTGTAACATAGTAAGATCCCCTATTGTGTGGTTTACAAAGTCCTGTCCTGTTTGTGTGTGTGTATTTCTAGGAGGAGCTGTTTTCATAATGATGCCTGCCACTAACTTTTCTATGTTTTACTTTGAGAAGGTGGAGAAGCTTTGGGAACTCCTCTGCCCACTGCTGAGAACAGCGCTGTCCAACATGACAGTGGAGACATACAATGACTGGGGAACCTGTATAGCCACATCCTGTGTAAGCACACTTTCTGCTTGTTCCCCTTATGGGCCACTCTGCTTTCAAAATGTATCGGAATCTGTGTTCCCCATGGAATCTTGACAGGTCATTCATAATTAAAAATGGTGCTTTTCAGCCTTCTTAGCAGCCTTTGACTATATAACTCTAGTTCTGATTTCTATTCTGATATAGTAATGCATTTTAACATCTACACATCAAACCCTGTTTTGGGAAATGTAGTTTACACATAGTAAAAGCTGTGTAGTAGTTATACTTGTTATTAATGCCAACTGTGCCTATTGTTCATGTGCTTCTATTTAAGTTGACTATTTTTCTCAGTGTTAACACAAGTAATGAATGATAACTAAATTTGTATTTAACTTAGCAATTTTAGTTTGGCTGTTTCTTGCATATTTACTTGTAATATAACTGGCTTACAGAATTAATTCTTTTGCCTAATTATTAATTTATATCTTTAACACAGGAAAGCAGAGATCCCCGGAAGCTTCATTGGCTTTTTGAGCTGCTCTTGGAGTCACCATTGAGTGGTGAAGGGGGTTCCTTTGTAGATGCATGGTAAATAAAAAGGAAACCTATAAGGTTAATGCTGAAGATTGTGTGTTAACTAATGAATAAATGGAGATGAGTTACTAGGCATAGTGGTACATACCTATAATTCCTGCACTAGGAAGGTTATGGAGAGGATCATGAGTTTGTGGCCAGCCTGGGCTATTATACTAAATTCCAGGCCAACCAGAATTATACAGCACGAACAAATCTCAAAAATTAAATGATGGGCTTTCTTTTGGAGGCTGTGATGCTTATCATTTTGTAAGCAATGTACCAGCTACAATGTAAGTCACCCAGCCTTTTGTGCTACCACAGGTTTTTAGGGGCCATACTGACTTCTTTGTCCTATTCTGATTTTTCATTTTCTGTTAGCAAACATACAAAGCAGAGTGGATGAAGGACACAGTATAGTGGTCAAGTGCTTGCCTGACATGCCCTGTGTTGCTTTACTTGGCATATGCTTGTGAAGGTGGAGAAAAGTAGATGCAGTTAAAAAAATAATAAAGGGAACCTCAGTAAGGTGTTCATTAGTGAGAACACATGAATTATTCTCAAAAACTTAGGTCAGGTGCCTGTGAGGTGGCTCAATTAATTGAGATGGTTGCCAACCAAGTCTGACAACCTGAATTCAATCCCTGGGATCAACTTACATGGCGACCACATAGTGAAAGGGCACACACACATACAAACACACACACACACACACACAAGAAGGCATGTGATGGGGTCAGTGAGATGGATGAGCTGGTAAAGGTACTTGTAACAAGCCTGATGACCTGAGTTTGATTTCTAGAACCCTCATGATTAAAGAAAACAGGCTCTTGAAAGTTGTTTTCTGACATTCACCCTCATGTCCCAACCACCCCTCCCTCCATCCACACACACATATCCAAACACTAAATAAATGTTCTAAAAAAAGAAAGTTCAATGGTTACTCTTTTTTTTAAACTTAATAGTTGTAAATGTGCTACTGCTAAAAATAGTTTGAAATTTTCTTTTAGTCTAGTAAATATAAAAAGTAGGTTGGAAATATTTTAAAAAGTAGAAAAAGGGATGTGGAAGGCAGTCTTCATCAAATGTTACTATTTTGAATTATGGATCAATTATTTAGTGAAAAGAAGCTATTTATGGTGATCAAAGAGAAAACAGGAAAAGACTGAATTGGAATAAAGGCATTGTTTATACTCTTTGCATTAAAAAGATAGTCTAACACAATGTTTCTTCTGTCCTTTAATTGTAGCCGACTCTATGTGCTGCAAGGTGGCCTTGCACAGCAAGAATGGAGAGTCCCTGAGCTATTACACAGACTTCTGAAGTACTTGGAACCCAAACTCACCCAGGTTTACAAAAATGTCAGAGAAAGAATAGGGAGGTATGTGTGGTTGCTCTCTTGGTTTGAAGTAGCTCTTGAGTCTTTGTATTAAATTTTAATATCTAATAGTACACACTGGTTATGTTCCCAGTGAGTGTAGTGTTGTCTTCCTCATGTTTTGTTCACTATTATGTTCTAAAAAACAAGACATTGAATATAAATTAGGAAGCAGTGTACTCAAGATAGCAGTGAGCAGCTATCATACTAGAGGTTTGATCTCAGATTTATATGGCATGTTTTATACCAGGGATGATCTGAGACCCTGCTAATAATAATCTGGTGAAAATTTGGTTAGGTTGAACTGTAATATTTGAACCTCAATTTTAATTCTTATGCTAGACTGCCTATTCTTGTACATTTTCTTTAACAGTGTGCTGACCTACATATTTATGATAGATGTTTCTTTGCCAAATACTGCACCAACAACATCTCCTTGTATCCCCGAGTTTACTGCTCGAGTCCTAGAGAAACTAAAACCCCTTACAGATGTGGATGAAGAAATTCAGAACCATATTATGGAAGAGAATGTCATTGGTGAAGAAGATGAACGAACTCAGGGCATTAAACTCTTAAAAACCAGTGAGTATTTAAAATTGGTAGAAATTCAATCAAAAGCAGGGCTGTTTTCGTTCCTTTGGCATCTCCACACATACCTTTTTTTTCTTTTGATAAAACAATATAAATTTTCTTATTTTAAACTTTTTGTTTGTTTTGGTTTGGGCTTTGTTTATTTGTTGTTGGGTTGTTTTGTTTTGTGATTCTTTTTGGTTTTTTGTTTGGTTTGGTTTTTTGAGACCTTGTCTTTCCGGGGTCCCTGGAACTCACTGAGTAGACCAGGCTGGGCTTGAACTAGAGATCCACCTTCCTCTAGCTCCCAAATATTCCACCCTGCCTGGATTTTTCATTTCTTTTTTAAATCATGATATTTTGTTGATTTTTGAGTTGTGATTATTTACATATTTTTACTATTACTTGCTGGAATTAAAGGCACTCACCACCAAGTCAATTATTTTTGAGTGTGCAGTTTAAAGGCTATGAGGATATACTCAGTCCATCTCTAGAATTCTTTTCATGGCAAGCTGAAAATCTGCACCCGTTCTACAGTAACTTCTCATTTTTCCTTCTCATTCCTAGTCCCAAATAGCTACCACTTTATTTTCTGTCTCTAAAACTTGTCTATTCTAAGAAGTGGATCATGTCGGTCAAATTGGTTGTTTTATTTCTGGCATACTTCATTCACAAAATAGTTTGTGATTGATCCGTTGTCTTAGTGAGGGTTTCAGTATCTTTGAAAAGAGACAACATGGTACTACTCTTATAAAAGAAAGCATTTAATTGTGATGGTTTACAGGTTCAGAGGTTTAGTCAGTCATCATCATCATGGTGGGAACTATGGCAGCATGCAAACAGACATGGTACTGAAGAAATAGCTAAGACTTATACATCTGGATCTATAGGCAGCAGGAAGAGTGAACTGAGCTTGGCTTGAGCTTCTTGAAACCTCAAAGCTGAGCCCCCCAATGACACACTTCCTTAGTGGCCACCTGTTTTGCAGTCTAGTCATCAAACACTGTTCTATATCCTTGTCTACTCCATACTTTTGGTTTCTGAGTGGGTCCTATTTATTCTAATGGGTTTGAGAAGTTATAATTTTGATTTGTATTTGCCTGATGACAATTATGCTTACCTTTTTATGTGCTTAATTGGCCATTTATTTTCTTTGGAGAAAGCTTGTTTTGTTTTGATTTTTTGTTTGTTCTGTTTTGTTTTTAAAGACAGGGTTTCTCTATGTTGTTCTGGCTATCCTAGAACTATGTAGACCAGGCTGGCCTCAAAGTCATAGAAATCCTCCTGCCTCTGCCTCCTAAGTATGTCACCATGTGCATTTTTTTTTTTTTTTTGCTGTTGTTGATTGTTAATTGTAGTTGTTTATATGTTCTTCTTTTACTACTTTATCATGAGTTACATGAATTTATACATGAATAAAAATATTTTCTCCTGTGAATATCTGTTCTTTCTTCCTCACTTTTCCTTCCTCTTCCCTCTCTTTCAAATTTTAACTTTATTATCGTTGTTTCTTTGTTTTGTTTGACTTTTTTTGAGATAGGATCTTACTCTATTCAGCCTGCCTCCTCGGTGCTGGGTTGAAAGGCATTTACTATTATGCCTGCTTGGGTTTTTTTTTTTTTTTTTTTTAATCTTTTTAAAATTCACTTTGGGCTCATATTTAGGTTCTTAGTTCACCTTGAGTTATTTTAGTATGTAGTTTAGTGTCTAGCTTTACTATTTAGAATGTATACATTCAATTTTCCCACCACTGCTTGTTGAAAACTATTTTTTATTGAATTGCTTTGGTGCTCTTGATCAGCACACATTTTGAGGGTTTATTTCTGCCCCCTCCCCCACTTTTGCTATTCTATTGTGTGCCTGCCCTTGTATCAGTGCTAACTATTAACTTCTGTATGTATCTAGTAAGTTTTTACGTCAACAAGTATGAGTCAAGAAAATTTGAATACCCGGGGTATCTTAGGATTTCAATTGCTATGAAGAGACACTGTGACCATGGCAAGAAATGAAAACATTTCATTGAGGCTAACTTACAGTAACTTATAGTAATTATTAATTACTAATAATTTTTCTGCCCTGGTACCCTTAATTACTTGATTCCCATTACCATGGGTGCCGTTAGACTGCTAATGAATTAGTCTTATTTGATATATTATAGCTACTCTTACATTAAAGAGCTGTCAGGGGCATTATTAGTATTGCGTCATTCTTCATGGTTCATAATTTGATAGTTTGGCTGATTCAGTGTGTTTATTTCCAAATAGTTTTGAAATGGCTTATGGCAAGCGCAGGAAGATCTTTTTCTACAGCAGTCAAAGAACAGCTTCAGCTTCTGCCTTTGTTCTTTAAGGTAAGACTATAACTTGAAATGAAGAATACCATTCCCTTTGGCCTTCCAAGGAAAGTTAGAACCATCACCCAGTGGGTTAATAAGTTTGTAATTTAATGGTTGAGTTTTGATTACATCTCTAGCTAGATTTTCACAGGAAAACTCTTAACACTGAAAATACACATATATGTTACATGCATAGTGTGTGTGTGTGTGTGTGTGTGTGTGTGTGTGTGTGTGTGTACATATATATAATCACTATTAATATCGAAAAAATACACACACTAGTTTCTTAGTGATACATTACTATGAAGATACCATGGCAACTCTTATAAAAGAAAGCATTTAACTAGGACTTCCTTAAGGATTCAGAGATTAGTCCATTATCCTCATGGTGGGGAACATGGCGCCTTGCCGGCATACATGGTAGCTGAGTAGTGTTCTCTGCTTCTGAAATCTGTAGGAAGCTGAGTGAGCCACTGGGTCTGGTGTAGGCTTCTGAGATCTTAAAGCCCATCCCTAGTGACACATTTCTTCCAAAAGGCCATACCTACCTAATAAGGGCACACCTACTTATCCTAAGAAGTGCCACTACCTGATGATCAGGCATTATAATATATGAACCTATGCCACAGACCTCAGTGGGCAACGGGTCTGCAGGGAGATTAAGACTCGGATGAACAGGTCAGGAGTGGCTTCGGCTTGACAGACAGACACAAACACACTCGAGGTTTGCAACTGTTGCAATTTTTACTTAAGAGTATTGGGTTTTTATGCAGAAAGTTCAAGGAAAAGATCTTTGGCCTGTTTAAAATTTACAGACATACTATAAAAATGTCAGCAATTACCTTGGAGCATGGGATCGTAAATACATTTAAGCAAATGTGTAGCAGGGAACCTCTGTTTATTTTGGCCTGCTTGTGGTCAGCATACCAGGGATTTGATTTACTGAGTTTAGAGAATAATCATTGTCTCTGGTCAGTAAACTTTTAACAGCATTGATAAGAACTCTTGTACTGTTTTATTGATTTAGGGGCCCTAAGAACTCAAGAGTTTTGTAGTAAATCCCACAACAGCTTTGCTGAGGCAGGCTAATTAGGCAGGGTCATCTTGTGAGCAACTTCCTACAGCTTTAGCTATGTTAATTTATCAGGCCTTGGGCTGACACCTGTAGTGGGATTTGTAGTTGATTGCTTGTCTGTATCTCTTTCAGTTCCTGAAATTATAAGTGTTTTCTGGGCTACTCTGAATTAACAGTGGAGCTACAGGCCAAAACACCTATGATCAAAAGCATTATAGCTATCTTTGCACAAAATACACCTAGCACCCATTCCAGACAGCCAGTCAGGCAATCACCTGCAGGGTCCTGGACCACTTTTCCCCAGGAGGCATAACCAAGTTTGGTGAGAACCTCTGGACAGGTAGCCATTGAGATTTCTCTCAGCCATAGCTTCACTGTTTCCACTGGGGCTGGAGTGGCAAACCTATGGCGGCAGAGTTGGGGCGGGGAGGAGCTTTTATGCCTATTCAAACCACCACACAGTGTGAGCTCATGGCAGATACATGTAAGGTCTTTTCAGGCTAGCTTCTGACTTGTTGTGTAGCAGAAGATGACCTTGAACTACCTCCACCTCATAAATGTTGAAATTACTGTCATGAGCCGCCACACCCAGCTGTACAAAAAGTTTTGCATTGTTGCACCATTAGCCAATTTTATTTTAGAGAATATATGAATGATTAAAAGGGACAGTGATATTTTAATATGGCCATTTCTCTTTCCTGTATTCTTATGTAGCTGTTGTGATTTAATAACCATTTACTGTGTAGTAGCTTTGTTTGATTTTATTACAACCAATAACTAGGTATAGGAGCCAGGTACTTGGATTCAGTCGTGGCTCCATTGCTGGTGGGCTGACAATGTAATCATGGGCAAATAATCTATCCCCTCAGAACTTCTTTTTCCTCATGTGCAAATTGAGAGTAGCATTCACACACTTCCTAAGGATGTGGTAAAGGTTATGTGACTTAAAATTATACACTTTTCATTCTTAAAATTGTGTTTTGTGATTGAACTCAGTAACATGAATTAACATGAATAGCATTTCATTTGAATTTTTCACTCCACATTGCTGTTAGCAAAGACCAAGAGTTCAGATTAAATAGAATGATACACTGACCTATTAGATTCTAAACTAAGTCACAAAGTTGCCTGCCTGTGGAAAATGCTCAGTGCCTGTCTCAGGCATATGATGGACACTAGAAATGGTCAAGGATGGGTTATAATCATTGCCAGAGCCCTTGCCCTCTCACAAATATCAGTATGATATAGAGTTAACCTAGAGCTCTCCCAATGGCTCAGTGGTAAAGGTACTTGCTGTCAAACTTGACAACATAAGTTTAATTCCTAGGACCCACATGATGAAAGGAGAGAATGGATATCTATAAGTTGTTCTCTGACCTACACATGCATAAAAATAAGTTTAAAACAAAGTGAACCCATAAAAACCAGTTTCGTGTACATCATTGTCAAGAAATTCTTAAAGCTTGGTATATAGTGAGTGGTACATGCTTCTAATCCCCAGCATTTGGGAGGGTGAGGCAGGAGGATCAAGTTCAAGACCAGCTTGGGCTACAAAGTGGATTCCTGTTTTAAACATCCAAAGCTATCCATATCATTAAGGAAAAATATTTTAAGAATATTTACAGAGTCCTGGTTATAAGCATTGTAGCTCAGATGGAATGGTATCCTGGCAGCTGGGAGCCAAAGAGTACCACAAAGTCACACCGTACAACAAACCTCATACAAGAGATTTATTGGGAGGGAAAATAATCAGGAGGGTGGCTGCCTCTGCCCAGGTAAGAAATAGCAGCAGACTGAACTGGATACAGGGCTTGTATAGAGTTTCTTGGGGGGGGGGGGTTGAACTTTTCAGATTGAAGATTGGTGGGATTTCATGTCCAGAGATTGGACTTTTTACTCTGGGGGGGGGGAGGGGGAGGTCCGGGAACAGATGTTAGGACACTTATGAGTATTCTGTGGGTAGAACCTGGCAGTTAGAGGTCCTTAGGGCAGGGGCCAGGCCATGTGGCTTGAGGGGCTACACTGGTACTGGAATATAGAGACTCTTCCATTTTGCCTTCATATATGTAACTGTACAATGTACATACTTAATACCTTCAAAGTTCAGAAGAGGGCATAAGATTCCCCTGGAACTGGAGGTACACATGGTTGTAAGCTGCTGTGTGAGTGCTTTGAACTCCACCCAAATACACTAGAAGAGCCATAGTTGCTCTTAACCACTGAGCCACCTCTCCACTCTCGTCTGCCATTCAACTATGGTTCTTTAATATCAAGCATTAAAAATCTACTGAGTGGTAAAGCAAAAGTAGTAATTTAGATTACCAGAAAATATCTAGGTGGTGTACAGAACAAAGTAAAAAATGAAAAGCTGAGTAGAAGCCATAGCTCCAAGGATCTAGATTACAGAAAATAACAGGGTTCTACTCCAGGGCATTATTTGCTTGAATCCCTTCAAGATCCACATGCCAAAATCCAATGTTACATTGAGCAGTCTCTGATTCTTTGCTTCTCTTGGACTAGGATCTCTTGATTGACTGTCCTGCAGAATACAAGAGAGGATGATGCTCAAAAAAGAAATTGGTATTCCTGCAGTAGCAGGAATGGGTATTGGCATAGATATGTACCTATTTTTATGCATTAAACTACCTTTTACATGTTAAGAAAAACTTTTAAATCCTCACCTAATATTTATGAATTTGAGTTTTTGTTTTCAAAAACTTTTATTTTGAAATATTAAGGATTCACAGGAAGTTACAAAATAAATCACCTAAATTCTGTGGTTCTTTTCACTCCATTTTCTCTAACACTTAACATATTCCACAATTGTAATATAATCTCAAAATTAGGAAGCTGATATTAGTCTACATATTACATATTTCTGTGTCATTTTACCAAATGGATAGATTCATGTCTTACATGCCACAACAAAAACAGAGCTATTTCATTACTGTGATACTCCCTTAGCCACACCCACTTATTTGTCCTCAATCTATAAAATTCATTTTTTAATGTATGTTTTTTGCCTTGTATTAATAAAGGCCAGTAAAAAGGCATTGGGTGCCCTAGAACTGGAGTTACAAATAACTGTCCTGTGGGTGCTAGGAACAAAGCCTGTTTCCTCTGCAAGAGCAGCTGATGCTCTTAACCACTAAGCCATATATCTTCAGCCCCTATTTTATAAATTGTATCATTTAAAGATTTAAATAGTGGGGCTGGTAAGATGGCTTAGTTCCTAGCCTGAGTTCAAAACTCAGGACTGAGATGGTAGAAAAAGAGAATCAAGTTCCTGCAAACATTTATTCTGATCTCCACAGCTTGCACATATAATTATTCAATGAGATTTTTCAAATTTTAAAACAATATTAGGAATTGTAAATTTAAACAGAACATAATATAAGCTTTTTCTGCTTTTATTTTTTAGCTTTTTCCACCTAAAAGCTTAAGAAGAAACCCTCACAGAGTGGTAACAATATTCCTTGTACCCAGACTGTTTTCTGAGGATCATTTCGCATGAAAGTCAGGGCTTCTTGGAGAAAAACATCTAAGATAAACTAGCTTATGTTGGCCTAGTATCTGAAATCAAGATGCCAATTTGAGTTGAAATGAGTAACATCATGAAGAGTAATACAAAGGCATCAGATTTGTTGAAATAAGGGGTTTATAATGATAAAAGTACCTTCAAGAAAATAATTGTTCACCATTGCAGTATAGGAAGGAATTACAATTCTGAACAAGGGAAAGTTTTTCATATATATTCTAGCTAGCAGTGAAGAAAATTATGGCCTAGACTATTGCCGTGTTTTAAATGTCTTTTTTATAATGGATTGTTGCATAAGGAAAAAAAACATAATAATTCTTATGTTGTGCCCAATATCACACGTCAATAAAATGAAACCTAGATCAAATGGCCAGAGTACAGGACATACTGAAACCAAGACACAGTATCACATGGATACAATCAAATGTGAAAAATTGGACAAGGAATTTTCAGACATTTAGAAACAAAGTTTTTACTGAATGCATCATGTAATTACTATGATGCTGAGTGATTCAGAAATCTGTTGTAGCAACATGCCCATGCTCCAGTGGGGGATGTTTGAGCACTATGAAGTTTTTGTGGTTGTTTTGTTTTGTTTTGAGACAGGATCTCATCATGTACCCTATGGACCTAGAACTACTGTGTGGACCAGACTTTCCTCAAACTCACAGAGATTTGCCAACTTCTGAGTTTTAGGGCTTAAAGGAGACTAAAGCATATTTACTTTTGAACATTTTACATTGTAACTGTAATGATGTTTCAAGTATGACGATGTCATTCTAGATTGTTTTTAAAAGGTAACATAATGGAATATTTATGAGTTGATAAAAGGGGACAGCAGGAAGCAAAAATTAAACAAGATTATCCATGAGTTTGCCATTTTTTAAGATTAATAAGGTACTCATTATATTTTCATGTGTATTTACAATTTCCCATAGAAGTTGTTAAAAGTAAAAATGTAATTTTAAGTTTTTATTTTGAGACAGGTCTCTCTGTAGTCATGTTTGGCTTCAGATTGACTATTTAGCCCTGGCTGGCCTCAAACTTGCCATTTTCCTTCTTTATCCTCCTCGGTGCTGGAATTTTTGCCGTGTGTGATGCCTGTACTTTGTTCCCTAGATCGCCCCAGTGGAAAATGACAACAGCTATGATGAACTGAAAAGAGATGCAAAGCTCTGTTTATCACTAATGTCTCAGGGGTTGCTCTACCCTCATCAAGTGCCTTTGGTACTTCAGGTGCTAAACCAAGTAAGTATATGGCTGTAATATTTACATCCTCTGTCCAGCATTGCATTGCAATTTTAAGGGTTTCACAGCAATAAGGTACATAATACTTGATTTTTGTGGTTGCTTTTTTAAGGAATTAGATAGGAACCAATGGAAGGTATACTTCTAGGGGCGGGCCTAAAAACTCCGTCTGTAAGGCAGATCAGTAGAAAGGTAGTGATTGTCCGTCAGCACAACTACATCAGCTTTGTGCTTTGGATCTCTTTGCTCTTCAGCTGATTCTGAACATCTTTGGTTTGGAGGCAGACAGACCTGAATTAGAATGTTATTGCAGTACTCACTTATGTGACTTTCAGAGATTCATTTAATCTTTTCACTCTTCAGTTTCCTGAAAAGGTTGGACCCTTTTTCCAGCTGATTGGAAGGCACCCCTTTAATCCTTCACCTGTGTTCTATCTTTTATGCCTTCCTTTCTTGTTCATTTTTACTGTCATTTTTTTCTCTTTCCTTCCTCTCTCATTCTTACTCTTCTTCAAATATGTAAAGTACCTTATGTATTTATTCCATGACAAGGAATAAAGCAATAAATGTGACTGCCAATTGCCATGAACCTCACTGTTTAGAAGGATATTGCATTAAAAAAGAATGTTGTCTCTTCCCTTTGAAGAATCTATTCTATCTTATGTTCAATGTTAAAGCTAGGTAGTATTTTAAAAAACATTTTATTTCTGTTTTGAAATTTGCAATTACATCACTTTCCTCTTCCCTTTTATCCCAGAAATCTCTCCCATATACCCATCCTTTCTCTCTTTTTCAAATTCATTACTTTGTGTGTGTGCGTGCGTGCATGCGTGTGTCCAAATACATACAAATATGCTCAGGGTTAACCATTTATTATTGTGTTTTTCAGTCCCTTCCTCAAACTCTTCCTATATCCTCCCCACCCAACTTCACATCTCTCTCAAAACAAAAACTAAATATCATAACAAGCAAAACAGTAAGATAAGAAATATCAAACCAAAAATGAAACAAAAGTCTACCAAAAATGCAAGGTATCTGTTTTGTGTTGGCCAACTTCTGACACTATTAGGGAAAACTGATTTTCTCTTTCTCAGCAGGTGTCAACTGCAGATAGCTTCTTGGTTAGAGGTGAGAGACTGTTAGGGGAGACAGTCCTTCTCAGAACTGGGACATTGTCTGGTTTGAATATGTACAGGTCTTGTGCATGTTGTCACAATAGTTTTCATATGTGCATCAGTCGTATGGTTTCTGGAAGATGTTCTTTCCTTGGAATCACCTACCACCTTTGGCTCTTAACAAGTTTTACATCTCTTCTGCATAGATCCCTGAGCCTTTGGGACAGGGGTTTGATAAAGATATCCCATCCAGGACTGAGTGCTCCAAAATCTCTCACTCTGTGGACATTGTCCTATCCACTGCAAGAAGCTTCTTTGATCTGTGGGTATAGCTGTTACTTTAGCAGAGCAATAGTAGTATGATTTCCCTTAGGGCCTATGCCTATGTAGTCTCTGTTTCTTGAGTTTAGGTACCTTGTAAGGGACTAAGCAGGGGATCTTCCAAGGAAGGGGAAAAAGAACATAATGCTATAAAGAGATAAAGGAACTCAGAGGATTAAATGAAGAGGGGATGGGAAGACAAGGTAAGAGAGAGGGATTATGGGAAGGGACAACTAGAAGCCTTTTGAAAAGCCATATGAGCTGGGCAGTGGTGGTACAAGCCTTCTGGAGGCAGAGGTAGTTCCTCAAGGCCAAGCTTGGTCTACAGAGTGAGTTTCAGGAGAGGATCTAAAACTACAGAGAAATCCTATCACCAAAAAAATAAATAAATAAAAAATAGAAAAGGGGGGAAAAGCCATATGGAAACCTACTGTAGGAGTTTTCTAAAATATCTACCCATATCTAAATAAATTAAATGGTGTCTTCGTATTTTGAGGAGACATTCCCTCAACTAGAAGCACAATCAAGTAAAATCTCCATTTGCAAGAATTGAATAGCTTATGAGTTGTTAGCTGAGGGGGGTTTCATAGACAGCTCCCCCCAAACATCACAGGCTATTGCCAAAATGATTGGTTCATCTCCACAAACTGATGGGAAGGGCCTCTTGCTGAAGAGACCTGTTTCCTAACTAGAAGCTTCAACACTACTGACTTGTGTTCATAATATTGAAAGATACTTCGGATACTACCACAGGAGGAAAGTAATCATCAATACCACCCAGCAGCAAACCCTGTAACCTACAATACCTGTTTGCAAGATATACTGTTGTAATAATGGCACAAATGTTGCAGGAGTAACCAACTACTTTTGTTTGGATTTAAGGAATCCATATCTGATACTAGTAGTTCATATTCTTGTTTGCTTCTCAGGCCTTACCTGGTGCTATTGAAAGTAAAATAGAGTAATATGTGGTACTTGGAGAAGTTAATTGTCTTAATTATGCACACTTGTCTCCCAAGAGAGTATTTTGACTTTTACCAGTGTCTTAACTTTTCCACCACTGAACGAACAGCCTTCTGAATAACTGCCTTGGGAACTTGTCCATACTTCTCTTTGCTTAGAAGGAAATGGAATATGAAATTAATTACAACTATACCTGTGAAAGTAGAATCAAGTTAAAATATTGTATTACTTGTATGTAATGTCATTGTTCTCTTATTTCCTTGTCAGTTCTGTTATCATATATATGTATTTCTCATTCACAGACAGCAAGAAGCAGCTCTTGGCATGCAAGATATACAGTGCTGACCTACCTCCAGACCATGGTATTTTATAATCTCTTTATTTTCCTAAATAATGAAGATGCAGTTAAAGACATCAGATGGCTCATCATATGCCTTTTGGAGGATGAACAGTTAGAGGTAAAATTTTAATTAGAACACATGGAAATTCAGTTTAAAAAATTACAAGGCTCATACATTAGCATTTTCCTAAGTTCAAAGTCAGCTTTGGCCAAAAAGTGCAATTCATGAGACATGTTTTATTTAACTTTTTTTCGTATAGCCATCCTTGTAAGTAAGTAGTTAGCTAAAAACTCCTGAACAATTTCTTGATGTGTCTTCTCCCAGTTGGTGACGTATCACTTGTTAACCTTTGCTTACTTGCCTATGAAATGAGAGGTTGTAATTATTCTTTTCTCTTTTTTCCTATTATTGAAAATAGATTATTTCCTCATACAATATATCCTGATTATAGATTCCCTTTCTCTACTCATTCCAATTCCACCTCAGTCCTCTCCAGATCCATTTCTTTTCTGTCTCATTATTGAAGAAAGGGCTTCTTTGATGACTAAACATGACAAAATAGAGTAAAATATAACAAAAACCCATCACATCAAGAAAAATCAACAGAAGGAAAAGAGCCAAGAGCAGGCATGAGAATTAAGGATCTATTTGTTTACACATTTGAGCCCCATAAAAAATTACTAAGCTATATATAAGCACAGGACCTGGTGTAGGCCCTATGTTTGCTGCTTCATAAGGGCCTTGCTTGGTTGATTCTAAGGCCCTTCATCCCCTCTGACTCCTTCTGCTTCCTCTTCTTCGGAGTTCCCTGAGCTCTGAGTGGAGGGATTTGATGAAGACATCCCATTTAGAGCTGTCTGTTCCAAGGACTTGCTCTCTGCATGTCTGGCTGTGGGTCTCTGTATTTGGTATCTGCTGCAAAAGGAAGCTTCTCTGATGATAACTGAATAAGGTACTGATCTATGAGTATAGCAGAGTACCTTTGGACTCATTTATTGATGCTTTGTTGTTGTTGTTGTTTTTTACTTTGTCTTTTAGACCAGTAGTGTTTGGTCTTACCCTGAGTCTCTGGACTGTCCAGTTTCTGGTACAAGCAGTGTTAAGTATCAGTTCCATCTTGTAGAGTGGGCCTTAAGTCAAATCAGACTTTGATTGGCTATTCCCACAAATTCTGTGCCACCATTGCCCTAGCCTATCTTGCTAGAAGAACAGATTGTATGTCAAAGTCTTGTAGCTGGGTTGGTAGCCTGTAGAGTACCTTCCCACACCAGAGACAACAGAACATACAGATGAAGATGTTTTAGGGACTAGTAGAAGACATATTGAAGAGCACAGATTTAAATTGTGACCACTATCATTATCCCTACCTGACATAGAGGTGTTCTAGTCGTATTTTGTACCAAAAGATAGTCTTCTAACTCAGTTAGTCCAATATAAGGAAAGGCATGCTGCAATAAATAAATATAGGATAGAATATAATTATAATTGACCCTGGGAAAGAAAAACACACAAGCTTTTCTAAAAATATTACTTGCTCTACAGACTTTCAGACTTGTTTGTAGTAGAAAACTATTTTTTGTGTATCTAATTCTAAGCACCAAAAGGAGTTTATAGGAGAGTAGGAGTGGTGGTTTATCTACTTCCCTCATAAACCTTTGCAGCTTTCCTGTGTTCAGCAAGCAAATGTCATCCAGACTATAGGGTACATACAAACTGCTAATAGCAAATTTAGTGACAATACTTCTATGTCTTACACTTTGCATAAACTATCCTAAAGGATTAAAATGAAAAGTAGAAATCTCATAAATAAGTTTTTTTATTTTTCAAGTCTCAGTTTTAGAGTATTAGCCAGCTTTCTTTGACCATAACAATACCCGAGCATAACACCACAGAGAGAGAAAGGGTTTATCTGTATTAATTTATAGTTTATACACCTTAACTTTAGTCTATATGCTTATTTATGACCATATGGTAAAACCCCATGGTAGGAATGTGTGGTGGTGCAAAACCACTCTCATGTCCAGAACATAGAAAAGATAGGAAAGAGACCTTTCCCACTGTCCCCTCTGAGAACATGTATTCAAAGCCTTAGGTTCTGTCACCTTCTGGTGGCACCACACTGGAGAATAAGCATCAAACACATGGACTTCAGAAGGACATTAAGATGCAATCTGTAACAATGCCTTGTCATTAAAATTTTACTGTCAAGGAGTAGGGCATGGTGGTGCCTTTAATCCCAGCACTTAGGAGGCAGAAGCAGGCAAATTTCTATAAATTCAAGGCCAACTAGAACTACATAGTGAGACCCTGCCTCTCTAAAAGGAAATAATAAAAAATAAAAATTGTCATGGGCCAGGAGATAGCTTAACAGATAAAGAAACTTATTGTCAAGTTTGACATCTTTTGTTTAATCCTGGAACCCACATCTAGGAAAGAACTAACTCCTGGGCATTATCTTCTGACCACTACACATGTACTGTGTCATAGAAATGTTTTCTTTGGTTTTTGATTAAACTTAATTATTTTCAAGAAGGTTTATTAGAATATAATTCTATTTTCTCCCATATCATAAATAAACATAATTGTGGCTAGGAAGATAACTTAGTGGGATAAGACCATTTAGTGGGCAGCAAGCATGAAGGCCTGGGTTCAGATCCATAGCACCTACATAATAAGCTACCTGAAACTCCAGGGCAGAGACAAGATCACTGGGCTTTGATGGTCACCAGCTTACTTCTAGGTTCAATAAGAGACTTGTAATATCAAAAGAGTGATAGAGTAGGAAACCTGACATTCTCTGATGTCCATAAACATAAGCATTCATCCTCCCTCCCTCCGTTTGTCCCTCCTTCCCTGTCTCTCTCATTCACACAGTAAGAGAATAAATTTTAGAGTATGTAATAAGTAGACCATAGCATTTGTTTAAACAGTCTTAGTTTGGTGCTATCCTCACATGTTTTGCACAAAGAATGAAGGAAACAGGCATGCTAGCAAACACCTGTCACCCTGGCAGGAGGCCGGCTTGGGCTGTGTGAAACTCTGCTTCAAACTAAGCCAACACAGGGAGAGGGGAAAACACTAGGGTCCAGGTTGCACATGGATTTTTGTTTCGTTCACTTTGTATCAGAACTCTTTTCTAGAGACAAGAGATGTATGTGTGCTAAATCTCCCTTACAGAGTTGAAGAGTATTGCATAGATCAGCTTCTCAGAGCTGTGCAGTTTTTGTCAAGATGATTAGATGCTTATGAATAACCTGCTTCAGGCCTCAGCTCAGGGTTTGCTGTATTTGTTCAGAACATGGATGCTGTTCACTTTGCTCTCAGAGTTCTGGCCTGGAAATTTTGTTAATTAAAAAAAAAAAAAAAAAAAAAAAACTGTGGCAGTCAAATCTAGTAAGCCAGAGTGAGAACTTACACAAAGTAAAGAACCAAGAAAACAAGTAACAATCAGAAGTGGTCACATTTCTTCCAATAGAGCACTACTACTAAAATCACTCTTTTCCATGAAACACTACCACCTAAATCTCCTTCTTTCCTGGTGGGCACTGCTATTTAATGTGTGTCCAGCCTTTGGATTGAATGTTATTTGTTGTTGGTTGATTGGTTGGTTTTGTTTTTGCTTTCGTCTGTGTTTTTTGATTTTTGGTTTTTTGAGACAGGGTTTCTCTGTGAAACAGTCCTGGCTGTTCTGGAACTCGCTCTGTAGACCATGTTTGCCTCAAACTTGCAGAGATCCTCCTGCCTCTGCCTCCTGAGTGCTGTTATTAAAGGCGTGTACCACCACCCTCTGGCTTTGAATGGGTTTTTATAGTTCACATTAATCTTAGTTTGTTTTTATTGTAATATTTCCTTTGAAGACTGTTAGATTTTAGGATGGGTATGTGTTATTAAGAATGATAGAAGAGATTGTTTTAGGTCTAGGGTAGTCATCTAGAATTGTATTGTCATATTTATTATGTGTTAGGCATATATAAATTTGCACTTTAGACCAGTTATTTTAAAGGTATTGTATTGTTTAGGATAATACTAGGTTTAAAAATGAGTGTATTTGAGTGCTGGAGAGACAGCTTAGCAGTTCAGAGTAATTGGTATTCTAATAGAGGACCCAGGTTCAGTTCCTAACATCCATGGGGTAGCTCACAATGGTAACACCAAGATGTGACACTCTTCTGACTTCTATAGGCACTGCATGTATATGATATGCTTACATACATTCAGGCAAACACATAAAATAAAATATCCTTTTTTTTAAAGTTGGTAATATGAAGACTTAATTACTTATTTTTTTCTAGCAGTTTTTATTAATTCATTTTTCACATTCCAATCCCAGTTCTCTTTCCCTCTTCTCCTCCTACTTCCCTCTTACCCCCCACCTCCCATCTGCTCTTTGGAGAGGATAAGGCCTCCCCTAGGAAGTCTGTCTGTTCCATCATCTTCTTGAGGTCTGCCCCTCCACCCCCGTTACCCCTGCCTCTAGGCTGAGCAAGGTATCTCCATATAGAGAGTGTTACACTAATCAGTTTGTACATTAGGGTTAGATCTTGGACCCACTGCCAGTGGCCTCTTATATTGTCCCAACCACACCATTGTCACCAATATTCAGGGAGTCTAGTTTGGTCTTACACAGGTTCCCCAGTTGTCAAACTGGCTGGTTCTATGGTTTTCCCATTTGTTTATATTATTCCTCCTCCCTCACTTAGATTATATTCCAGAAGCTTGGCCCAATGGTTAGTTGTGGATTTCTGCGTCTGCTTCTGTTTCTAGAGGAGGAGTCTAGCTTTTTTGGGGTTGTAGTTTGTAGGCTGGATATCTTTTGCATTATGTCTGGTATCCACTTAAAAGTTATACATAATACTATATTTGTCTTTCTGGATCTGGGTTACCTCACTCAGGATGATTTTGGGTTTTTTTTGTTGTTGTTTTTTCTAGTCTGTCCATTTGCCTGGGAATTTTAGGAGCCATTGTTTCTTACCACTGAGTAGTACTCCATTGTGTAAATGTACCACATTTTCTTTATCTGTTCTTCAATTGAGGGGCATTTAAATTGTTTCCAAGATCTGGCTATTCCAAAGAATGTCGCTATAAACATAGTTGAGTCTTTGTGGTGTAAATGTGCCTCCTTTGGGTATATGCCCAACAGTGGTATTGCAGAGTCTTAAGGTATGTTGATCCCTAATTTTCTGAGAAATCACCACACTGATTTCCACAGCGCTATACAAGTTTGCTTATTCTTATCAAGTGTCTGAGTAGGTGTTCCAAATTCAAAGAAAGATTTGAGAGACATTAAAGAATACCCACTCATTCCTCCAATTCTATTTGTGTTAAGTGGAGCTCTAGATTTGTGTTTGATTCTAAAGCCTAGTAAGTTGCCCAAGAATGCTAAATGGGATTGAGGGTGTAGCTCCATTGGAAAAGGGTTGCCTAGCACCACATAAACCAAGCCTTGGCACATGCTTGTCATCCCAGCATTTGGGAGGGAGCAGCCATCTACCTAGAATGCACCAGGTGACATAGAATTTTTCTTCACATTTGTTACTGTCTCATTTAAGATTGTCCTTTGTCAGGACTTTGGAAACACATTCCCCATGGAGGGATACTCCCTTAACCTAGAGACAGGAGGAAAGGCCAAGACTCTACTCCAAATGACTTGACAGATTTTGATTTTTCCCTCCTGGAAAGTCTCACCCTCCCTGTGGAGTGAGTGGGGAATGGAATGGGATGGGAGTGGGGAGTTCTGTGGGCATGGGAGGATGGGAGATGGGAGTGAGAGGGAACTGGGATCGATGTGTAAAAATAAGAAAAATAAAAAATTCATAAAAAAATTCAGAAAAAAAAAGGTTGTCTTTTGTCTAACCTCAGTTACCTTATCTACATGAAACCCTGTCTCAAAACACAACAAAAATATGGCTTTAGTTACTTACATCTAACTGTTGAGACTGGCTGTAAAACGGATTTCTTTTTTTTTTTTTAATTTTCAGTCTTTTAGTTGAAAAACATCCTTCCAAGAAATTGTGTGGTCCTTAGGTTACTGTTACTTAGAATGAAAGTGTCCCCAGAATATCAAAATTGAAAGAAGTATTTTCTAAGATATGTAGTAAACAGTACCTTTGTATAAACAAGTGTACGGCCAGTGAGATAACTTAGCAAGGAAAAGGCTCCTGTTGCCAAGCCTGATGATCTGAGTTCCGGGTATGAGCCATGGAGCAAGTAGTAATTTAATTACAAGTAATAAAACAGGTAAATAATCCTAGAAAAAAATGTGCTGTTGCATTCTCAGTGTTCAAACTGCTGGTGAGCTGTTGTCCTATCATTGTTCTTTGCAGGTCTTACAAGATGTGTGTGTATAGGTGGGGGGGGGGGTGCTGACTGAGATAGGAGGGCAGACACTGGTGGCTGATAAGAGGAGGCAGGCAGAGTCTGTGGAGAAACATGATGTATCACTGAGATAGATAGGTAAGGATGGTGGGTTGAGCCATAACTGTTTTGAAAATTCTGTTTGGGTAACTTTCCATGGAAATTTCTGTTACTTAAGACTTTTTAAAAGATGTTTTTCTGAGCTGGGTGTAATGGTGCACATTTGGAATCTTAGCACTTGGGAGGTTAAGCCAGAAAGAACATGAATTGAAGGCCAGTCTGGACTATGTAGCAAGACCTCATCTTAAAAATTAAAAGGAAGGTGAAATGAGGATGGCAAAGCTCTATAGAAAGCAAAATGCTGTTTGCCTTGCCAGAGACTGCATCTATACCTGATGTTGATTGCAGTACATAATAGCCTCATTTTTCCTAAGTAAGGGTTCATAAATAGAGCAGTGCTGGTCTTCTGGTCACAGAGGTGATGGGTAAGCATAAATCATGTGAGACGGGCATGCAGAGTACCATGTAACATTATAGATTTACTTCACATTTGCTATTATTTAATAAAGCACTACTGTGCTTTCTCTAAACAGAAAATGTCTGTTATTGTGGCATAAGCAAGTAAAGCCATCATTGGAATAACATGATAAAAAAAGATACAGCAGTAATAACTAGCTAAATTTTATTTGTGATTGAATTGGAAAAACTTTATAATTGAGAGCAGATTTCTTTTCTAAAGTTTGTAGATTTAAAGAAAAATATTAGAAGTATGAGGAAATAATTGTTTTTGACTAGTAAAATTAAATAAATTATTTTCTTCCTCACATTGTAATGTTATTCTTGACATGTCAATTCTGGCTAAATCCTGGCCAAAAAGAATATACTAAATGTAGGCTTTAGTACATTCTGTTGAAAGTATTGGGCTAATTTATTAGCAACTTGAAGGAAAGCCAGTTGGTACATACTCCATATATAGTAAAACAGCATCTTCTTACTTTTTTATGTTACATAAACTGAAATACAGATTTGGCTATTTGTAGGAACTTAAAGCAGAAATGACTTTTTAAGCCTTCAGATGATACCAAAATGGATGAATTTCACTACAAGAATATTATATTTAAATGATCAAGCTTCAGACTAGAGAAAAATGCTACATACAAACATCATCAAACTTTTATAGACTAGTTGTAGTCACATAAAGGCAAAACACAGTACACATAATGATCAAAGAGATGCAAACAAGAGATAAGACAGCTTTACTTATTTTAATATATCTTCGCTTTACCCACAAAACAAAGTGTGTGTTGCTGCTGGTCTGCTGCTGGCCAGTGTGCATACTGCCCACATTCTAATTCTGTGTCATAGTATGTTAGCTCTTTGAACAGAGCTGATAGCCATAACATTGTTGAGTCTTTCAGATTGGATTATCCTAAATCAGTCAAAATCCATCAAAAGTTAAATGAAGTAAAGTGTCTGGCAGGATGTGGTGGTGTGACCTGTAATCCCAGGTCCGCTGACAGCTGAGGGAAGAAAATTGAAAGGCCACAGACTTCAGACTCTACCTGAAAACAAAAAGGGTTTAGGGATGGAACTCACTGAAATATTACTGTCTTAACATAGGCAAGGGCATGGGCTTAATACCTAGCTAGCCTGGGACACTTAGTGAGACATTGTTTCAGAATACAATTTATACAAATTAAAAAGAGGCCCCAGTGATAGAGTACTTGCTCAGCTTATATGAAGCCCTTGAATTAGGTCCCAGTACCACAATATATTTATAGAAAACAGGGCAACAAAATGACAGTACAAAGAACCTCTCGAATACAGAGCAAAACTTTGGCTTTCTTGTTTATATTTTGAACATTTGTTTTTATTACTTTGTTTCTTGTTAATTTATGAAGAAATTTTATCTTATGTATAATAGTTATACTTCTGTAACCCTGATATAGCTTTTATCCATTTTGAGGCCACAGAAATATGAGGAATCTGGTGATGTCTGGCATGAAAAAGTAAAATTTATATACATTTCCATGTCACTCTTATCTTTCATCACTTCACACATAGGATCTCAGTTCTAATAGAAATTAATTATCTCTCCAGGTTCGAGAAATGGCTGCTACCACCTTAAGTGGTCTGCTACAGTGTAATTTCCTTACCATGGACAGTGGTATGCAGATTCATTTTGAGCAGCTTTGCAAAACAAAACTACCCAAGAAAAGAAAGCGAGACCCTGGTTCTGTGGGAGATACCATTCCTTCTGCAGGTAATGTTACAAATCCCCATAACTTTGGTGAATTAAGCAGACTTGCTTAAACATTTGAAGTACTTAAACATTTGTTTGTGCTCAAGTCTTGGCTAAATGCTTGGAGTTATTGTCCCAGGACATGGAGTGAAAAGGCTAAAATTGTATGTACAAAGGAACTTGTCCACTATTCCATACAGTAACTTTTTAACCTCCACAGTAACTGTTCTAACCTCCACCTAAAATAAGTACATAAAAACAGATCCAGAATTGACTATTTTGAAGGATTTAAAATTATCTTGTGTTTAGAATTTAAGACTTATGTGTTAGTGAACTAAAAGAAAAAAGATAGGCCATCATTGCTGGGACATGAGTTTGATCTCTTGGATGGAAGACAAGACCTACTGCCACAAGTTTCCTGTGACCTCACTTGCATACCATGGCACTTGGGTGTGTGCTTGTGCAGATATTCGAGTATACACACAAACTTTTAATGAAAAATGGGGATGGGCTAGAAAGATACCTGGTAAAATGCTTGCCCTACAAGTCAAAGGCCCTGAGTTTGATTCCTAGCACCTACATAAAAAGCCAAGTGTGATGCCCATAATTGCAGCACTGGGGCAGTGAAGACAATGAAAAGATTAGGAAATATGAAATTCATTCAATTTATGCACATTGCCTTGGATATGAAGTTCTTATACATTAAAGCCATAGTTATATCATAATTATTAAATACCTAGTATTAAGTATTTATGTATTAAGTATTAATACCAATTAATACCAAACTCTAATAACATTCTAGTTCTGTTTGAGAATAAAGTGTTTTAAATCTTTATTATGATAAATGGTGGTGTTTATAATTTTTACTACTCAAAAATCTCATTTTCTTACCTTCTTCTGTTCATACACATGTGTAGAATAGATTTACAAAAGAATATATATTAATTTTATTGAGTAACTGAGGGGGACTAGAAATGTGGCTAAATTTAATATGGTCTTGGCTAATATGCATTGTGTTCAGTGTTCAATACCAAATACTACCAAAAGGTGTGACAGTCATAGGGTGGTGAGGTGTTTAGCTCCTATGGGACCCAATGTTTGATCAATACCAACACCACTTGAGGGGAAAAGGGGAAAGCAAGAAAGAAAACAGGGACCATGGTATTTGAAAACACTTGAATTTATACCACTGAGGAAGGAACATAGACATGTGTTGCAGTTCTATTTTAAGAAATGTGTTTGTCATGCACAGTGGTGCATTTTGTGTGGGGACAATCACAGATATGATATTACCTAATCTGGGAGATGGTTTTAGGATTAGGAACTGTGCTTAGAATATGAATGAGTTATGTTAGCTTTTAACAATACGACCCATTCCTGTCTAGAAACAATTATAGTGTCACTGAGGAACAACTATAGAATGTCTTTAAAATTCTTGCAGTATAGCCAGATGGTGGTGGTGTTGCATGCCTTTAATCCTAGCACTGTCAAGGCAGAGGCAGGTGGATCTCCTAGTTCGATGCCAGCCTGGTCTACAGAGTGAGTTCCAGGACAGCCTCCAAAGCTACAGAGAAACCTGGGGCAAATTCTCCAGAGCACATGGGAAGGAGGGGGGGGGGAGCAGTGAGTGGACAGGGAATTAGGAGAAAGAGAAGGAGAAGAGAGGAAAGCACGCGGGACTAGGAAGATTGAGTCAGGGGAGGGATAGAAGAAGAAAGAGAGCGAGAGAGAACATAAAAGAGGGAGCCATTATAGGATTGAAGAGAAAACTGAACCTAAAGAAATGTCCAAAGACCTACAAGACTGACCCCAACTAACAATTTGAGCAACAGTGGAAAGGCTACCATAAATGCCCTTCCCTGATAATGAGATCAATGACTAACTTAACTACCATCATGGAGCCCTCATCTAGTACCTGTTGGAAACAGAAGCAAACACTCACAGTTAAACACTGAGCCGAACTAGAATCCAGGTGCAGAGAGGGAAGACAAGACCAGGCTGCAGAAACACATAGAGACGGCTTTCCTGAACAAGGAGGAGCTAATGAGCCCCCAGACTGATAGCTGGAAATTCAGCATGGGACTGACTCACAACCCCTAAACATGAGACTCAGCTAGAAGGCCTGAGCAGTCTAAGGGACCTCAGACAGTGGAACCAGGATGTATTCCTGGTGCACAAAAGGACTTTGGGGGCACATCCCCCATGGAGGGATACTCCCTTAATCTAGAGACAGGAGAGAAGTCCTAGTCCCTATTCCAAAATACTTGACAGATTTAGATGACCCCTCCTGAAGGGCATCACCCTATATGTGGAGTGGGGGTGGGTGGAGGGAAGGGTTGTTGGGTTGCATGTGAGGGCTGGAGAGAGGGAAACAAGGTGGGAGGAAGGGAAAGGGAACTGGGAGACTATATGTAAAATAAAAATAAAATAATAAAAAAAGAAGAAAAGGAAAAACCAAGCAGACAAAAAATTCTTACAGTTTCTAGTTCAGCTCCAGAAATCATGTTTGGTTTGGTTTGTTTTTTGTTTTTTTTGTTTGTTTTTGTTTTGTTTTGTTTTTGTGTTTTGTTTTTTGTTTTGTATGTACTTATAAATTTATATTAAATGAGGGAATATGCACAATGAAATCATAACTAGTATGAGTAAAAATTTATTTCCCTATAAAGGATGTATTTGTTGTTTTCATTGCAGAGTTGGTCAAACGTCATGCTGGTGTGCTTGGACTAGGGGCATGCATTCTTTCTAGCCCTTATGATGTTCCCACCTGGATGCCCCAGCTCCTTATGAATCTTAGTGCACATTTGAATGATCCTCAGCCTATTGAGGTATGTTATGTATGGTCCAGAAGATAATCTATTAGAGCTGTATTTTTAGTTTTGTGCAAGTAAGTTTAAGTACACAGCAAGCCAAAGTAAAAGAATAAATAGCAAGTATCAGGCAGGTACCAGACAGACAGACAACAAAATACCATCAACTTGGAGGCTAAGCACATTTAGCAGAAATCAACTGTTAAAGCACCTTTAAGGCAGGAAGCTGGAGTTCCCAATAAAGAGTGTCTTAGACAGAGCAGAGTATGTCCTCTGGTAAGGCTTGCAGGTAAAAGAACACATAGCAGTAGAGATCAGGTAATTATAGCAGCAAAATATTACTGGAGAAGTTGAGACACTAGCCAGAATTCACAGCTGAGCTGAATTTCCATGGCTGAATTTGGCAATTTTCCAACTGCAGGTGCTTTTACATAGCAACCTGCATAGCTTCCAGGATAGCAAACTATGCTGGAAGTGGTTTGCCCGCTACCTGTCCTTAAACATGGTTTTAATCTTGAGCTGATTTGTTGTTCTTTCCTTCTGCCACATAGTTAATGAGTCTAAACCATTACCAGATAAGGAGCCTAAGAGAACACAGTACACACATGTGTGGGGCCAATTCCACTTCCAGTTCTAGCTTCTTAGTGAACTCAAACAGCATATGACACTTTACCAAAATAATGTACATCGCAATGTATAATTCTTCCCTATTAGTTTATTTGTATCACTTAATAATAACTTTCCTGCACACTTTGAGATTTACTGCTTTGTAAAGCTACTGCCTCAACCAGGCGGTGGTAGCTCTTGCCTTAAATCCCAGCACAAAAGAGGCAAAGGCAAACAGATCTCTATAAGTTCAAGGCCAGCCTGATCTACAGAGCAAATTCCAGGAGAACCAGGGCTACACGGAGAAACTCTTTCTTGAAAAACCTAAAAACAAAACAAACAAACTACTGCCTCTCATAGGGTCATGTTTACTCTGTAATTATTAAAGCCTTGCAAAGACATTTCTCCCATGTATAACAAAATAACATTAAACTCTGTAGCTTCTATCCTTTCTAACCCAACGTAAAGAGCACTGTTAACAATAGCTAGAAAGTTAGGGTTCATTTACTGTTTGTTATTCTGGCATTTTGTATCTACAAAGTCTCTCATCTCACTGAGGACTAATCTTAAACTAGAAATAATTATTATCTAGTCATGAGCTCCCATGCTCCAAAGCTAAACAGGTCACCTTTGTAAATACAGTATGTATTGAAACTGGTCTAGCAAGTGGCAGTACATTCCAGTGTTTTGTCCTGAAGTGACACTAGGAATTTTATAGAACGTTAGTGGATGCAGGAAACTGACTTTGTTTTCTGACACTGTAGTATTTGCATTGTGTAAGAGCTGAGGTCTAGGTGGATTCTAATGTAGCTGAAGATAACTGGTTCTTTACTCTAGTCCTTAGAAGTTAAAATGTGCATGGGTTGATTACAGATGACTGTAAAGAAGACTTTATCCAATTTCCGAAGGACACACCATGACAATTGGCAAGAACACAAGCAGCAGTTCACTGATGACCAGCTGCTTGTCCTCACTGACCTCCTTGTGTCACCATGCTATTATGCATAGAGGGGTGAGTTACATGCGACATATCCAGCAGTGTCATCCCACTGAAGTTTTTAAATTTGCTGATATTTTAGTTGTAACTGCTTAGGTAAAGTGGAAGGGGTTGTTTGCTTTGACTTTTTAAGACAGGGATAGCTGTGTAGATCAGGCTAGATTTACATTTGGAGTAATTCCCCCACCTTACCCTCATGAGTACTGGGTTTGTAGCCCTGTGCCACCACACCTGACTGTCTGTGTACATGGCTTTTGAGGTGGGGCTTATATAGTTCAGAGGTGGAGCCCAAATTTAGCGCAGGTGAGAACCACTGAGGTAAACAAATATGCCTAATCTTCAGAAGGTTTTGTTGGTTGGGTTAGTTGGTTTTTTGAGGCAGTGCCTCACTGTGTAACCCTGGCTGCCTGGAACTTGCAGCCCTCCTGCTTCTGTACGCATTCTGGATATTTGTCTCTATATTCCTAATCTCAGAGTCTGAAACAAGCCCTGAGTTAGAGTGAGATTCTGTCTCAGTAAATTAAAATACGGCTTTTATTGTGGTCAGTGGAAATAAGTTCCATAGAATTTCTCATGACTTTTCTCATATTTAGGCAGGCAATTTATGAGATAGTTAGAAAACTGGGTAATCAGGTGAAAAGAAATTGTAGTCCAAGCTGCTTCCTGAGTGGGACATTTGGGGTTATACTGGGAACTCTGGGTTCTGTAGTCATAAGAACACTTCATTTAGATTTTGTGTGTGTGTGGGTGTGTATGAGTATTTGACTTGTATTTATATGCACACGTGCATGCCATGCTTGTGGAAGCCAGAGGAAGGAACTGAGTTGATGATTGTGTTAGTTCCTGGGAACAGATACAAATTCTCTTAATGTTGAGCCATCTCTCTAGTGCATTATCTGGATTCTTTTATGTTTGGTTGGTTTTTGTTTTTTATTTTTTAGATTCTTCACCCTCACCCACCCCGGCTCTCCTAGAATTCATTATATTAATCAGGTGGCCTCAAACTCACTCTGCCTTTCCCCCTCTGGAGTGCTGGTATTAAATTCCTCACTGTGCACAAGTCATCTAAATTCATAAATGCTTATAACCCTCTGTAAGGTGGAGGGCAGAAAGTCTGTAAACAAGGGTCGGGGAAATGAAAAAAATCTACTCGGTGGGATTCTATAACTTGAGTGTTTTGTTACCTAACAGAATTTTTTTTTTCCCCTCTTTAATGCAGATGACTAGTCCTGATTTGGGGCTCAATTCATCAAAAATTCCAGATCCTCAGGTATCATCTGTGGTGACTTTCTGCAGGTCTCACAAACTCATCCTCTGTTGAGCTCTCGTCATTTTAGTGTTTGGCCTCATTAGTCTTGGTTCACAGGTTCCCAGCTGCCGGTTGATTTCCTAACTTGTCCTGAAGTGTTTTCAGAATACTGATCACTTTTCCTTTGAGACATATGACAAAGTCACAAAGTCTCAGACTAGAAATAACCCAGTTTGATCATGGTATCATGACCAGTCTAGAAACTTGTTAAAAAATAAAACAATTTCCTTGGAATGGGGAGAATACTTATCAGTAATGTAGGTCCTGTCGTTTCATTCATCTCAAATTATTTTGAATCCTTCCTCAAAGGCTGTTGGGTTTAATGGTTGGGTTTAATGAATGGGCCATGCATCTGAAGTTTGGAGAGCCACGAAGAGAAAAGGATCAAAGTGGGCTAGTCTCAGAGTTAACTATGACCTGACAGATTTTTCAACCACATTGCAGAGGTCTGTGTATGTGTCCACACAGACTGGAGTTTTTGGTACTGAATAAGAGCCAATTGCTGAAAAACTAGGGGTTTGGTGAATAAATTTTAGACTGATTTGTATGTGTATACAATGTGTGATTTTAAAAATAAAAACAACATCAATAAACACCTTGGCTGATTGCCTTTTACTCTCTAGTCTTCACAAATACTGTTTTTTATTTCACCTTGAAATACATTGCACCTCATATAAATGGACAATTGCAGGACAATCGCTGTGTTTAAGGAAATTTTCTTTTAATATCTCCCTCTCTCCCTTTTCCCCTCCCCCATCCCTGCCTTTCCCTCTTCCCTCTTTCCCCCTCTGCCCGCATGCTTATTTTTGACTTGTTTAATGTGTTACATAGATATAAAAGGTTGTATAAACTGTAGAGATAACATTGGCAACACTTTGTACAGATGCAGCCCTTAACACAACCATTATGTGGCTGGCTTGTAAGGATTCACACACAACTTTTTATTATAGCAACTTGGGGCTTTTGTACTTACAGAACACCATTTTTTTTTAGTGTGTGTTTTTAAAGTATTTATCTTTTCCTGTTACAAAAGCCAAAATGTAGGATTATTTAATATTAAAATATCTGGATTTTTATGTACCTTTTTGTGTGTATCTCTAAATGATAACATGTTTGCCTGTATGAAGTTTGGGGTATCCTTTAGTTGGAATAATTTACAAGTTAATGAATGTCATCTTGTGACACACCTTTAAAGGAACAGTACAATATATTTTTTAATATTTACATACTGAGCTTCCCAGTTTAATCACAGCAGTGGTCTGAGTCGAATATTGAAGTGTCAGCATACACAGACATAAATATAGAGTAATGCCTAATTCACTATTTCAATTGTGTAACTAATTTAAAACTCAATAAAATAAGATTGTTTTTGATGCCTGACTTCTGTCTTCATTAAGAAAAGACAGTTTTCTAGGCAGCAACTTTTGTGGATTATTTGCCTTCTTAGATTTAGATCTGTGAATTTCTTCACTTTGGCCAGAATGAATTACCTAACTCTGCCTTGTTAAGTGCCAGGCTCACTAGACATACTTTATGTGCTTGCTAGCCACAAGTGACTAGTGATTACCACCTTTAATAGTATAGATGAACTTTCTGTCATCACGTAAATGGGTGATTCTCTAAGATCACCCTTTAATTAAGTAGTGAGACTTTAAATTATTGCCCACTTCTTTCTTTTCTTTCTCTTTCCTATTTTATTTATTAGTTTTGTTATGGAAATTTAAAATATAAAATATATGCTTTAGCTTCTAAGTGAGAATTTAAAGAAATGTGTGCTTGGTAGTCAGTATGTTCCTTAGTTTAAATTTTGCTGGATGGAATTTGGGCTTCACCTACGCCCTATTTGTTTGTTTGTTTATTTATTTATTTATTTATTTATTTATTTATTTTTAAGTATTATACTTTTTTTAAAGAATATTTTTAATACGACATTTTTTAAAATTACAGAGTAGGGAAACATTTCTTTAAAATTTGTATATTTCTTTTTTATTTATTTTATATAACCGAGTCCATTTAAATGAAAACAAACATTTATAGACAATATTTGGGAATTTCCAAACTACTTCCTGCTGGTAAGGGGCGCTGCCATGGGGGATTCTAAGAAGATGCAGAAATCCTGGCTGTAGTCTGTAAGGCTGCTTTGTCCAGCTGTTTTGAATGTAGGATCACCTGGTACTCTATTCAGGCGGTCTGGCTTGATCAATCCACATTACACCAACATCTTTTTAAAGTGCTAGGGTAGCACCTACAAGTAAAGCATTCTGGATCCTGAGCCAGAAGATTACAGAATAAGACTAAAATCTCAAAAAAAACCAAAAACTCCTTATTGACTTAGTCTATCAGTTATGAAAACCTAGATCTAGATTCTTTCTGCTGGACCTAAAAGCGGTGTTAATCAGAGTACCCAGCATTCTCCCTGGCTATTACAATAGTAGGTTTGTTGCTTATTAGTTTGACATTTCCCCCAGATTATACTGTGAATTTTGAAATTAAGTGTTTTGTCATTGCATGATTTTCTACAAGTGGTTTCAAGTTGGAGAGAGAACTGGATGGTTGATGCTATCTTATACAGCTTTTAGAATATGTGATACATTAAGGATGGAACAAGAAGTATGTCAACAAGATACAAGCTGGCAGGCAAGAGGCAAGCAGTACTAGAAAGCCATTGTTGATTAGACTGGAAAGGGCAGAGGTTTCTGTGAGCTTTGGTGAGTAAAGGAGAGGACAAAATGGAGGGGTTTGAAAGGTATAATCTAGTTTCTGAAGGGATCCTTTGGAAAAGGCTATTTTCTTCACTGGCAATGTGACTGAGGGACCAGAGTTTAGTTGAACAGTCAAGGGCTTGCCTAGCACAGCAGACAGACTCCATGAGTCCAACCCCAGCACTTGAGGGGGTGCCTTTGAAGATCTATCTCATGTTTTGAGTATTGCTCCACTGTTGAATATTAAAATAGCTTTCCACTTTCTATACTTCAGAATACATTTGCAGTGCCTGTTTTAACACTTAACAGCTTATATCAGGGTAACTAAGGAATAAGATTTAGGTGGAGAGCTCCTGATTACAATTGTTTGCCACTATGCCTAGTGAATATGAACATTTTATTGGCCTTAATACATGCTTTCCCCAAGTGGACATGTTAATGGCATGTCAGTCGGTTTGTGCTGGAATGCTAGTTTTATACAGATTAGCCTGTTCACATGTTAATATATTGTTATCCCTGATTATTTGCAGATTTTGTCTTTTGTATTAGTATATGGGTGTTCTAGAGTTTCTCAACCTCGCTGCCACATTTGTGCACATTATTATTTTGTATTTCTGAGCAACCCCCACATAGCTCTAGAACCATGTGCCCCAACTCCCTCCCTCTCAGATCTCAGTGGAGTTCTTCTGGTCTTTTTCAATGTGAGGTGCAACTGATGGTTCTAGTCCAACGTTATGTCTAAATGAAAATTATGCAAGCAGTAGTTAATTTATTTGGAGAGATATAATTTGGGTCAGAATTTACACTGTAACTGCCAATTACTCTCCCCACCCCTCAGTTGTTTCTGGGGCACAATGTTACCCTTACTGGCAGCATATCTTAGAACTGACATTGCCAGGTGTCTAGGAAGTAGAACATGATATGTGTGAAAAGTCATTTGGGAATTTTCCTTGAGTACTATTTTTCTAAACAATTCTGATATTTTACAAAACTCTTCTAACATCTTTCTTAGCAAAAAAGTATGGGGAAAATTAAATATATTAAAACGTGTTACATGTTTGATTTTATAAAGAAAGACTTAACAGAAAATGGAGGGAGGTTGTAGTAGCAATGGCTCCACAAAATATTTCACCTGATGGAATTAAAGTTTTTGATTCCTACCTAGTACCAGCTGGAAGAAGGAACATTTAAATAGCATTCTATATTTCTAAATAGCCGATGAGATTAAAAAAGTAAAAGAAACCTAATTAACCAGGCTGGAATCCTGAAGGAGTAAAGGAGATATATTTTGTTCCCATAATAGCAAACTTATGAGTGTTATTTGATGATGCTTACTAAAATTCAAATTGAGTTTAGTTTTAGACATGTGGACTTTAGGAGGTAAGAAGGTATCAGTCTGTTTTTGTTGGTGTTTGTTAAAATAGGCCTAGCTGGATTGCACGTCACTTTTTCAAGATTTTCACACTCAAAACAATTTAATAGTTCCTGTTTTCTGTTTTATATTGCACCCACCCATACTTATATTTCTAGGACACATATAATGTGTTGAAGTTGTTTTGACTTGAGATGGTAAAAATAGGTTAGTGAGAAAGCCAAGAAGGCCAGCTATCCACAGGCACTCTCAGTTTAGAGGCCACTCATCTCAGACTCCTAGTCGCCTCCTAAAGCAAGCCTTACCTCAGGGTTGCCCTGTGTCTGGTATTCCTGCCTTGTCTTCCTTGCTGTGTATCACAGTGAGGCAAACCTAGGGTCCTGGCCCACGCCCACAAGGCTGAAGATGGTTCTGCGCACTTCACAATCCGGGCAGCGGGGAGGGTGCAGGCAGGCGGGGCGGCTAGGGTTGGAGGGAGGGGCCGCTCCCGGTATTCTGTTGGTTGGTGACTGCGTCTTCCGCTGGGCTCGCCTAGGCTCCAGGGATGCATGGAGATGCAGATGGCAATGGCGATGAATCCTTTAGCCTGGCAGCAACCAGGTCCCCGGGCGCAGCTGGTGTCGCGACTGCGACTTGGAGGAGGAAGGGCTGCGCTGTGGCCAGCCCACAGGTGAGAGGCCAGGGGCCCAGACCAGTGGGACTCCAGGCAAGCGGGAGGGGGGAACAAGCTGAGCTTGGCCTGGCAGGATGGCAGTGTTCACCTGCAGCCTTCAGGAAGCTCCTATACTCTAAATGGATGGACCACAACCCACCACCACAAGTCTGGATCCAAGCATTGCTAGACCGACTTGGGCCTGTTTTTCCTTCAATGCTAGAGGGTCCCCACCCATAGCCATTAACTGATGAGGATAAACCTGCAATGCACAGTGCTCCACAGCCTCCCTCCACCAGAGACTCAGATCTTCCCACCCTGTCAGCTATTGGCAGCTTCAAAGGGTAATTCAGCTGTTTAGAGAGAATGGGAGGTTTGAAATAATCTCACTGACCTTGGGCGAGTTATTTGGCCTCCCTGAGGTTTCCCAGATCCATTCAAATCAGCGGGGATGGGGCAGAACTTTGTTTTGTGTGGGGGGTTAGGCTCAGAAAATGCCTGCCAGGAAGAAACGACACTTGTTGGGGTTGGGATTGATTGGAATAACCCAAGTCATGAGTTAACTTGTAAAGCTTATAAATGTCCTAACTTTTGCTTCAAAAATTAAAATGCACAATATTGGTAACGCATCACACGTTTTCTTTTTTAAGACAGGGATCTTAGTATGTTGCCCAGGCTGGCATCCAAGGAGGTGGTCCTCTTGCGTCAGCCTCGTGAGTAATTGGGAGTACAGGCTTGTGCCACCACATCCAACTTTTAAACATATTGTTTTGTTTATTTTGCAACAGAGTCTCACTGTATAGCCTTGGTTGGCCTGGAACTTGCTATGTAGATCAGACTGGTCTCAAGCTCACATAGATCTGCCTGGTTCTGCCTCCTCTGTGCTGTAATTAAAGTCCTGTGCCATACTGCGTTTTAATAGGAGTTGACAGTATGCGATATGTTTGGAACTCCTGGCTCTTCTCAGCATCCCTCCTCAACTGTAATTAGATGCATATGAATTTTTTGAAAAAGTCTCATCATATGTATGTAATCAAGACTAGAAATGTGCTATATAATCCTGGCTGGCTTTGAATTCATGATCCTCTTGGCTCAGCCTCCCCAGATGTGTGCTAATACACTCTGCTCATCCTGTCTTCTGTGGTTAATATATATGCTTAAGACTAGTGTTCTGGGCTGGTGAGATGGCTCACCAGTAAAGGTCCTTCCCAACAATCCTGAGGATTCACATGATGGAAACAGAGACCTAGTTTACACAAATAATCCTTAGAACTACTACACATGCATTCCTGTCTTAGTTAGGGTTTCTGTTGCTATGATAAAACACTGTGACCAAAGCCACTTGCGGAGAAAAAGGTTTATTAATTTTACAACTCGTAGTACATCACACAAGAAAGTCAGAGCAGGAATTCAAAGCAGGAGCTGATACAGATGCTGTAGAAGACAGCTGTGTACTAACTTGCTTTTTTCATGGCTTGCTCAGCCTATTTTCTTATGGTACCCAGAACCACCAACAGTGACCCCACATCATCAATTAAGAAAATGTACAAGTTTGCCCACAGGCCAGTCTGGTGAGGTCATTATCTCAGTTAAAGTTTTATCTTTCGAAATGACCCTGTGTTGAGCTGACATAGAACTATGTAAACAGTGGTGGTCTTTTAACAAAATAATTCTGATAAAACTTATTGGAAATAACATTTAATGTTTAGGAATAGTTAACCACTAAACACACACACACACACAAAACACACACACAGGAACACAGGAGATGTATGTATGTGAATATATATATGTATATATATATATATATATATATACGTATGTGTGTGATGTATATACATACACACACACACACACATATATATATATATATATATATATATATATGCATCTTATATTCTATGTGTCACACCCCTAGCTGTCCTGGAACTCACTTTGTAGACCAGGCTAGCCTTGAACTAATAGATATCTGCCTGCCTTTGCTTCCTGAGTGCTGGCAGGAAAGGAATATGTCACCATGTCCAGCTTATATCTTTGTTTTTGTTCTTAATTTCCTCTTAAAGCCCCAAGAGTTAGTACTAAGCTCTGGATTGACTTTATCTCCTGTTCTTTATTGATTTTGAAGTTTTGTGTTCCAGGAGCTTTTACTTGGAAACAGAATTTTTAAAAATACTTAATAGGATTGTTTTGAGAGTGAAATAAACTTTGATATATAAAGCTTCAGGTATGGGAGCATAGCAATAAATGAAAGCTGTTGTAATTTTGCTTTGACCTAGGTATCCCTCTCTTGAATGTGAGTCTCTCTCTCTTTCTCTCTCTGTCTCTGTCTGTCTGTCTGTCTGTCTGTCTCTCTCTCTCTCTGTGTATGTGTGTGTGTGTGTGTGTTGGAGTTAAAAAAAGGAATGTGGTCTTTGAGAAGCAATTGTTCAGTACATGTGGTAGTTATGCCACTTTGCAGAGTGATCTTTCCAACTGTGTTTCCTCATCTTCAGAATGGAGACAACAGATATCATTTTGAGGCTTTGGGGAGATTGAGTAGTGTGGAATCCTGAGAACAGTTCCCAGCATATCATAAACACTTTCTAAATAGACATTGACAGTTGTGCTGACAGATTGTATTGTTGTTATTTCCTAATGCTGAGTTCTACATATTTTTAATTGATTATACAACATTGCCCCCACAGTAATCCCAAACCACCTTCCCAACTACAGGATTGAACCTAAGACCTCATGCATGCCAGGCAAGCTATAACATCTAGCCTTTCTTTCTAGTTCGTCCTCCCTCCCTCCCTCCTTCCCTCCCTCTCATTCTCTCTTTCTTTGTTTGCCCAGGCTGGCTTTGAGCTTATAGTCTTCCTGCCTCAGTCTTCAGCCTCCTGAATAGCTGGGATTACAGCCTGTGCCACCACTTTGTATCCCTGCCCCCCTCCTTTCCTTACTGTTTCTTCTTTCCCTTGATCATTGTTGGTGCCTTGTCAACTCATTTTCTACATATATAGCTTGGGTCTTGTAACTTCCATGGTTCCACTTAATTGTCTTTATTTCTCTACCATGCTTGTCATTTCTTGCTACTCTAGTATCTCTGCTCTCCCTGCCTTTTCAGACAGGGTTTTTGTTCTTCCCTTTTTATAAATTAACCCCAAGGAAGGAACATTATTTTAGCCAGCAGTAAAACATTGTCTTTTCACTATAACAATATCAAAATTGTTTATAAACAGGCATGTAATCTTAAAAATAGTGAGAGCTATCCATTATTATGTAACTGTAATCATTGATAAATACTGCTTCTAGATTTATACTTTTATCTCCCATAGAGGTTTTGCAGCAAAGTTGATGTCTGCATGTGTGTTCTGCTGTCTGTGGCCACTGCAGTAGCAGCAGAGGCTGCTTCTGTCTTAATGAGTGGCAGAGTGGCTCTGGACCTCCTCAATGCCATTGGTTATCCCTGCAATGTTAGACTAAAATAGACGTTGTCAAGAACAGGGTACTAAATGTTATCTGTCTTGCTGGATTCTTGTTTGAGAGAAGATGGACAATGAAGATTGGTGTGAGTATATGTTACATTTCCTTGCATAAGAGAGAAAAATAATTATGGAAAGAAATGAGCAAGAAGGTTATTACTTTAAAATACAAAGTGCTTTTTAATCATCTATGTGCATTCAGCAGCTAGCATAATACTGCCCAAAGACACACATGTAGTTAATGTAAGTTAATGAATACAGAATGCATACATCTTATTTGATGATGAGAACATTCCTGTTGTAATAATAACTAACACTTAGAGTTGCTATAGTGGTGCTTTCAAATTTTACTTCATTTTTAAAGTATGTGTATATGCGTGTGGGGTGCATGTATGAATGAATGCAAGTGTCCATAAAGTCCAAGAAAAGGCATCTGACCCTCTGGAGTTGGAGATATAGATGGGCCACCCAGTCTGGATTCTCAGACTGGTACCTGGGCCCTCTGCAAGAGTAGTATATACATTTAACCACTAAACCATCTCTCTAGCTCTCATAGTGGTATGGTGTGTGTGTGTTTGCTGGTAATCAAACAGCAAACCTCCCATAGGCTTATCAGGTGCAGTACCATTGTGCTATGTCTTCAGACCCCAAAGGGTTGCTCTGCACCTTAGAAATTACAAATATAATCTCAGGCATCTTTTTGTTACTTTAATTTTTTTAATCTTCTTTCAAAAATAGTCCTACATGAATTTCTCTTTTTCAAAAGAGGGTTTTCATTGGCCTAGAACTTAACTTTCAAACTTGGAAAAGAATAAATGCTTAGAAATAGTGGTTTCTCCTTAGAGAAAATAAGGGGATTTGTCAGTGATTTATGAGCATTTTTGGGGGCCACATTATGTATGAACAATATCCTGCTAGTATTTCAAGCATATTCTGTTGCTTGAGTCAGTCATGCTACAGAGTCTATTCTCTGTTTCCCAAGCTGTTCATTCTCCTCCCCGCCCATCACCTTTCACTCAGCTGGCTTCTCTTCACCAGAGCTCCCTTTATCCTTTCTCAGCTCCTTCCTGAGAGATAGATTTAGTTCCCCTTGTCCCTGTATGTAGTTCCTGCAACCACCCTGATGTATCTCCACCCAGGAAGAGATCATGAACTTCCAGTGGAGAAGTCATGCTCCCGTGTGTCTCCAGTGTCTGGTTTGGGATGCCCTTTCTGTGTTAACTTTGTGACATGCCTTTCAAAGCAATAGAGATTTGAATGCTTTTGTAAAGTGGAATGCACTTGTTGTGCTCGCTAATCCTTTTCTGTTTCTGGGTGTACTTTTTCTTTTGTGCAGGCTTATCTTTCTTGGCCCTCTTTTGGCACATGTCCCTTGTCTGTGAGTTGAGATCCTGACTGTCTTCCTGTTGGTTTTTTTTTTTTTTTTTTTTTTTTTGACAACACAAAGAAGAAACCCTTCTCTGAAGATGAACTCAAGTGTCCCCCTTCAGAATGCACCCAATGCCACCTTGCTGTACATGCCTCCCTTGCAGGGAGGAAACCACAGCACTTCACTCCAGGAGGATATTCGAGGTTTTATCCACACAGCCACCTTGGTGACCTGCACTTTTCTGCTTGCCGTTATCTTCTGTCTAGGATCTTATGGCAACTTTATTGTCTTCTTGTCTTTCTTTGACCCAACTTTCAGGAAGTTCAGAACCAACTTTGATTTCATGATCCTGAACCTGTCTTTCTGTGATCTCTTCATCTGTGGGGTTATAGCCCCCATGTTCACCTTTGTGCTATTCTTCAGCTCAGCCAGCAGCATCCCAGATACATTCTGCTTCACCTTCCACCTTACCAGTTCAGGCTTCATCATCATGTCCCTCAAGGTAGTGGCTGTGATAGCCCTGCACCGGCTGCGAATGGTATTAGGGAAGCAACCTAATTGCACAGCCTCCTTTTCCTGCATCTTGCTCCTCACCCTGCTTCTCTGGGCCACCAGTTTTACCCTTGCCACCTTGGCTACACTGAGAACCAATAAGTCTCACCTGTGTCTTCCCATGTCCAGTCTGATGGCTGGAGAAGGGAAAGCCATTCTGTCCCTGTATGTTGTTGACTTTGCCTTCTGTGTTGCCGTGGTATCTGTTTCTTACATCATGATTGCTCAGACCCTACGGAAGAATACTCAAGTCAAAAAGTGCCCCCCTGTGATCACAGTTGATGCTTCTAAACCACAGCCATTCATGGAAGCATCTGTGAAGGGAGGTGGAGATCCTATTCAGTGCACTATGCCAGCTCTGTACAGGAACCAGAATTACAACAAACTAAAGCACATTCAGACTCATGGATACATGAAGAATCCTAACCAGATGCAGATCCCTTCTGCCAATCGATTCCAACTGGTATCAGCCATCAACCTGTCTACTGCCAAGGATTCCAAAGCTGTGGTCACCTGTGTAATCATTGTGTTGTCAGTCCTGATGTGCTGTCTTCCTCTGGGGATTTCCCTGGTGCAGGTGGTTCTGTCTGACAATGGGAGCTTCATCCTTTACCAGTTTGAACTGTTTGGATTTACTCTGATATTTTTCAAATCAGGATTAAATCCTTTTATATATTCCCGGAACAGTGCTGGGCTAAGAAGGAAAGTACTCTGGTGCCTCCAGTACGTTGGCCTAGGCTTTCTCTGCTGCAAACAGAAGACTCGACTTCGAGCTATGGGAAAAGGTAACCTTGAAATCAATAGAAATAAATCTTCGCATCATGAGACAAACTCTGCCTACATGCTGTCTCCAAAACCACAGAAGAAATTTGTGGATCAGGCTTGTGGCCCAAGCCACTCAAAGGAAAATGTGGTAAGTCCCAAAGTGTCTGCTGGACACCAGCACTGTGGTCAGAGCAGCTCAACACCCATCAACACTCGCATTGAACCTTACTACAGCATCTATAACAGCAGCCCTTCCCAGGAAGAGAGCAGTCTGGGAAAGTTACAGACAGCAAACTCTTTTGGATTTGCCAGTTCATACTTTGCCATGCACTATTATACCACCAATGATCTGATGCAGGAGTATGACAGCACGTCTGCAAAGCAGATTCCTATCCCCTCTGTTTAAAATCACAAGGCCAGAGAATCCAGAAGGTGGTTTTCCAAGACTTTGAAAGATTTTAAGGTCAGTGGCAAAGCATAACTTGAAGAGTCAGCAGAATTAGACTTTCTTCTCTCTGAGATATTAATATCTGCTATGCTTCATGGTATCTTGGCATTTTAAGATTTGATGTAAAAGTTTATTTCAGTTTTTACTCTAATGTGAGTCCCAACCTTTTGTATTAAACTATTAAGAAGATGCCAGGAACAATCCTACTGATGATAACCCTTTGAGTCAGTGTTATGAGTCTTTAGATATGTATTGGCCACATTTTTAAAAGGTGTTTGGAAAAAGTGATCTTTCTGAAATGTTATTTTTATAAAGATATGAAATTGAAGTACTGAAATAGAAAACAGTATAATCTTTTGGTGGCAAGTTGATTTAAATAAAACAAAAAACCTTATGTCAAAGCAGAAACTAGAAATGTGTTACATGTACCTCTGTCCTTATCCAAAGTTTTTTTTTTTTTTTTTTTTTTTCACACAGTGGGAGGCACTTCATCTTATAAGACAGTTACCTAACAACACAGAGTTGTAATTCCTGTCACTTCTTACACATTGTTGTTTTATGTCAATTGAGTAACTAGCTTTACAAAGTGCTTTTGGTAGTTTCTTGTTAATTGCTGTTTCAGAAAGACCTTAACCCAGAATCCTACATAGAGGACTACACTACAGAATGGGGCACTGTTCTGAGAGAGCAGGCATAGTGTGTCTCCGAAGTTTGTCTGTGGAAGGCACTGCACACATACATCATGTATTTAACACAAGCTACCCTTATTTAAGAAGACATAGAGATGCAGGGGGAGGGGGCTGATATGCGCTTTTCTTCTGTATGAGCCACTTGACAGATTCACATAAATACTTAGAAATAACATTTCTAGTTTAAATATTGCAGTGAAAAAAATTTCAAGGTGATTTATTAATATTTTCAGATGGAGGTTTTTAGATTTTGGCTTTTTCCCTCATTCTATTTTTATGGGGCTGGAGATTGAACCTAGGTCCAATGCATGTCAAGCAACCAGTCTACTACTGAACTACATCCCTAGCCCCAAACTAATTTTTACATTCTCTCATTAACTTTAAACTGGAAATGAGCAACTGTGTTATTCTTACACCTGAAACTAAATTTTATTAGGTGCCTTAATTTTGGTCATGCAGTTAGGATCTGAATTCACTAGAATTTTGGAATATTAACTATTAGACCCCAAATAGAGTATCTTTACAAACTGTTATATCCAACTATTATTCTCAAAACTCAGAAGTGCCAGGAACAGAAGGCTCTTAGCTCAGAACACCTTGTCCCAGGCTCTGCCCAAACTCCAATATTACAGGAGGAGCTGAGAGCCTTAGCCAGAACTAGCCTAGCTTGCTCATTGGTCAGATCTGTTTCAGAAATTTAAGTGTGAGGCAACGTTTTCAAATTCACCTTCTAGAACTGGCCTACCTAGTTCTCTCCTCTTTCTCCCTCTTTTCTTTTATTTATTCTTGCCACTAAGTTTTATATTATATCCACTCTCCTTTATTTTGGTAGCTGGATATTCTTTAGGAAATCATTCCCACTTGTTTCAACTGTGTTTCTATAGATTCAACACAATATGGTTATCATGTTAATCAGAAAATTAAGACATCTAATATCCTCTTCCAAAATTATTTGAAGAATTTTGGCAAATTAACAGTTAGATGTTTTTGTTTTTGTTTTGTTTTTCTGAGACAGGATTTCTTTGTGTAGCCTTGGCTGCCCTGGAACTTGCTTTAGACCAGGCTGGCTTGAGCTTAGAGATCCTCCTGCCTCTGCCTCCTGAATGCTGAGATTAAAGTTGTGTGCCACCACTGCCCAATACCAATTAGACTTTTGTCTTTCTTTTTTTTTGTGGAAATGTTTTTTATTTGTTTACTTTTTAAGATAGGAGTTTTCTGTGTAGCCCGGGCTGTCTTAGATTTTGTCTTAATTGAAAACTTAGTATTTAGTCCAAGCAAATTTATAATCAGTAACAAGATTATTCACACTTTTAAAGGTATATATCTGTGGGGCTTGGGAGATGGCTTGAAGGTTAAAAGCATTTGTTCTTCTAGGGGATCCAGGTTCAGCTCTCAGCACCTACATGGTGGTTCACAGCCATCTGTAACCCAGTTTGAAGGAATCCAATGCTCTCTCCTGACCTCCATGGGCGCTGCCCTCATATGATACACAGACATACATGCAGGCAAGACACTCATACATGTAATATAAAATCAAATCTTTAAAATATTTGAGAAATTATATTCATGAGAAAGGTATATATCTCTTTTGAGAGTGCAGGTATTTAAAATGTGACTTATAAAAGGTTATAAAAATTACTTCTTGTAAATTTTTAAATGTTACATTTCCTTGTGTGACTTTTGTGTTTGAAATTATTTGATCAGCATGGGGCCCATTTTGAGAAGTAAAAATTATATAATAAAGACAAATCATAAACACAGAAAATGTTCAGTTTCTATGTTCAACAAGAAATTATTGATTTAATTTGCATGAAATACATAGTGGGCTAGATTCCTTGACTCCCCTCCTTTCTTTAAATATAGAGGTAAAATTTTTTCTTTATAAGCTACATAATATCTTTGTATATCAGTATAATGGTGATATTGATATAGACTGACACATATAACTTGTCACCTCATAAGGGCTAAAAAATTATAAATTAATGAGGATTCAGTTGAATATGATTAATTTGCAGGGTACATTAATATTTCTCTTGAAGCTTACTGTGTGCAAATTATATATCTCTAAAACATTTTAATAAGTGTTCTTACATTAATCATTAGGTCAGATTTCTATCTGATGTTTTAATGTACTTTTAAAATAAGTTTGGAAAATAAAAATACCACAAATTCTAACTTTGGGTTTTTTGTTTACTTGTATTTTATTTATTTATTTATTTATTTATTTATTTGAGACAGGATCTTACTATATAGTGTAGGCTAGTCTCAAACTCATTCTGCTCCTGCTTCCTTACCACTAAGATTACAGGTGTATGCTAGCACACTGCTGAAAAGTCAAGTTTCAATATGGTGTCCTGTCTAGATTTGCACTATGTAGCATAGGCTGGCTTCAAATTTATAAATCCTGTCTCTCCTTCCTAAGCTCTCAGATTGCAGGAATGCATGGAGTGGCACTACCTATGAGGAAATCTGTCACTAGGGGTAGGCTTTGGGGTTTCAAGACAGTCCTAGTGGTATTGTGGTAAATAAGGATCAGGATAAACAAATAGGCTGAATAGATGTTTATTCAGGGAGAAATAACTTACAACCTAGACAGATGAACACCAGGAAATTTAACCCGATCCTCTCCTGTCCGAGTCACTCCAGAAAGAGAGCACCTTCCTGGCCCCCTCCTACCTCCTTCTACAGGTCACTTCCGCCCATGGCTCCACCCCCAATGGGCGTGGCCAGTGCCACAGAAGGACTATCTCACTACATAGTGGCACATGTCTTTTCTTCTGCCTGCCAATCTAGATGTAGAACTCTCAGCTACTTCTCCAGCAACATGTCTGCCTATGTGCCACCATGTTTCCCACTATGATGGCAATGGGATAAATCTCTGAACTCTTAAACAAGTCCAATTAAATGTTTTCCTTTGTAAGAGTTGCTTCTCTTCCCCTCCTCTGTTGAGCATTGAGGATTGCATGTTAGACAAGTGCACTGCCAGTTAGATTCCTTTATACTTCTGTCCAATCCCTTAAAAAACGTTAGAGTATGACAGTGTTCACATTTGTACAACAAATATGTTCAGCCTTAGATAAAAAAAGCTATCTTTGAGGAATAAGATAACTTGTTTTTCTACAGTTTTAAGCATGTATGGTCATACTAAGAATAATTACCCCCACGATCTTTTTCCTAGACTGTTTCCCAGCAGGTGTGGAGATATTTAAACTTAAGAAGGTCTTCATGCATGCTGGAAAAGTGCTATGATTAACCTACATTCCCCAGCTCCACCCCCCCTTTTGTGTGTACATGTATAGAGGTCTAAAGACAACCTGAGAAGTTGTCTCTCCTCCCACCATGTGGGTCTCAGGGATCAAACTCAAGTGACTTCACCCACTGATCATTTTTATAATCCCAGTTCCCCTTTTCAGTTTTTGAGATGGTCTCACTGAGTTTCCCAGGCTGGCTGAACTTACTTTTGTACCCTGGGAATACCTTGAACTGATACTCCTACCTTGCTCTCCTGATGTATCTGTGTCATAGATCTTCACTTGAGTTTATCAATCAAGGTTGTATGTGATGTAAATTTAATCAGGAGAAAGTGTAGTAAGAAAAGATTAGACGTCTATAAAGTCACCTTTTTTCAGGACTGTATGATAAGTATATATGAAAGATTCCACAGCAAGAATTGTATATTAGTTACTTTTTGCTTTGTGCAGCCTAGGAATCCGCTGATGGAATCATGCTGCCCACGTTTAGGATGGATCTTCTTCTCACATCAGTTCAATATATAGAAACCTTCTCACAGATCCTGTTAGGTTAACACCAGTATTTTGCTGGTTCAGCAAGCTACTGTTAACTATCACCTCCACAAGCCTTCTTGACACCTATACAGCAATTACCACCTTCTTAGCTGTTCATATTTGTACACATCAGATATCAACAAAGTGGTGTTTCTGTGGACAGAGTGAATTACAAGTCATAGTCCATTCTGAACCTCCATTCATCATACCTTTTTAGTGTTAACTCATTCCCCACCTTCCCCTGGCCAAGGTCATAAGCAGATGTAATTTGTGGTCTGAAGAGATGGTTGAATCATTAAATCCTAGGCTCAAACTAAATGTAAAGAAGATACAACTTGGGCTTTGCTAATAAAATACAGGTCCAGATTTTTCTGCAGCAGTATTTTTGTATTCAACAACTTGCTGTATAGGTGTCAAGAGAGCTTGTTACTTCCAAATAGCAGCAAAATTACCACCATCATCTTCCCTCATGAGATAATACAGTCTCTTACTTAAAGACATATTT